CTGCTTTCCGACAGGCAGTAAAGATCTTTGGTTTGGGACATGAAGGACCAGAGTTCTAGCTTTCTAGCTAGCCATGTGTGTGACGTAGGGTATGTCTACGCTAGAAACACTGCAGGGCTGCAGCTGCACTGTTGTAGCGCTGGAGGGGAGATATTTCCTACAGTGGTGAAAGGCCTTCTTCCATTGCTGTAGTAGATCCACCCCTCTGAGAGGTGGTAGTTAGTTTGACATTGAAGAATTCTTCCATCAACCTAGCAGTGTCTACACTAGGGCTTGGCTCGATTTAATGACATCACACAGGGTGTGAAATTTTTCAGACCCCTGAGCGACTTAATTAAGCTGTTTTGTAGTGTAGACCAGCTCTTAGATAGTAATTGTGTCCGTGGCCTACATGCGTGGATTGTATATGCCCCAGTGAATTCCAAGCAAAATACCAATGTGTGATTACGTGTTGACAGCAGCACCTAAAGTGGCTGGTGTTTTCAGATGGCAGCAAGTTCTGAAAGTGCATTGCATGGATTGCACATCCAGAACTAAAGATTTAAATTGTAGCTTTCAACATAAACCTCTGATGCTGTTGCTGGGCTGAAGCCAAGAGGATGCATGTAAAACATTTGCATCCACCCCCCAATTGTTATAATGCTATAAAAAAGATTTTCAGGAATGTTATGTTCTTCACCAGGAGTATCAGAAATCTAGCCTGCATGGTGAGAACCTTCCAGACACAAACCAACTGTAACTGATGCAGTGACACGTACCTGAGTCTGCAGGCAGCCTGAGACAATGACTCAGAGCGGTGAACAACCCTGCCTCGCCATTACTCTGATTGGAGTATTAATTTTAAATGGCATGTCAGTGTCAACACTGATCATTCTAGTGGATGGACTGGGGAAGGGGCTGGGATTGCAGCCCTCTGGGAGTTGCTGCAAGGAAGGAAATGCAGAGAAAAGGACAGAGCAGGAAGAGGGAGAGAAACAGAGAAAGGAGGATGGGGAAGGCAGAGAAATAAAGGGCAGGAAGAGCAATGGCCTAAAGGGGACAGATGTTCTTACCGTTGACTGCAGCAGCAAGGCCTGGAACAAATAATAAACAACAGCTAAACATTTAGGTTCAGATTACAGAGGTGCGTGGGCAGCTGGAGATGCAGATAGGCACCTCGTGGCGTTTACAGAACGCAGGTTAGGTGCCTAACTCCCACTGGGAGAATTACACTGGGAATTCAGTGCTTAATCTGCGTAGGCACTTTTCTGAATCTCACTGGGTGCCAATCTGCATCTCTCGTTGCCTTTGTAAATCTGACCTTTTAATAGTTGCATGTGGGCCGTACGCTGCCCCTGATCTCTGCAGAGACCTACCGAGCTCGGTGGGCCTGCACTCTGCACCCTGGGGAGTATATGGCTCTGAGTTTATACCCTGGCCTACACGCCAAAATTAAACCTGGAACTAGGCCCTCTCCCTAGGGTGAGTGTGACACAGACACACACACACGGTAACACTAAAGGCATTTGCTTACTTGTCTGTATGGTCTTGGTGCAGTGGCAGATGGACCCCCATTGAATGTGTCTGACGCCTGGACTGAGTGCCAGGCCCGCCCTCCTCCCTCACCGCCCCTTATTAGAACGTTGGAGGCCCGATTAAAGCAGCAGCCCTACCATGGTTCTACTGCAGGGGTGGGAGGAGGCCATGAAAAGGCTACACAGTAGGGACACCCTGTAACCTGCAAGCCAAAGAGGCTGGCTGTGCTGCAGTGCATAAGCAAGATGTGGGGCGGATGGGGGGAAGGGTGAACTGGGAACAGGGTGGGCATATTGCAAATAGATTGGTGAACTACTGTGCAAAACCTCTGTAGGGGCTGTGGTCACTACTACAGTCTGCCGTAGTGACTGCTCCATGACTTGGCTCGGGGGAGAGGATTCCACCCACGCACGCCTGCATTGGTCCCATGCACAAAACACGTTGAGCTTGGGCTGTTTACCATTGCGATGGCTGTACCCTCCACCCCAGAGTAGGCAAGAAAGTTTTGTGAGGGCTCTTGAATGCACTGTGTACTTCTCCAGGGGCTAGAGATGAAATTATTGAGTACAGGTTTTGCTGTAATTTTGAGACACAGGGAAGAGAGCAGAGATGGTCTTGCGGTTAAGGCACTGGCTTGGGACTCAGGAGATGAAGGTTCAATTCCTGGCTTTGAAATATATCCCCTATGTGAGCTGTGACAAGCTGCTTAGGGTACATCTACGCTGCAAAAGGAACAGAACAAAAACCAACATGTGGCAGCAGGTCTCGGAGCCCTGGGCTTGCACCACATGGCTAAAAACAGCAGTATAGACATTTGGGCTTGAGCCTGGGCTCTGAAACCATCCCACCTTGTGGGGTTCAGAGCCTGGGCTTCTGTTATTTGGTGACCCCGGTTCTGAGACTCACTGCTGCAGGTCTTTCTTTGCAGTATAGATGTACCCTTACTCACTTCGTGTCTGTTTCCTCCCTGTGAAACAGGGGCAGTAATACTCTCTTTAGAGCAGTGGTGGGCAACCCACGGCCCGTCAGGGTAATCTGCTGGTGGGCCGCAAGACAGTTTGTTTACATTGACCGTCCCCAGGCATGGCCGCCCGCAGCTCCCATTGGCTGGGAACAGCAAACCACGGCCACTGGGAGCTGCTGGCAGCCGGGCCTGCGCATGGCCAGTGTAAACAAACTGTCTTGTGGCCCGCCAGCAGATTACCCTGACGGGCTGCATGAGGCCCGCAGGTTGCCCACCACTGATTTAGAGGGTCATTTCTTCAGGGCCGATACTGTCTCTTGTGGTGTGGATGCAGTATGTATATGTGCAGCACCTACCACACCGTGGGCCTCTAGATGCTACTGAAACACAGATAATAAATAATATCTGCAGTGTTAGTGGCCCTCTAGCACACACATCTATTTTGTGTCGGTGGTCTAGTGTTACCACAATGAGCTGTAATATAAAACGGGTGGCGATGCTGACTGGCTGACTGACTCCATTCCTTTTGTTCCCTTATTCCCCTAGGTCTATTCCTGTATTACCCACTCTACACATAGGACACTCCGTTAGGAAGAGCAGTATAGGTCCGTCCGGTGGCTCCATGGTATTGCTCTATACCTTGAGGCCAGAGATAGGGGCTTCATTTCCAGGCTCAGTTGGATGGAATTGTCACAGAGGCAGTGCACTCAGGCTGCTGCTAAGGGAAAGAAGTGTGTCCTATGACCCAGATACAAGCGCCTCTGGCTGATTGAGATGTGTGATGATCTCCAAAGAAGTCCAGGCTAGTTCTCTTCCCCCAGAAGGACAAAGAGTGCAAACATGCATAGAAGGGGAGAGGAGCAGCTCCTCAGCCTTTCAGCTACACAGCAAAGGTTCCTCTTATTCCCTGGGGTTATTGCTCTGAAAAATTCTGCCGTTGCTAAGTGCAGAGATTATATTTAAGTGAGAAGCTGCAACACAGCACAGATAAGAAAAGAAAAGTCCATAAACTGCAGTGGACCAAGTTAGAAGGTGATTGGGAAAGATGCAGAGAGGGGTGACATTTCTGTGTCCATACACATTCATCCAAAGGGAGAGACAGAATGGTCTAGTGATTAGATCAAAGGGACTGGGTTCAAGACTGCTGGGGTCTATTCCTGACTTTGCCACTGACTCTGTCTGTGTGATCTTGGGCAAATCATATTCTCCGTGCCTCCGTTTATTCTTCTGTAAAATAGATTTAAGAGCACCTACTTGACAGGAGTGGTGTGAGGGGTGATTTGTTAATGACCATAACTTGCCTTGATATGCTCTGATGACAGGTGTTAGATGGGGTAAATCTCCTCTGCCCCACAGGCCGAATGGGAAGTTGGTGGAATCATGATGTCAATGGAAGCTTTGACTAAGGAAGGGTAATCACTGAGTAAGGACGTAGGGTTTTGTTCCTGTGCTTGGGTCTTTGTACACTGTATTACAGGTCTGGTCTGTACTCTCACTGTCTAATTAGATTCTGATCTCCCCAGGGCAGGGACTAGGGATCAGATCCTACTCCTAGCTAGAGTCACTTAGTGCTGCTTTAAACAAACAGTTAGTGTGCGGCATGCTGGGGTGTCAATCTACAGCGCACTGGCCTGCCACACACTGACTGTCCATGTGGACCCTGCTACCACTCACTCAAAGTTTCCTAGTGAGCACTGACCTGCTCCCATTTCAAAGCAGAGGAGGTGGAAGTCTGCACAGCAGCAGGGCCCACTCGGATGCAGCGTGTGGCAGGCTAGTGCACTGTAGACGTACACTCCAGCTTGCCACGCACTCACTGTTTGCCTAGACAAGCCTTAGTGGTGCAAAATGACCTTACATTGCCTTAAACGGGCAACTGATGATTTCCCAGGTTGGGGGGAATCCTGAACTGGTCACCTGGAGGTGTGGGGGAGGTGTTCTAGGGTGTGTAGCAGGAGCTGATGAAGATGGAGCTGGAATACAATGCACTCCGCTGACTCTGATCCTAGGGACTTTAATCCCAGGCAGTCATATTTCATGTTTACGCAGTGAGTTGGGGTCCTAGATGAGCAGTGTGATTGGGGCCCAAACCTGCAACCCTTACTCATACAAATAGTCCTTATGAGAGCAGTTCTCTGGACTACTCCCATGGGCAAGGATTGCAGGATTGGGCCCTAGAAAAGCAAAGCATACTGTAATTATGTTGATGTTGTTATTCACACTTGCAGGTAATTTCAATCTATAGTTTAGCCTGAGTTATCCCATGAAGCTATGCAAGTAATGCATCTCAGAACACCTTCCACTCAATTATTTAAAATCCAGTTGCTATGGAACTGCTGTGGGTGATCAGTTTAAAGAAAATCCAGATGGCCTTTGGTTTTGGGTTCCCACTGCGCTTTGGTTAATTTGGTGTTGCAAGGTATTAGGTTAATTAAAAGCCATGTGTTACATGGGGACGACTACACTTGTGGATTAATAAGTATCCAAGAGTATTCAGCGACTCAGACCTGACAGACATCAAGCTGCTGACAAGTTATTTCACTGAGAAAGGAAGGGAAAGGAAAGAAGTCACAGTGAAATAAAGAGTTTTGCCTTGAATCTTACAGTGACATTTTCAGGAGGCCTGAAGTCCGAATTGCTGGTTGCAGCTTCCTTTACATCTCCTACCGAAGATCACCCATTACTGGAGACGCTGGGAGGACTGTAAGTGGAGAAACACACTGTTGTCTGCTCAGTATATAGATTCCCACAATGCAAAGTAATTCGGGATAGTTCTAGCATATTCCAGTGGTGAGCCATGAGAAAAGCTAAAGCTTTCCTTAAGCTCTTCTTTGGAAACTCTCCTGTTAGGAGAAAATCTTTTCCAAGAACCACACTGTGACCCAAGACAAACAGTTCCTTGCCGCAGAAGTGAGTGCTTATGATCATTGTTCTGCAACAGGAGGCATAAAGCAAACCAGCTGATATCTTTGAAGATTCCTTGCCAGCTAGTGGAGTATGTGTAGGAACCAGGGAAGTGCAGTAGTCTCTCTAGAATGCTAAAGAGGCAAAAGCCATCAACATGCAGCAGTGCTCCAGCGCGGTGGATGCTGAAGAGAAGGACCAGGGCAAATGGACGCTGCTCCGGAATGTCAGCCAAGCCTTGAAACCCCGGACTCTTTTATCGGTAAGATAAGGGCCACTGGCTCTAAATGCTGACAATGGCTTTCAGACTCCTTTGAAATCTATATCACATTACAGTTTGATCCTCTGTAGGGCTTGTGCCAGCTTCTCACACAATTACATCTGCACCTCCTTCTTTGTGCCCCCCGCCCCTCCCCGTGAATGGTACAACATCCCTGAGCTCATTTGTAAAGCCCCTACTCTGGCCACATTTATGCCCCTCTTAAAAAAAAACAACAACACTTCTACTGTGCTGATTACAGTGAATCGAGTTGACTTGTATATAAATTGCCTGTTCCCCCTCCCCTCGCCTCTGTCCTGAGATTGTGAGCTCCTGGGGGCAGGGTCGGGAGGGTTTGGAATGTGCCTAGCATAGTGGCTACTACTGGTTGGTTCAGATATGGTTATTTATGAAATGACTGAAAGTGTTCTTGGTTCTGTGGTGCTGCGCCCTATATCTTGAATTAACCCCAAACTACCAAGATGCAGGGCATTTCATGAGGATTATTGACCAGTTTAATTGAGGTGTTTAATGGCCCAGCGCCAATCACCATGAAATGTCCTGGGCAGATGTTTTTGTTTCCATTGAACCTGATCCAAAGCCCACTGAAGTCAGTACAAAGACTCCTAGTGATTTCTGTGGACTTTGCATCAAGCCCTTTCCAAGCAGAAAAAGGAAATAGGGATATGGTGGGTCTAGCTGAGTTAGTCCAGGCCATCACAATTGCCTTTTTGGCCAGTGTTAACAAATGTAATTTTAATTTGTACTTACAGGGCATTTTGAAAAAATTAATATCCAGTATGTTAGCTAGTCAAATCATTTATTTATTTGTTGTAGTACAGTGGCATACAATAGAAGAGAAGTATAAAACTATACTTCATGGTATTGGGCTATGTATTTATCTCTGGTGTCTGGTGACATAATGGGCCACGAAACTCAGCTGCTTAGTACTGACCCCCAGAACGCAGGTATAAAATATTTTCTTTGAGGGGTATAATGTAATTTTTATTGTACTTTTGAGCATTCTCTGGCAATTAGGGGCTTAGAAGAAGAGACCTGGGTTCTGTCCACTGTGGTTTGACCAACTATAAAATGAGGATAATACTGTCAACTATTGTAAAATGCTTTGAGATCCTCCACTTAAAGAAGCTAAAGTATAATTGCTAAAGTATACAATTTAAGCTGATATATAATTGAACAATATGTAACTTACTTTACCCATATGTTTTTTCTTTCCTCTTCTACCAATTTTTCAATTAGTTCTAAAGATAAGGTATCTATTTTTGATTCTCTAAGCATATAATTATTTTCCTTATTTGTCAGGTACTTCTGAAGACGTTTTGAGCCAAATTATAAGATTATTTTTTTAAACAGTAACAGCCAGAGCCTTAGTTGATATAAACTGGAATGCCTTCATAGACATCAATTGGTTTACTGATTCATATAACCCCTTTCATTAGAGGATCTCAAAGCACATTGCAACAGTAAACAAATATTGTTGTTATTATTATTAATTCAATACCGCTTTACTGATTGACACCAGCTGAGAATCTGACTCTAACTTTTCAAAGAGTTACAGGGAATCAGAGCCAATGTTTATCGAAGCCAACTGCATCTGAGTGGCTACATCCAGTCATTTGCAGTGTTACTCACCCTGTGTAACAAAGAGGCTGAAAGTACGAAATTGTCTTTAGTAACAATCCAGTTGGTGGCACTGCTGTGTAACATGGACTGTAAGGAGCTGTTTATGTATTAGGCAATGTCGTCAGTGCTAAGACACTCCTGCATTTGGGGGCTCTGTCACACTTTCGCACAGCTCAGTTGAGCCTCACGCATCGAGCTGGTTTGAGAGCAGGAGTTGTAGCAGCAAGTCTCAGCCACTAGAGGCAATGTGGGGCCTCCTCTGTAGGCAGCCAGCTCTGTCTCTGCTCTCTCTAGTCCCCCTGCTGGTGCCAGAGGGGCATAGAGCCCTAGGAGAAGGGGCTCTGCTAATAGAAAAGGCAAAGCAAGAATATGAGGAGCCAAATTAGGGTGACCAGACAGTAAATGTGAAAAGTCGGGAGGGGAGGGGAAGAGTGGGGGAAGCTTTCAACAATCCCCAGGCTCTGGCTCCCCCTGCTGAGGAAGTCCCCATCCCAGATCAAGAGTGTGGCATGCTGACAGGGCAGTGTGTGTAGGGAAACTTGCCCAGGGCTTCATCACCAGGTCTATCAATCTTGGATGAAGCCTTTCACAAACTCTAAATCCATACTGTAATGTTTCACTCCATATTCTTTAGGAAAATGTGCTTATGGTATGAATATGACATAATTGAGATATACTTTATGGAAGATGGGTCTTGTGAGGTATCATTGGAAAGATTATACTTTACTGAATGTGATTATCCAATTTGTATGCATGTATCATTTTTGTATCTAAAGTTAGAAATATGGACTATGTAACAGTTACAACTGGGTGTGTATTGGGAAGACACCCACCAGACGACAGGCCATAAAATTTGATGAACCATCAGGAAGGAACAACAAAACCAGGAAGATACTAATCCCTCTCCCTCCTGGGAGGTATCCGGGGACGTAACTGTGATACTATTAGGTCAGGTGGTCTTGTCACCTGATACTAAACATTACCTGGGACTTCTTGTAACTTTCCACTGGAAGAGAAGGGGGATCAAGTTTGGGAAACAAAGGATTCCCACCTTATGTAAATCCTATTTAAGGGTGGGGAGGATGGCAAATGGGACTCCTCCTCTCCATGGCCTGTCTGCCCAAGAAGAAAGACTACTAAAGCCACCTGAAGGGAAGGCAAAGGGGGAGTCCAGACTGAGACAGGGGTCCAGTCTGAAAAGGAATATAACTGGAACTCTGAACCACAGAAACTTTGCAACCTGCCTAAAATAACATTTAGGATGGGAATTTACATTTTTGTTTCTTAAGTATATTGAGCTTAGCTTGCATATTTTGCTTTATTTGGTCAGTAATCTGCTTTGTTCTGTTATCTCTTATATTCACTTAAAATTTGCCTTTTGTAGTTAATAAACTTATTTCTTGTTTATAATATAACCCAGTTTATGAAATGTCTAACTTGGGGGGGGGGACAAGAAGTTGTGCATATCTCCCTCCACATTGAAGGAGGTGGTGAATTTCATAAATCTTTGGGTTTGTACCCCTAAAAGTGGTGTGCACGTGAGTGCTGGGGGAGCCCTCTCTCACAGAGCTGACTCCAGTCTGTGTCTGCAGCTGGGTGTGGCCCTACCTGTGTGTGTGTGCTGCAAGAGGCCGGAGAGCCTAATCCAGCAAAGCAGTAAGAGGGAACTCAGACTGATTGAGCAGGGGAAGCTCAGTTAAACCCCAGCACATCAGGTGGCATCCCAAAAGGGGGGTCCAACCTGTCACACATACATTTAAAAAAAGCTGAAATATACATTTATATGCAAATAAGATGCAAATAAGGAAATTTGCTCTATAATTAATGTGCATAAATGCTATACATGGAGATGCATAAAACTTGGTAGATATGGGTAGCAGAGTTTAAAGTAGTTGACTATTTAATAACAAGATACTGTATTTTAATTATAACTTGCATATGGCTGTATAATCCAGGGATAGTACCATGCTGTTAGAGAGCTTATTCCTTCACTCTCCCACTTCCCTGGTCCTTTTCGCATGAACAGAGAGCAACAATACCCAAAATCCGAAAGTGCAAACCATTCGATGTTTATTGGGGTGAACTTCCAGCAAGCTTAAATGCAAGTTCCTTTTTCCTTATTTTCGAATCCCAACTTACTTCCTGTTTGCCCCTAATTTATATAGTAATATTCTTAGCTATACCTTAACCAATCATTTTACTGAAATTTACCTAACCAAACCTAACATATTGTAACATGATTAGCTAACATTATATCCCACCACCTTAATTAGTTTACACCCAGCAAAATTAATTATACAGCAGACAGAAGCAATCACAGAACCAGACAGAGACCATGCAAATAAACAATAGCAAAGTGGGAACTATAATGACAAAACAGTACAGAAGTGAGGATTTCACAACTACATCTATAAAGACATAAAGGTTTCTTAGCTGTGTCTATTGGTAAGTGAGTTCTTACCAGACAGAAAACTATCAACCTAAATTTCCTTTTACGTCTTCTAGGCTCTTCCCTTTCTCTGGAGGTGATAGATCGGATCACCTTCCTAACAGCCCCATATTGACTAGTTTGGAATGTGAGGATGTGACCGGTCGCTTCCCAGCTTATGGCTGCCCCTGCTGCTTAGCCAAAGGCATTGGCCTAAGTACAGGGCCTCAGACTGTCACTGTGAGAGAAGGCCCTTACACAGATTCTTTCTTGTATACCTCTATTACTAGCAAAATGATAAACGTATACCTACATTCTTAAAGTATAGGCCTTTACAGGCAGGCCTGAATATCTATATCCTAACACATGCTGTTGTACTAAACAGTAGGGTTGCCATTGCCAGAGCTGGCCTAGAATTTTCAAACCTTGCTCAGGAAAAACTCCCTGAAAACATCGAGAGTTTGCTTAAGTTACTGGCCTGAATGATGACTTTAACAGTCAGTATTTAGGCAAAAGGCAGCATAGTACAGTGCCTGAGTGTGTGCTAATACAATAAGCTAGCACAGTAGGGGTACCGGTGTTGCCAACTCTCACCATCTTATTGTAAGTCCTGGAATATTTGTGGTTTCTCTGAAGGCCGTGGCTGCTGGAAGCAAGAGATTACCTGAGAACCTCAGGTTCGTTTAGAAAAGAGCAGTCTTCTAGCCTGCATCGTTGAGGAGAACAGAGCAAAAGGGTGAAGCAAGTTCACCCGAAGGGCTTAGAAACCAGAAGGCCAAGAAGATGAGTCTAACATTTATTATTTAAAAAAATCTCATGGTTTTTGTGGCCTGACTCATGATTTTGGAACACTCGGGGTTGGCAAGAGTTGGGTGCAGAGTGGAGAAGTATTAGGAGTGGAGAAAGCTGCGTGACCCGTGACCCCCACCTCAAAAGCATTACCGCGCCGTGGATTGGGTGGCGTATTGAAGACGTTGCCTCCCTGATGCCGCAGCAGCTCCCAGGGTAGCAGTCCATGGAGGCCAAGACAGCAGGTGCAAACAGCAAGAGTGCATGCATCTCCGCCTAGAGCCGCAGATGGACAGCCCCCAGCCTGAACAGCCTGTAGCCTTCTGGTGGGTTGGGGGAGCTTAAATGTAAAATTGCATTAAAAATAGAAAGGAAAAACATACATAGAACAGAAAAAAACGAGATCCTAGGGATGAAGAGGAAGAGAGAGAGAGAGAGAGAGTAAAGGGCTGGAAGAAAGGAGAAGCAGCAAGGAGAGATGGTAGCAATTGACCCAAGGCCTGGGGGACAGCCATCTAGCAATCTGTTGCAAAAGGTGGAGGTTCCACCTTCAAATGGTTGGGAACCACTGATGTACAGTGCATCGCCTAAGTCAATTTCTGGATGTAGGTTTCATTAAATCAAAGAAATGTAGGGCTGGAAGGTATCTCAAGAGGTCATCTAGTCCAAGAGGAGCATATGGCCCTCAAAGGGTTATTCATCCTCTCCATTCCCATTGGGTAGATGACCAGAGTGATACATGTTTAGCAATGTTTTATATTCCTTGTTAGTTGGCTATGAAAGAAATTGCTGCAGAAAGTGCAGAGTGCCCTTAACTCCCTTTGCCGGCAGTGGAATTGGAGGAGGCTCAGCACCTCCCAGGATCGGGTTTAGAGGCAGGAAAGAATTTCATGTTTTCATTGAAGGTTGGTTCCTCCTTCTTTGAGGACAATGGTGAACAACTCGTGGAGAGGAGTAATTTAAAACCCGTGTAGGAAATGTGGGGTCACATTAGTGGCCTGATCCGACAGTCCTTACTCAGGCAAAATTCCCATTGACTGCATTAGGGAATGCAGGGTGATATGTCTAAAGCCTGCTTTCTAGTCACAGCATCATGCTTGCATCGGAGTCACTTTTGCTTGGGCTGAGAATAAGCTGTTCTGTGCAGGTGAGACTGAGCTGGAAGCCGCAGTCAGACTGCTGCCCATGCAGAGATAGCAACCTGTTGTCTGCAGACAGTACACGGGCACTGCCCTCCATTCCAGGTTCTCTTCAGTGTCAGCTATACGTTGGACTAGCCAAAGACATTTACTGCCCAGCGGCAAAATAAACAATCTTTCCCCTGTCTCCTGCTTCCTGTCATGTGAGAACGGTCACAGCACAAGATTCGGGCCCTCAGCACCTTTCCCTGGGCCCCTGTGTGGATTCAGACCTTCCCGTTGCACAGAGGAAAGGCCGGGTTTGGTCCGACCCCTCTGTTCATCGTTTTGCACTGGCTTAGGCAGTACTCCATGTGCACGCCCCTCTGATGGGACCATTTGTCAACACATTTGATTCTGGTGTGGGAGGCTTTCGGGTTCAGATCAGACTGAACCTGTGTCTCTTGTTGGTTTTCTTTTAATGTCCCTCCCATGCCCACCCTCTGCCTGTGATGTTGTTTTAAAATATATTGTATTGAAAAAGGGGCAGACTAGATTTTACACACGTGAAAGGGTTTCCCATGAGTAACGGTCTGATTAGCAGCAGGTCAGTTTGCCAAAACTGGATGAGAGAGGTAGCATACATTGCAGTGCTAGGGCCTAGTTGCCTCACGCTAGCCTTATGACCCGCCTATGAGGAACGGGTAGCATTGTTGCCTAGTGGGTAGGGCACTGGACTGGGACTCAGGAGACTTGAGCTTTATTCCCAGCTCTGCACTGGCCTGCTGGCAAGTCACTTCCCCCCTGTGCCTCAGTTTCCACATCTGTAAAATGGTGACAATGATACTTTACCCTCCTTTTGTGAAGTGATGAAAAGCTACTGATGAAAAGCACTATGGACTTGGGTATTGTATGGACTACAAAGGAGGTCGCTTGCACTCACACCCGTGTTTTGAAGTAAAACATTCAGAAATGACTCTATCCGGGAATGTTGAGTCCTCCCTGCAGTGCTGTGTTCTTCTGCTCATCTTCACTGAGAACATGCCTATCCTCTGTTTCGTTTCAGGGGGATTATGTATGGATGGACCTCAAAACCGGTCGGGAATTCGACGTTCCCATCGGAGCTGTGGTCAAACTTTGTGACTCTGGGCAGATCCAGGTGGTGGACGATGAAGGCAACGTATGTATGAAGGAGAAGAGGACTGTGATTGTGTGTCCTTTGTATTAGTGTCAGATGTAGGGGCCCCAAATAGGGTTAAGCACTGGGTGCTGTACAGATGCACAGTATGATCCAAAACCCATTGAAATCAATAGGATTCTTTCCATGAACTCCCATAGACTTTGGATCGGGACCACACAACATGAGATAGTCCCAGTCCCCAAGGACATAGGTGGAAGACAAGATACACAGAGGAGGTGTAACAAACAAAAGGAGAGAAAGGGGGCGGGGGGAGTAACTTTGACAAGGGCGACCACAACAAGACAGTGCAGTAACACAAAGTAGCTAGTGAACAACTTGTCTATTTCAGAGCCAATTAAAGGGGCTTATTTAAGCCTTTTCCTGTTTCCAGTTTATTTTATTGGAGAGGAGGGATAGTCCAGGGATTAGGGTGCTAGCCTGGGACTTGGGAGACCTGGTTCGATTCCCTGCTGTGCCATAGGTTTCTGTATGACCTTGGCAAGTCCCTTACGCTTTCTGTGCCGGAGCTCCCAGCCACCATGGCAGGTGAGGGGACCCCCGCAGCAGCCCATCTCCTGTGGGTGACCCCAGAGCTCCCGCTTGCTGCAGGTGGCGGGGAACCCCCTGGTGCTCCCTGCTGCTGTGGCCGGCGCCCCCACCACCAGAACTGCTCAGCCCCTGCGACCCTGGAGCTCCCTCTCACTGCAGTGGCAGGGGGACCCTGGAGCCCCAGCAGCAATGAGTGCTGAGCTGAACCCGCCTCCCCATTTTGTCAGGGATGTATTCCCCCTTCCAGGGTGGGAGCTGGGAGCAGTGCAGAGGCCGGCTGGGAGCTCCAGCCCCGGGGCAGAAAATATCACCGAGGTCAATGGAAGTTCTGGATCCCGTGACCTAATCGGAGCCTTAACAATAATACATAAGCCTTGCCTTTAATACAATGGACTCCAAAGAGATTTAAACTTAGTACAATGAGGTTTTCCAAGGATACTGCAGGAAATTGCAGTATCTGTCACATGCACTGCCCTGCCTCACAGGGGGAGGAGGGTTGAGAGGATAAATACATCCAAGATTGTGAGGTCAGACATGACAGTGATGGGGGGGAGGGAGGCTGTGACAGGGCCTTGTCCTGCTCCTGTCTCTTTTCTAGCCACAAACCAACCACTCGGAGAAAATGCTTTGTGCTGTTTATTTACACTGTTCTTTCCTACCGCCTGTCCAAACCTTTGCAGCTCTGTATTTATCATAACATATAGTCCTTAGCTCACCCAGCCAAGGAGAGGGAAAGACAGAGGGTCTCTTTCTCTGAGAAGCCTGTCACTCTCTCATGTCCTTCCTGTGCCTTCTCTACCTCTTGGGTAATGAGCTAATTAACCTTTGGGGCTCTCCTCAGCCCATCCCAGTCCACCAATGAGGTGCAGCTCTTCCTAATCAGGGCTACTCCAGAGCAACTACTTGTGGTTATGGTCACCAGAGGGCTGCATGAGGTGCTGTTTCCCAGCACTCTATCACAGGGCCTATATAAATACTTTAGATTAGGGCTTTTAGTTACCACTGCTCCTGCTAGCCACTCCTCTTCTCCTATAGGATCCCCACTAACATCTTCCCTAATCTGCTCCTGAGTTCCCACCGAGCCCTTCAGTAGCCAGCCCCAGTCATCTGTACCAGTTTCTTGGTTTTTTACCAGTAGGGTTGTCAACCCTTCTGGATTGGCTGGGAGTCTCCCAGAATCAGCCTCCATCTCCTATTAAAATCTCCCGGATTGCCTTTAATCAACAGCACAGTGGGGCTAAGGCAGGCTCCCCACCTGCCCTGGCTCTGCGTGGCTCCCGGAAGCCACCGGCACATCCCTCTGGCTCCTAGATGCAGGAGGAGGCCAGGGGGGTCTCTGTGCGCTGGCCCCGTCCTGAGTGCCAACTCCGCAGCTCCCATTGGCTGGGAAACACGGCCAATGGGAGCTGTGGAGGTGGTGCCTGCAGGCAGGGGCAGCAAGTAGAGCCGCCTGGCCACCCCTGAGCATAGCAGCCAGCGGGACGTGCCGGTCGCTTCCGGGAGCTGCCTGAGGTAAGTGCTGCCTGGCTGGAGCCCGCACACCTCACCCCCTCCTCCACCCCGCCCCAGCCCTGAGCCCCTTCCTGTACCCAAACTCCCACCCTAAGCCTGCACCCCCTCCTCCACCCCCAACCCCCAGGCTCAACCTGGAGCCCCCTCCGACTCTCCAAACCCCTCTGCCACAGCCCAGAGCCTGCACCCCAACCCTCTGCCCCAGCCCGATGAAAGTCAGTGAGGGTGGGGGAGAGTGAGCAATGGAGGGAGGGGGGGATCGAGGGAGTGGGGCAGGGCCTTGGGGCGGGGCAGGGTGTTTGGGTTTGTGCAATTGGACCATGGACAACCCGAGTTACAGAATAGCTTTGTAGGTCATGTCATGCAGCACAGCCTCTGAGCAAAGTCTCCATGAGCTCCCGGCTGGATCCGTCTAAAGTGCCCGTTTTTGGCTCCAGAGCCAATTAAACCACAGGAATAATTTGCCAAACCTGAAAGGACAAACTTGCTTAAGGTGATGTACAAACCTGAAGCTCCAAAACCTTGAGAGCAGGTCAGGGATGAACCGGGCAGCCTGTGAAACCCAGTGGATCTGGCTACCAAGATCAGAAAAGTGGCTGAATGCAGTAATTATTCTCATTGTTTATATTACAGCAGTGCCTAGAGGCCCCCGCTAAGATCAGGCCCCATTGTGCTAGGTGCTGTACAAATAGGGTGTCCAGATGGCCTGGTTTTATTGGGACCATCCTCCCTTTCCCCCCCACCCCCCCCGACATCCTGATTTTTCACACTTGCTCTCTGGTCACCCTATGTACAAATGCTGGCTAAGAAATAGTCCCTGCTCCAAAGAGAATAAAGAATAATAGGTTTTCAGGAATCAAAATGCCTCTGCAGTCCTCCTCAGAGCAGCTCAAGGAAAGGGTAAATGGAGCTTTGACCCATTCATCTAAATCCCCATTTCATGGACACAGGAATTGTCAGACCGATGGTCCCTCTAGTTTAGTAACCCATTTCCACAACTGACCAGTAATGGATGTTTCAGAATCATAGAATCATAGAATATCAGGGTTGGAAGGGACCTCAGGAGGTCATCTAGTCCAACCCCCTGCTCAAAGCAGGACCAATCCCCAACTAAATCATCCCAGCCAGGGCTTTGTCAAGCCTGACCTTAAAAACCTCAAAGGAAGGAGATTCCACCACCTCCCTAGGTAATGCATTCCAGTGTTTCACCACCCTCCTAGTGAAAAAGTTTTTCCTAATATCCAACCTAAACCTCCCCCACTGCAACTTGAGACCATTACTCCTTGTTCTGTCATCAGCTACCACTGAGAACAGTCTAGAGCCATCCTCTTTGGAACCCCCTTTCAGGTAGTTGAAAGCAGCTATCAAATCCCCCCTCATTCTTCTCTTCCGCAGACTAACAATCCCAGTTCCCTCAGCCTCTCCTCATAAGTCATGTGTTCCAGTCCCCTAATAATTTTTGTTGCCCTCCGCTGGACTCTTTCTAATTTTTCCACATCCTTCTTGTAGTGTGGGGTCCAAAACTGAACACAGTACTTCAGATGAGGCCTCACCAATGTTGAATAGAGGGGAACGATCATGTCCCTCGATCTGCTGGCAATGCCCCTACTTATACATCCCAAAATGCCATTGGCCTTCTTGGCAACAAGGGCACACTGTTGACTCATATCCAACTTCTTGTCCACTGTAACCCCTAGGTCCTTTAATGCAGAACTGCTGCTGAGCCATTCGGTCCCTAGTCTGTAGCAGTGCATGGGGTTCTTCCGTCCTAAGTGCAGGACTCTGCACTTGTCCTTGTTGAACCTCATCAGATTTCTTTTGGCCCAATCCTCTAATTTGTCTAGGTCCCTCTGTATCCTATCCCTACCCTCCAGCGTATCTACCTCTCGCTCCAGTTTAGTGTCATCTGCAAACTTGCTGAGGGTGCAATGCACACCATCCTCCAGATCATTTATGAAGATATTGAACAAAATCGGCCAGAGGTCCGACCCTTGGGGCACTCCACTTGATACCGGCTGCGAACTAGACATGGAGCCATTGATCACTACCCATTGAGCCTGACAATCTAGCCAACTTTCTATCCACCTTATGGTCCATTCATCCAGCCCATACTTCTTTAACTTGCTGGCAAGAATACTGTGGGAGACCGTGTCAAAAGCTTTGCTAAAGTCAAGGAACAACACGTCCACTGCTTTCCCCTCATTCACAGAGCCAGTTATCTCATCATATGACAAGGATGAGCCAAACCCCTCCGTCCATCACTAGCAGTGTTGGTGGCTGGTTTATACCCAGAAACATGAGGTTCTGTATCCCTTATCATTTTGTTATCCTTGCTAATAGTGTAGATATTCTTCTTTTTCATGTAAGGCCTGATTCTCACTTCACTACAGCCCCTTTACACCACTCTGGCAGTGCAAAGGGGGCTTAAAGTGGGCTTAAAGTGGTCTTAAATTGCACACCCACTTTTAAAGCCCCTTTATACTTCCAGATCAGTGTGAAGGGGTCTGTAACTCCATGAGAATCAGGTCTATAAAAGTCTAATTCCCTTTTCTTTTCTTTTCTTTTCTTTTCTTTTCTTTTCTTTTCTTTGATCCTGCTAAGCCTTTGCTCTCAATAGTGCTTTGGGACAGTGAGTCCCACATGTGAACTGATGATGTTAAAACACAGCTATATCCTGGTCTTGCAGGGATCTGAGAGATCATTTCCTTTTCACTATGATCCTTTAAAGTTAATGGCTGTCATGCCCATGTACTGCATACATCCTTTCATCCTGTCCTTTCTGAATCTGTCTCGGGTGCATATCATGGTAGGCTCACTTTTGACCTCTTTCCCCTTTTTCTCTCCAGGAGCACTGGATTTTCCCTCACAATGCCAGCCACATCAAACCCATGCACCCGACCTCTATCCATGGGGTGGAGGACATGATCCGCCTGGGGGACCTGAATGAAGCTGGGATTCTGAGGAACCTGCTCATCCGTTACCGAGAGCACCTTATCTATGTGAGTGTCCACCCGGAGAATGTCATCTCACCCCAGCTTTGTTGTGTTTATTTTCATTTCTATCCTGAACTGGTCCAAGCCCCATGCGTACCTATTCTCTGCCATGTCTGCTGCAAAGTTTACATGCTGTTCCTGCAGGACATGAGATACCATTACACGTGGAGGTTTACTGAATTGGGGAAAGGATATATCTTCTGGATGTTAAGAAAATCTAATTCCTTTTATGTGACCAAATGGGGAGCGCCCCTCACCGCTGGGCTAGCGAATTCAAGTCCCACATGGGAGCCTGGGTTTACACCTGAGAGTGGATCCCGAGTGCAGGGAGTTTCTGCAGTTATGAGCAATGTGCTTTGGGTGAAGCATTAAACTGAGTTTCTCGTTGTCCAAGTGGAACTTATAGATCCCATGGTAACAACTAACCATCCCCAGGTATTTGCCTGGGCGCGCTTTAAGATCGCAACATGTTTAGCTGACCTAACTGAGGATTACATGCATAGGGGATGTGGTTGAAGAATCCCCACAGTGTGACAGGCTCTGGGAATTAAATAACCTGCGATGTGACAAGGCAGTTTTCCCACAGTGACCTTGCAATACCTGGTGCGTGCACTTAAGACTTATTCATTCTGAATTTCCTGGTTTCTCTCAGCTGCGGTTTGATTGCTACGATATTTTTCTTAGAACTCTTAAGTTCCCGATATGCACACGCCGCCTTAACGCTCCTTTAAGTGCTGTTTGACTCAGCAAAGCGACTGTAAAATCAGCATTGTGGATTTGCAGGTTTGTCTCTCAATGATCTCATACCTGGTATGCTCAGTTCCCTAGCTTTGCAAACTCAACTATTTCCTCCTGACGCCGCATTGCTGGTTCTAACACTTCCACAACCCAGATTCTGCCCTACGTGGCACTTGTGCAGCTGCACAGGTTTTCATTTAGGACATAATGTGGAGGCAAATTGAGTTGCACAGTCGTTCTGCTATAACATTACAACTCCAAAAGGAGTTGGAGGAGTCGGAGATCAAAGGGTCTTGGTTTGTTTTATCAGAGTTGCGGAATCGCTGGCTGCAGGCTTGCAGGGTCATAAGATGCACAGGTTTGTGCCTGAAGTAAAACATACCTGGAGTGCATGCAAGCATGCTATTTGATGTTGCCAAATAGTCAATGTGACCACAGAAGAATGGGGCATTTCCGGATAGCTCTTAAATTGTAAGGCTTGCAGGCACCCAATGGCAGAAGTACATCGTTTTGTGCCCTCACCAATGCCTATGCTGCAGTGTAAACTCAGGGCTCAAGCTTAATCTCCCTTTCGTATACACACAAATCATGCTAACCCAGGGCTCGGGCTAAGATCCTATGGGGATGAAGTGTTGGAGTTAAACCAGGGTTCAAGCCTGATTGCATTGCAGTGTAGATGCAGCCCCACTGGACTTGTGTTCTGGGATCCACCAAAAGTATCCCACAATCCCCCAGACAGACATTCTTTGTCCTCTGGACAGTCAAGTTTGGTGGGCTGTCAAGTTTTCCCATGCTGCACCACGAACAAGGCATTAGCGCGGCCATATTTTGGGAGGACACTAGGAAGTCTGGGACATGGGTGGTTGGATTTGGGCCTGCATAATGCAGTGAGGATACGGGGTTCAACAATTCCTAACCTGGAGTTACAAATGAGTGTAGACGCTTAAGCCCTAGGTTAACTAACCCAGGGTCTGCTAACTTGAGTTCTACTAACCTGGGCTTACATTGCAGTGTAGACATACCCTCTAAGGTCTTTTTTTAAACAATTTAAGGATTTCATTTAAAGATGAGTGATTCATAGGCTGGTAGATTTTAAGGCCAGAAGGGACAATTATGGTCATCTAGATGCTTGTTTGAATCTTAGGAAAACTATCCAAACCTCTTAGGTCAGTAAGGCCCGGCTGGAGAACTCACAAGAACAGGCTTTCCTAACATCTAGAGAGAGCACTCCGCCACAGAAGTAGGGGCCTGTTTGCAGAGCCAGATCTGACACACACTCTCTCACTCTCTCTCTCTCTCTCTCTCTCTCTCTCTCTCTCTCTCACACACACACACACACACACACACACACCCTCTCTCTCTCTCTCTCTCTCTCTCTCACACACACACACACACACACACACACACACACACACACACACACACACCTCGCAAAAGTTTGAGGGTGTTCAGATGCTTGAGTTTGGTTCAGGCCTGTCTCTACTTGTGAGATTTCTAGCAGACCCTGTTTCCAGGTAGGGCAAAAATATGGCAAGAGCAGTCTTTTCTTTTGGTATTTTGCCAGCTCCGCTCCTTGCCTCAGATGGAACTGGGGGTATGTGAAAATGAGAAAAAATGTTACATCAGCATTTTCCAAATCTTTCATAAATGCTGGGTTTGGTTCCAGAGCTGGGTGAATTCTCTGGCCTATGTGATGCAGGAGATCAGACCACATCCTCCTAATACTCCCTTCCGGCCTTGAAACCTATGAAGAACCAAGGCAGTCAGAATAGGTTTAGCAATAACTAAGGATACAATTTACTCATGGAGGTCACTGATTCTGTGACTTTAAGGAACCCCGGTGACTTCTTCGGCTGCACCCCTGCCACAGTGGCGGGGGCTGGAGCTGTCAGTCACCTGCAGCAGCAGTGGGGCTAGAGCCCCCCTTCCCCCGTGGCGGGCTCAGGCTTCAGGTTCCCCAGCGGTCGGCCCCTTCTCCCCTGTTATTTTTAGTAAAAGTCAGGGACAGGTCACGGGCCTCCATGAATTTTTGTTTATTGCCCATGACCTGTCCTTGACTTTTACTAAAAATAGCCAGGACAAAATATTAACCTTAGCAATAGCCCACCATTCCAGATGTTGAACAACGCACCTTCAGCTTTGCAGGAATCGGTCTGCAGAGTCTCACCAGCTATTGCATTGTACAGATTTTGAAGGGCAGAAGACAGTGGGGATGGGGCAATATCCTCCCAATAACTTTCTGGTCGCTTTGAGTGGAAGATAATTCCCTCACATTTTTGTTTCATTAGAGAGAAATGTGCTGATGCACTGGGAAGGGTTAACATAGCCTCTTAGGTTGGAATATGCATTTTTGGGAATTAGGTGAGGTGAGCTGGTTTATATGTAACAAACAGTTGTCTTGAGTAAAGGTAAAGGTCAGCTGCTTTGCAGTCATGTCTTCACTCAGCGTTTCTGAGGCTGTCTGTTGCTTCTTAGTGGTATTGACTGAGGACAGATTCTCCTCTTGGTTCCAATATTCTGCTTTCCCTGCGTGTGGGGTCTTTCATAGGCATCAATGAGAGTAATACATCCATCTTCAAAAGTTTAACTGACTAATTCCCACAGTCTGTGAAGCAGGTGATTAGTATTATCCCGTTTACAGATGAGGAAACGGAGGCAAGGGAAGTTAAAGCCAACATTTACGAATCCACATTTAGGCATCTGAATAAATGGCCAGATTTTCAGATTTTAATGAACAGAAGCTACAAGCATTCAGGTCCTCTGATGCTTGTGCCATTGATTTAGGAGCCTAGGTTTAGGCCCCAAATCTGGAAATGGTGGCCCAAGGCCCCATGGGATTCAGTGTCTAACCCACCATTAGCTATCAGGACTTCCAGGCCCCCAGCCCTGCAGTCAGGCCCTGCCAGTGATGGCTGATGTAGGAGACTGGGCTGCCCCTTTCTCATAGGCTGGCTGCAGACACAGTCTGGGGGAGGGGGAGTCAGGATGCCAGCTGTGGCTGAACGGCAGCATTCCTGGCAGGTTCAGGTAGTGGAATTAATGGGCTTGTCCAGGCATGTATGGGGGTGTCAGCCCAAAAGGCAGGGCGGGATCCTGTGGTCGTTTTCTGGGAAGTGGAAGCCCCCCGTGGGAAGAAAGTCCATTGAAATGTCCTGTCCCTAGTTTTCGGTGTGCGGGAAGGGCAAAGAGGGAGACTATTCTAGAGTGAGTCCGAGGAAGAAAAGTGACAGAGACAACAAACGGAAACCAAGAAGCAGGAAGCCAGAGGAGGGTAACGCGAGGGTGCTACTGTGCCAGGAAGCCAGTCTTGTGCTGATGTGCACCTCTCCAGCAGGAGAGCTGCCGGGCATGAGGCCTCTTGGAGCCCAGGGCTATCACACCTGGGTGCAGCCTGAATCACCCAGCGAGATGGCCCTGTCCTGGGCCCTGGAGAGGCTGGTGCTCCTGTGAGCGCTCGCCTAGCTCTGACTAGGGCACAAAGACTGTGAACAGCTGCTGATTTAGAGGCAGGAGTGGACGGATCTCCTCCTGTGGGTTTCTGTGCAGCAGGGAGGGGGCCCCCTCTTTCACAGGAGATTGGTGGCTGAGTTCTGAGTGCCCGGTGGATGCTGGGTGTCTGTGCCTCCAGCCAACGCATTAACCTTTTATTAGATGTGCGAAATGCAGCCCCAGGTATCTGTCTCTCATTAGGAGTTTACCCCCTACGCAATGATGCCTTTTTAATCTCTTTAACAACTCCAGGCTTGCCAGCGCTCGCTGAAGTACTGCCCCATTCCCTTAGCCATACACTGCTTCGGTTCTACAGCAAAGTGAGATGGCTGCTAGAGGACTGCGCCTCCCCAAAGCTGGGAGAAGGAGACAAAGGGACTAGCACAGGCTTGGACAGCTGGGCAGTACAGCTGGGCCAATCCTTTGTAGCAAAGAATGTAGTCAGTGAGCTTTGCCCCTGTTTCTGTTTGCGCATTGTCTGCAAAAAGGCTGCGGTGACATTTAGGCCAGGTCTCCACTGCCGGGGCACTCCCAGGACAGGAACACCAGTGTGCTGTCTGATCGACAAGGTGCTTCTCACGCGGACGCAGCTATACCACCTAAATATGTCTACATGTGCATTCAGGAGCTTAACTTTAAGCATCAACTTTGTAAGATTTTGGTCAAAGATTTTAAAATCTGTTTGACTCATGAAGCAAAACAGATTGGCTTTTAGTTCTCACATCACTGAGGGGCTTTTGGTAGGGGGAGGAGGGGAGGAGGTTTGGTTGGAGAGAGAGAGAAATTTTGACAGGTAAATAAACCATCCCTTTACATTATCTATCACCCTGGCAGAGGAAGAGTGAGTAGAGTTTTGGGAAGTGTGGCTGGCAGTTCTGCGCAGCTGCATATGTCCCTGTGAATGGAGCCGAGGTGGTAGAGACCAACCCAGCAAGCAGCGGTTCCATGAGGTACAATTTGCTGTCACCAGCTGAAAGTGATAGTACTCAGTGTGGTCCGTGACAGGCCTGCACTGCTTGAGGGGGTTCCCGGCGCTGCTGAATCACGGATGAATCCTGCAACGAGGCTTCTGACAACCTGTGTCTTTCCCGGTTCAGCTTGGGGAAAAGATTCGCCATGACTTGGCGAAAGGCTTTTGTAATCCTGCTCTAATACAATACGTATTTTCCTTTTTCTCCTTCCTTCTTTCCTTTTTAACCCTCAGACTAACTGTGGCGGGAGGGTAAGTATAACGCACAGAACAATCGAGCCACCTTCCATTGCCGCAACGCATTGTGACATCATCCACTGGCTCGCTCGTTTACGTTCACCATTCCTGGCGTTTCTCATTTGTCTTGCGCTGCTTTTCTGTTGCCCCATGAATGCACCCAAACCGTTATCCCTTTGGCTGCAGTGCTTTGCCGCAATGACAGAAATGTGGTCTTTTCCTAGAAGAGCAAAGTACCGAGTCTGCGGATGGGATGCCAGATGGACAGGGCTATCACCAGCTATGTGTAAGAGCCCGGTTTGGAGGAAATAAGCAGATATGACAAAATGAAAAGGGTGATGCAAGCGCTGTTCTGCATGGCTCATGCTTGTGTGTGCTGAGAAAACCTGTGCTGAGTAGCAGGGGTGTTTTGTCATGACACTTGGTTACTGAGCAGGGCTTTGTCTATCTGGAGATGAACTCAAAGCCATCTGCTACTGAATAGGGGTTGCTAAAGTGCAGGAGTATCTGGTCATGGTGTGACCCTGCATTCTCTGAGCAGCAAAAACTCCAGTTGAAGCCAAGGCGAGTTTGGGGTGCTCTGGGAATCAGGCACAGAGTGGATTTGTTACGTGGCTAATGAAAATGTAGGTCACACGGGCAGTAACGAGTTTGCAGTGGAACAGCATTTCCTGGTGTAAACTGTCAGCTTTTGTAGAACCATCACCCATACGTACAGCCAAGCTGATCTTTACACCAAAACAGAGGGGCTTTACTCTTAACCAGACTTGGAAATGGGAATTGCAAATATTTTCTTGTAGCTGCCCTTTGGCCCATCATCAGTTCGGGGGCCAAAGTCTTGAATGCTGTCAGCTGTTAAAATTGGGCAAGCTGTTGTATTTGTCAACTAGAAACAAGTCAAACCAAGCTTGTCTCTTGAGATAACACAGGAGTTTATGCTGACAGACTCTCAATGATCACAAGAGAAAGGTCAGTGGGAACATCAAGAAAACATTCCGGCCAGTAATGGTTAACTCCTTTAAAAGGATCTTTGGCTGTAGTCAGAATCACGGGTCTTGGCCGGGACATACAAGTTACCACCAAAGGTTGGAATATGGGGATGTCACAAACTTGCGCCAGAAGCAAAGTCAGTCTTTCTGAGAATGAGTTAAGAGAACATGAAATGGGATATTTCTGCCTCTATGTACTGTTAAACATGACCTAAAATTGCCTAGAAATGCCACATAACTTGTAAATCTCACCAAGTTACGAAGCAGCATGAAAACTTCAGACATCTTTTAGGTTGTGAGTTCAAATCCAGCCCAGGATTCAATCAGAGAGTTACTCCCTTTTGTTGACTGTGAAATGAGTTCGGGGGTCCAGTCCAGCTCCCAGTGGACAAGGGTTCCTATGACAAAATCCTCCACAGCTGGCACTAATTGTCAGCCTGATTGAAAGTCTGAGCAGATGCTAAGGATTGAGTGGGCCATAGAGATGGAGATGGAGCTACCCTCTCATCCCTTCCAAATCAGGATTGAGGCACATTAGCAGGATTATGTGGAAGAAATTTGAACTGGGGCTGCCCATGCTGGTCTCTTGGTCTCTTAGTCCGGCCTTCTCAAGAGTGCTGGCCCAGTATGCTGATTCCAAAAGTGAGTAAAAATTCTAACTCACTCTATCTGCAATTTGCAACACATGTTAGCAAGAGAAAGCTGGACTGTGCCTTACTCTATAATAGGGATCTTTTATTAATTGCCTGAAACCACCACAGAAACATTCTAGCTCACTCTATGTAAGCTTAGGGTCAGTCACCTATTGGCTGTCTAAGAAGGCTAGCTGCCATGGCTGCATTCCCAGGCAGCTCAAACCCCTGTTAAAGCCTAGTAGAGTTCTTTATCGAGGGAGGGGTCCCATGGAATGGGCTACTTGGCTCCTCCCATCTGGTGATAGTAGAACATGCTATTAAAAGGGTGTAAGGCATTTTATTTATTTATTTATTTATTTGCATTAAAACGACCAGCTCTTTCTTTGGATAGCGTATTCTAGGCAGTATTGGTCTTTTCATTACTTGGTCCACCAGGAGACAAATTGTGTCCTTAACCTTTGGCTTGGGATACATGACTCTTGTCCTGGTCTGTTATCTATATAAACTGGATATTCTTCTTTGAGTTGTGTCCCTGTGGGTGCTGCACTCTAGGGATCTTCATATCCTGGCACCTAAGATCGGAGATTGGTCCTGCTTTGAGCAGGGGGTTGGACTAGATGATCTTCTGAGGTCTCTTCCAACCCTGATATTCTATGATTCTGGGTAGCAGTGTCCATTTGGCCCGCACCTGCACTCTCTCTGTCTCGTGCTGTGCTCTTTTGTTATATAGCGTTGTGCGGGCAAACCGCTCTCAGATCCTTCTCAACTGCCCTGGGCCTGAGATGGAGCCTTAGCAGAGCCTGTTGGCAGAGGTTCTACTTGGTGTTTTTTCTTACTAATTTTCCACAGCAGTAATAGAGCTTCAGTTAGTGTTAATACTTCCTTCTTCTATTTTATTTCTTTCCAAAAAAATTTTTATTTCGCTTGTAGAATAGTTGTCTCCTTCGTGTACGTTAGCTTTCTCTAGTTCTTCCCATTCAGTCGGTGGAGCACTTCTTAAATTGCAGTAGGGCCCTTCAGTTAGAGAGGCTGCACTGAGGTGCCAGCAGTTAACTTGGCACGATCACTCACGCACATCATAGGATATGTAACTTGGCTCGCGGTCAGTTCCTGTAACTGGTTTCATATAAGGGGCCATGGTGCATGGCGGGGGGGAGAAAGAAGGTGCACCTTGAACAGTGCTGTCTAGCGGCATTATGCCCTTGTCATTATACTCTCCTGAGGCACTAGGGGGGAACATGGTGAGAAGCAGCACCTTTAATGAGCTGCAATCTGAGCTGTCTGCAGTGCTGCCTGGAGTCACCAGCGCAAACAGGGAGTGAGCCTGTGGGATCCCTGCCCCCAGACACTCCTCCTTTGGGGCCACTAGCTTTGCCAGCCATGCTAGCATGTCCCCCATCTTTGGCTTCCCCAGCACCTCCTGCCAAGTGAAGGCTGCTCTCTGCATGATTGTGTAGAGGAAGGGGCTGCTTGCACCCTCTTCCTCCTCTGCCGCCCCCATGACATCCCCAAAGGAGTATCACAAAAGGAGGGTCGTAGGAAGGTGACAAAGGTCCCCAGGGAGTAGCTGTCCAATATCACAGCACAGCTCCAGGCTCCTGAGAGATCTGTGGTAGAGATGGATCAAAGGCCTTTTCTGTGACATACCTTTATTATTTGGGCTGTTTGTCAAATTGTAAACAACAGGGCTACAACAACACTGCAAACAACTGTATTATTTGGGCAGTCAAGGCAGTGGTCCCTCGTAGCGCACCTGACAGATGTGGGTCTCTGGTGGCTCTGACTGTGTTTGTTGCAGAGATGGTCCCACGTTGAAAACCCGGACCTAAACTTCACAGTGATTGAAATCTGGCTCAGAGTTCGGGGTTTGTTTGTGTTGATTTGCACAGTTAGGGCTTTTGCTTCATTTTGACTCCAGAAGTCACCCTGCAAATGGCTTTTTGAAATGAGCAGTGCCTTTCCGGTGGCTGTTGAAAATCCCTCTCCTGTTTTGCCTTTGCCTTTGGTCCTGGGTACTAAAGCTGCTCAGGTGGGGCACCTCGTCCCGATAACCTTCTTTGTGCTTCTCCCCTAGACGTATACAGGCTCGATACTGGTGGCAGTGAACCCCTACCAGCTGTTACCTATCTACTCCCCAGAGCAGATCCGGCTGTACACCAACAAAAAGATTGGGGAGATGCCTCCCCACATCTTCGCAATAGCTGACAACTGCTACTACAACATGCAACGCAACAACAGGGACCAGTGTTGCATCATAAGGTGGGTTTGTGAATGTCAGGCCCAGCACGGGTCCCGAATTAGGACTCCATCCTGCCAAAGGTGCTGAGCATGCTCACCTTGGTTGCTTGTGAAAAGTGCAGGGTAGACCGCACTCACGGCTAAAGTCCAAAGAGTATTTAGCCAAACAGCACAGCATAGGCAGTGTCCGTGTCAACTTCCTCACACCAGCCTGTTAGTATGGCCCCTCCGGGAGGAGTGTACGGGGCGTTCAGAGTCTATGGGAATATCTGCGCTGGAGCTGGAGGGGTAATTTCCACTTCGGGGAGACGTGTGTCCTCTAGCTTCGATTGAGCTATCCCACTAATCAGGGCCACCCGGAGGATTCTGGGGGCCTGGGGCAAAGCAATTTCGGGGGCCCTTTAATTAATTAAGCGCCTTTTTAATTTTTACTCACCCGGTGGTGCTCCGAGTCTTCGGCAGCGTTTCGGGGTGGTGGGTCCTTCACTTGCTCTGGGTGTGTTCGGCGGCACTGAAGGACCGGCCGCCGAAGTGCCGCCGAAAACCCAAAGCGCCGCTGAGTGACTAAAAGCGCCTCGGGGGGTGGTGCCTTTTTTGTGATCACTCCCCATGTTCGCTCCCCTTGGCTACGCCACTGGCCCTTCCACACAAAAAAGTTGCAATACTATAGAATACTATATTCTCGTGGGGGCCCCTGTGGGGCCCGGAGCCTGGGGCAAACGGCCCAACTTGCCCCCTCCCCCCACCCTCTGGGCGGCCCTGCCACTAACAGCGCGAGCAGCAGGATGGGCTAGCCACATTCCTGCCCAGGACCCTAGGTACTTCCTTGGGTGGCTAGCCCAACCCACTGCCATTCCACCCTGGCTGTAGTTCCATTTTTAGCATCTTAGCGCCATCACAGCTAGCAGGCGCCTGTCTTGCTGAGGTGGGAATTACACAAGACGTTCCTGTGGCTTGGCCTTTTTGCTGAAGCTGATTGGTTCAGCAATTGTGTTCAGTCACAGAAGTTAAGGATGGAAAAGACTTATTAGAACATCCAGTCCATATCTCTCCCCATGCAGGGTTGGTCAAGCCTAGTTTTTAACATTCCAAGTGATAGGCCTTCTACCACTTCCTTTGATAATTATTCCACAGCCTAATCGAGGTGAATCTCAGGATGTTTTCTCTGATATCCATCTTAAACTTTCTCTTTAATTTCATCCCATTATTCCTGGGGTGACTATAGATGCACAGATCTATAGCTTTGAAGACTAGAAGGGCCCATTATCTTCACCCAGTCTGACCTCCTGCATAACACAGACCATAGAATTACACCCAGAAATTCCTGCCTCCAGCCATAACTTACTCCATAGTTAAGCTGTCTAAGCACCTGATTCTGCCAAGCTTTGGAGCAGTACCTTGCTCCCGAGTAGGTTGGCTGAAATCCATGGGACTACCTGCACTGTAAGACACTGCCCAGTATGAATTACAGTGGCAGAATCAAGCCTCAGTCAGGTGCTCTGAAACTCTTTTGTAGTCTGGACCCGATCTCAATAGAGAGATGGTCAGACAGGCGATCTCCCCTCCTTCTCCCCTCCTATTTACGCTCAAATGAATCGTCTGCAATAGCATCAGAGCCCCATGGCATCTATAAAAATGGCTTCCGTGGAATTGTAATGTTTTAGACGTACCGTGTGTATTCGTAGCTGTCTTTTAATGCAGTTCGGCAACTTGAAACAAGACAGAGAACTTGCTTCACTTGGCCAGCCAGCTGTCCTCTGAACACAAACAAGTATCTCTGATCCAAACTAATTCCTCTGTCTTCTCGATGTTTACACTCTTCAGAAGGCTATAATGCTGGACTGAATTCGCTTATCGATAAGGCTGTAATTCTGTCACGGAGGTCACGGGTTCCCTGACTTTCCGGGGAGTCTTCTGGTGCAGGGCTGGAGCAGCTGTCAGGCCAGGGGCCGCGGAGCTGGTGGCCCCTGCTCCGGTGGCCCCTTAACAGCTGACTGGCAGCCAGCCCAGCCCTGGGGCCGCCAAAGCAGTGGCTGGGGTTGGGTCAGCCCCTGCCACAGCAGCAGCAGCAGGGCTGGAGCAGCTGCAAGCCTCATCAGCACTCTCTTTGCCCCTGCTCAGGAACAGGTCACAAGCTTCTGTGAATTTTTGTTTATTGCCCACGACCTGTCCCTGACTTTTACTAAAAATACCCATGACAGAATCGTAGCCTTACTTATCAGCGGTGTTCAAACTGGACACAGGCCTGACCCCAAATTTAAGATCCAGGCCCCAGAGAACTTTGGGTGGTACTCCTGATCCAAAATCAAAGCTGGATCCTAAGCCTGAGGTTGATTCCTATCCCTCTGATAGGCCACACACAATCCCCAGATCCAAACATGAATCACTTTGAGGACGTTCCATGGTCTGTATTAGCCAGGAGGTCATCGTGGTCCCCTTTGGTCTTTGAATTTAAGAATCTGTGAATACATGTGAAGTTTAGGGGGTTTGAAATCCAAATGTAGAATCCACCTGTACTAGAAACACATGCCTTGAGATTTCCAGGTCGTTCATTTGAATGCAGAGTCCAGGGCCCTGGCAGTGGTGAGACAGGGCATTTACTCACATGCATTCCTTTCAACTTGTACAGTGGCGAGTCTGGTGCAGGGAAGACGGAGAGCACTAAACTGATCCTGCAGTTCCTGGCTGCTATCAGCGGGCAGCATTCTTGGATTGAGCAGCAGGTGCTGGAGGCAAACCCCATTTTAGAAGGTGAGCCTTGAAAAGACGGTGGGTGGAGGGAAACACTTCTGCTATTAATAATATGGAGAGGGCTAAGATTAAACTGCATTCCCAATAATTGCTTTACAGCAGGAACCAGAATTGCAAGAGCTCAACACCTGCCCCTGGGATCAGACTTTCAAAAGGGCTCAACCCTAGAGCTGGTCAGAAAATAGATTTTCCATCGTGTGGGAAAAAAAAAAATAGAGATTTCAGCATTTTTCTCCTCCCTAACTGGAACAAAATGCCAAAATGTTTTGAAATTTTTTACTAACTGAAATTCCATGAAAATTTCATTTCAGGTCAATCAAAACATTTTGTTTTGATACATTCACAGCTTTTCGTTTTGATTTCAACCCTTTTTTCTTTTAAAAAGATGTTTATATATAAAATTAAGAAACTGCTAAACAAAAAGCAGTTTTGAAACAGAAAATCAAAAGAGTCGATGTTTTCAAAATGTTTTTTTCCAATTTTTTTTCCTAGATGAAATATAGTCAAAATTCATACAATATTGGGGGGAAAAAAGGGGGGTTTAATTGAAGCTGCATTTTCCAACAGAAAACTGTTTCGACAAAAATTTTCCAGTCATCTCTACTCAACGTACAGTATACAGAGCTGTTCTGAAAATCTGTGTGCTTCTTCTGGGGCAGAAATGGGCCCTGTGCGCTTCTTAAAATCTGTCACCATCCTGATGTAGACACGCTGCTCAACTAACAGCTGCGAAGGTTTTGCTCAGTTGTGATTCCGTACAGCACCTTCCATTGGTTTCGCTCACTGGTTAACATGAGCCTTTGTTTAACTTGATCAACGCCTCAGAACCAAATGCTTTGTAGTAGAAAAAGTAATAATAGCCATTCCACCTTGTGCTTTGATCAGGTTTGAACGCTTTAAGCTGCTTGTACAATAACACAGCTTTCTGGTTCTAGAAAGCTGCTGTGGAATGAATGTGGAGAGCCAGAATTCTGAATGAGTCAGGAGGAATAAACAAAAGAGTTCAAGGAAGATTCAAGACATAAGGAAGGCCAGATTGTCAGCCCTGTATTTACATAGGTGAGCAGGGACTCCCATGAATAGTCCGATTGACTTCAGCGGCACTAGTTTTGTGAGTTAACTGCTCATTGCCGTGAATACGGATTCACAGTCTTGCCCCAAAAGATGGTTGCAACTTAGAGTTGGGGGCCCGGTTCTGCCACCCTGATTCAAGTCGAGTGATACCTTACTCAGCAACTAGTCCTGTTGAAATCAATGGGAGTGCACACGTCGTAAGGTAACTACTCTGCAAGAACAACGAGGAGTCCTTGTGGCACCTTAGAGACTAATAAATTTGGGCTTTTGTTCGGGCATAATCTTACCCACTTGGTAAAGCAACTCCCATCTTTTCATATGCTGAGTATTTATACCTCTCTACTGTATTTTCCACTCCAAGCATCTGATGAAGTGGGTTTTAGCCCACAAAAGCTTATGACCAAATAAATTTGTTAGTCTCTAACGTGCCACAAGGACTCCTTGTTGTTCTTGCTGATGCAGACTAACATGGCTACCACTCTGATACTCTGCAAGAGTAAGGGTGGCAGGGTCTGGCCCAACATCATTGAAAACATTGGGCAAGAGTCCGACGTCCTTACTCAATAGTGCTTTACTTCAAAAGGAGTCAATAGGAGTTTGTGTTACTAAACCAGAGCAAGGGTGCCAGAATCTGGCCCAGTGTTACTGAGGTTCTAAAACGCTGCCATGTGCCATGCCAGCTGTGATAGGCACCCTGGACGACAGGCACATAACAAGATCAACAGCTTATTTCAGTCGGAATAGACTTGATCGAATGAAGTAATAAGACTTAGAGGGGAGTTTTGTCTGTCTAGGAGATTCAGCTTTGGGCCTTTAATTTGTGGGTTAAACTAATTATCTTTCTGAAAAAAGAAAAGGAGTATTTGTGGCACCTTAGAGACTAACAAATTTATTTGAGCATAATTAATTGTATCCAGTTTGCAAATTAATTCCAATTCAGCAGTCTCTCGTTGGAGTCTGTTTTTTGTTGAAGAATTGCCACTTTTAGGTCTGTAATTGAGTGACCAAAGAGATTGAAGTGTTCTCCGAGTGGTTTTTCAATGTTATAATTCTTGACGTCTGATTTGTGTCCATTTATTCTTTTACGTAGAGACTGTCCCGTTTGGCCAATGTACATGGCAGAGGGGCATTGCTGGCACATGATGGCATATGTCACATTGGTAGATGCGCAGGTGAACGAGCCTCTGATAGTGTGGCTGATGTGATTAGGCCCTAGGATGGTGTCCCCTGAATAGATATGTGGACACAGTTGGCAACGGGCTTTGTTGCAAGGATAGGTTCCTGGGTTAGTGGTTCTGTTGTGTGGTGTGTGGTTGCTGGTGAGTATTTGCTTCAGGTTGGGGGGCTGCCTGTAAGCAAGGACTGGCCTGTCTCCCAAGATCTGTGAGAGTGATGGGTCATCCTTCAGGATAGGTTGTAGATCCTTGATGATGCGTTGGAGAGGTTTTAGTTGGGGGCTGAAGGTGATGGCTAGTGGCGTTCTGTTATTTTCTTTGTTGGGCCTGTCCTGTAGTAGGTAACTTCTGGGTACACTTCTGGCTCTGTCAATCTGTTTCTTCACTTCAGCAGGTGGGTATTGTCATTGTAAGAATGCTTGATAGAGATCTTGTAGGCGTTTGTCTCTGTCTGAGGGGTTGGAGCAAATGCGGTTGTATTGTAGAGCTTGGCTGTAGACAATGGATCGTGTGGTGTGGTCTGGATGAAAACTGGAGGCATGTAGGTCAGCATAGCGGTCAGTAGGTTTCTGGTATAGGGTGGTATTTATGTGACCATAGCTTATTAGCACCGTAGTGTCCAGGACGTGGATCTTTTGTGTGGACTGGTCCAGGCTGAGGTTGATGGTGGGATGGAAATTGTTGAAATCATGGTGGAATTCCTCAAGGGCTTCTTTTACATGGGTCCAGATGACGAAGATGTTATCAATGTAGCGCAAGTAGAGTAGGGGCATTAGGGGACGAGAGCTGAGGAAGCGTTGTTCTAAGTCAGCCATAAAAATGTTGGCATACTGTGGGGCCATGTGGGTACCCATGGCAGTGCGCTGATTTGAAGGTATACATTGTCCCCAAATGTGAAATAGTTATGGGTGAGGACAAAGTCACAAAGTTCAGCCACCAGGTTAGCCGTGACATTATCGGGGATACTGTTCCTGACGGCTTGTAGTCCATCTTTGTGTGGAATGTTGGTGTAGAGGGCTTCTACATCCATAGTGGCCAGGATGGTGTTTTCAGGAAGATCACCGATGGATTGTAGTTTCCTCAGGAAGTCAGTGGTGTCTTGAAGATAGCTGGGAGTGCTGGTAGCGTAGGGCCTGAGGAGGGAGTCTACATAACCAGACAATCCTGCTGTCAGGGTGCCAATGCCTGAGATGATGGGGCATCCAGGATTTCCAGGTTTATGGATCTTGGGTAGCAGATAGCATACTCCTGGTCGGGGTTCCAGGGGTGTGTCTGTGTGGATTTGTTCTTGTGCTTTTTCAGGGAGTTTCTTGAGCAAATGGTGTAGTTTCTTTTGGTAGCCCTCAGTGGGATCAGAGGGTAAAACTATTTCCCCATGTTTATTTTCCCCCCACACTGTTCCTCAGATGTTCTTGTCAACTGCTGGAAATGGCCCACCTTGATTATCACTACAAAAGGTTTTTTTCTCCCCGCTCTCCTGTTGATAATAGCTCACCTTACCTGATCACTCTTGTTACAGTGTGTATGGTAACACCCATTGTTTCATGTTCTTTGTGTATATAAATCTCCCCACTGTATTTTCCACTGAATGCATCCAATGAAGTAAACTGTAGCCCACGAAAGCTTATGCTCAAATAAATTGGTTAGTCTCTAAGGTGCCACAAGTCCTCCTTTTCTTTTTGCGGATACAGACTAACACGGCTGCTCCTCTGAAACCTATCTTTCTGAAGTTACAGTTACAGGAGAGGCTTGAAGCTGTTAGAAAAAGAGCATTATTGTACTGGTCAGCACAGGACTGAACTTGATGGAACTCCTGTGGAGTTACCCTTGTTAGAGCTCTGCACTAACCTCCCGCTCTAATGTGACATATGACAAATTATTTTAATAGGTGCTCTTTTTATGGGGATAGCTGTAGCCAAAATTTCAGAAAAAGCCTTTCTTTCATGGTTGTAGAAATAAAACAGACATTAAGGTCAGTGTGATTTTCCATTCGGGTTTCTATGTATATAGATCTTGCTGTGATCTGGAGGATGCACTTGGTTTGAGGCCTATATTCCTTAAATTAATATCTGAATTAATTAATCTCTATCGTGCTGATTTGTATTGTTTGCTGAACATGGGCTTCCTCTGGTGGTTGGTGTAGCACCTGCATATTTCCCTTGATGACCCACCATTCCTTTCTGTCCCACAGGCCAAATCGCATTCTCGTGTACTTATCGTCCTCCACCTCACCACCTGCAGTCTCCCCCTTTTGACGTCACCCCACTAAAGTCTATCCAAAATGCTACTGCCAAAATCATCTCTCACCCATCACTTAGCTCAGATCACCCCCTTCTCCTTGAGCTGACAAATGTCTCTTTCTTCACACTGTCTCCTATGCTCCCCATAAACATCCTCATTTTTTCTGCTCTGGGTTGGATTGGGACTTATGACCTACAGGTGAAAGGCTCTGCAACCTGGTACCAATCTCCTGAGCCATCCTTGCTCCATTTTGTGTCTTGTTTCTGTTGCCCTAGACAAGACAGATTCCTTCCTGAGTCTGGGTACAGATCTCACCTCTGCCATATTGTGTTGCTTATTCACAGCTTTTGGAAATGCGAAGACGATTCGTAATGACAACTCCAGTCGATTTGGTAAATACATCGACATCCATTTCAACAAGCGGGGAGCCATCGAAGGGGCAAAGATTGAGCAGTACCTGCTGGAGAAATCTCGAGTCTGCAGACAGGTGAGGCTGCTGAGAAAAGGCAGGGGTGTGTATTGGTCTTTCCTTTGTTTGGCTATCGGCAGGCTCATCCTCCTAGCGGAACTGATTCCCTCCTCTTCTGCTCCAGGCCCAGGATGAGCGGAATTACCATGTATTTTACTGTATGCTGAAAGGAATGACACCAGAACAGAAAAAGAAGCTGGGCCTTGGGAAAGCCACTGATTATAACTACCTCGCTATGGTAAGAACAGCAGAGCAAGATCTTGGGGAGAACAGCTTAGGCCTTGTGACGTGTCCTGCTTACCTTTGTATATAAGGGAGTTACAACCAGAGCTGCGAGAAATGTTCCCTAATCTGAAACTGTGTCGGACCCACATGGTAACTTTGAGGTTTGTTGCAAACTTGAGACCCAGCCTAGAGGTCTATGGTAGCAGAGTGAGCCCCACAGCCTTAGATTAGCAGCTGAAGAAGTCCTGTCTCCTGCATGTAGGGGCTTCTCTACTTCCATTGTTCCTGAGGAGTGGGACAGTTGAGGTGCTGCTTTTAGGTATGCTCGGCCCAGACCATTTAAAGTGTATTTGGAAACGAGGGCCGAGACCTTAAATGTGACGTGATGTTCTAGCAGAAGGCAGTGGAACGAGTGGAGACCAGGGCTGATGAGCGTGCCGTGATCTGTGTTCTGAGGAGGTATGCTGCTGCAGTCTGCACTAGCTGGCTATTTCCCAGGGCTGGTGCTTTCAAGCCCAAGTAGATCTCACCGCCATAACCCAAGTGGGAGGTGGCAAAGGCATGTGTAATCAAGTTATCATCAGCATGGGTAGGACAGTTGGAGATGGTGGAAGATGATCCTTGCAACCCAGTATCAGTGAGGAGTCCAGAAGGGGAGGACTCCTGTACTGCAGTCTGTCTTGACCATCTTTGGCCATGTGTCCCAGATCAAAGGGGACCTGTGACGTGTTTTCTTCTGTCGCTATCTTGCTAGGGTTTAATGTCGGTCAGCCCTTTCTCATCCATATGCTGATCTCAGCCAGACACTGGGACAGATGGATGGCAGTGTTGTCATTGTAGGTTGCAGGTCTGTTTGGACCGTACTTTTGTAGAATACTTACAGTAGGGCCAAATCCAGAGGTCCATAGTCAGTTTTCACTCATTCATTGCTTAGAAAAGGTCCATGGACTTCAGCAGAAACTTAGCTGAGTGAGAACTGAGGATTTATCTCATAATATGAGATTTTTTTCAATTGACTTTAGTGGGGAGAATGCGAGGGCCCAATATACAATATGGCTACAGATTTCTGTATCTGTGCTCTTATTGCACATACGCTGCTTCCTGCATGCACTGCATACACTGTGTCACTGCCCTTCCTTCCCAGGGTAACTGCACTACCTGTGATGGCAGAGACGATAGTAAGGAGTATGCAAACATTCGCTCTGCAATGAAAGTCCTGATGTTCACTGACACGGAGAACTGGGAGATCTCAAAGCTTCTGGCAGCCATATTGCATATGGGGAATTTGCGGTATGAAGGTAAGTGGAAAATAGTTGCATATTTACTTATTTTAAATGCCAAACTATCTCGGATGCTGATACATCGTCCAGGTGCCAAAGCCGGTGAGATAATCAAAATACCTAGCTCTTGTCTAGTACTTTTCATCTGTTGCTCTCAAAGTGCATTACAAAGGAGGTCAGTAGCATTATCCCTGTTTTACAGATAGGGAAACTGAGGCACAGGGCGGGGAAGTGACTTGCCCAAGGTCACCTAGCAGGTCAGTGTCAGAGCCAGGAAGAGAACCCAGATCTCCTCACTCCCAGTCTAGTGCCCTGCCCACTAGCCACACTGCCTAAAGACAGAGTCTCTGCCCAAAGAGCTTGCAGCTGGAATTGAATTTGTACCTTGAATTTCATACATACTGAGCCCCCAAAATTGTGCTTGATGTCAGTGGTAGCAGCAAGTGTTCAGCACCTCTGAAAATCAGCCTGGAGCAGAATCTATCCATCTACCTACCCCACAAACGTCTGTGGTCCTTAATACAATGGTATCTCACCACCTTACAATCTCTAATCAGCGGTATCAAACTCATTCCATATGGCTGGCCTGATCCGATACCCTACCATTTGGCATGGGCCACATTCAGCAGAAGTGATTCAAATAGAAATAGATTAATATAAACCATGTTGGCAATTACTTTCATTTATTGTATGCCCCTCCAGCACCTCTTAAATGCAACCATGTGGTTCTACACCTGTACATGAGGTCCTGCTGGATTGCCACGCCAGAGTCAGGACTATGGGCATGTAATTTGTAGATTGCACCAGTGTGTTGTGCTCTAACTTCCCCAGGTGGAACCTGCTGGTGCGCACTAAATGTTCCTTAGTGTCCTGTTTGAAACAGGATTATATCAATGCACACTAGCAGGGTCTACACGGGGCAGTTAGAGTGAAGCATGCTGCAATCACACCCCTGTTGTGAGGACTCTGGGGTTGCGTAGACAAGCCCACAGATCCATGGAGAGTCGGCGGGCCGGATGAATCTGTTCGTCTGGCTGGATCCAGCCCACGGGTCATACGTTTGACACCCCGGCCTGATGTATTGATCCTCACAACCCCCTGTGAAGCAGGGCTGTGCTGTTATCCCATTTGCCACCTGGAGATCTGAGGTACAGAGAGCCTAAGGGTAACACTTTCCAAAAGCACCTCAGTCTTATTTTCAGAAGTGACTTACAGTCTTATTTTCGGAAGTGACTTAGGAACTTAGGAGAAACAACCCCGCTGACAGTCAATGGGATTTACTCACCTAAGTGCCCAAATCACTTTTACAATGAGATTGAGGCTCCTAAATCAGTTAGACATTGAGAGACTGAGCGCCGCCACCACACCTAAATGCCTTTAAAATCGGGGCCTAAGTGACTTGCCCAAGGGCCAATAGGAAGCCTGTGTCAGAGCAGGGATTTTAACTAAGCCCAAGGCTAATGTGCTGCTATCAGACCATCTTTCCTCTCCTTTTTAAAGGCCCTGTTGTGCCCGGCTAGCATGTGTGTGTGATGGGGGTGGTGCCTTTCCCCTACCCTGTGCCACTTTCTTAAAGGTCAGGCACTTCTGAAACCCCTCCCTACTCTTCTGAGCAGTGGGGAGGAGGCAGGATCACGGCCTTGCCTCCCTCTGCATGGTGCCATGGAACGGGACCATTGACGCTCAGGAATGAGCCTCACCCCAGGAAGGGTGAAGGGGTGTAGCAGCAAGGACCTGCATCGGGAGCTACGAGAGGAGTTTGGCCTCCTCACCCCCAGGGATAGTGCAGCTCCTCACTGTCCCCAGCTGAGCCATAGATTACAAGCTTCTGATCTAATCCATTCTTTGAGACTGAGTGTGGGTGTACGGTGAGTGGCAGTCAGAAGTGGTCAGATGCAGCACCCTGGCAGGGAGCGCTCCGTAACCTAGATGAAAAGGGACTGACCACACAGTCAGCTTCTGCCCATGTCTTCTCTGTGACTTTCCCCATGCAGCACGGATGTACGATAACCTGGATGCTTGCGAGGTTGTTCGCTCTGCGTCGTTAATCACTGCAGCTTCGTTACTGGAGGTCAGTTGCTCTTCTGTCATATTATCTTGTTTGTTTCTTCCTGGGATTGCTTATTCCTTATATTATGATAGTGCCCAGAGACCCTGATCTAATCAGGACCCATTGTGTAGGGTGCTTTGCTAACAGAGGTAGAAGCAGTCTCTGCTCATGAAGAATGTAGAGAGCCCAATTGCCGTTTGTGATCCAGCTGCTTTACCCTAGTCTGACAGCCTAAAGTGGGTGCACACTGATTGAAACTCTCCCTGGGGAAAACCCCAGGCATAAGGAGGTTCCCCTGGTGACATATACTTGCTGGAACGGCCCACACCTTTTGTAGCTCCGACCATTGGGCTCCTGGCCCCTAGAGAGCGATGTATAGGTTAGAGCAGCCCTGAGGTCGCTCTCATTTACATCCAGGGTTGGGCATGCTCCTGGCAAGATTGAGATTACAGGGTACTGTAAAGTTACTCAGGTGTATAAGTATTTGCAGGATCAGGCCTATAAACCCCAGGAAAAGTGGTTTTGTTGTTCTAGGTGCTCTCATCACATTCCAGTTACACTTTGCACTGATGTGCAGTAGCACTTCACAGGTTAAAAGGGCTTTACAAACAGGAACTAATCCATCCCTGCAAAAACCTCTGTGGCGTAAATATTAGCTCCCGGCTGCGGCTGGGTAAACCAAGGCAGAAAGGTTGAGTGAGTCACCCAAGGGACTGACTGTGGAGGGAGTCAGTGTCTGAGCTGAGATTGGAGCTCAGGAGTTCTTCGCTCCCAGCCCTGCGACCAGGCCAGTAGACCACATCTTTCCAAAGAGCTGTTTGTGTTCTGAATCAATCAGCTGTACGTGTTGTTGTACCATGCTCAGGTGGACCCTCAGGATGTGATGAACTGCCTTACTAGCCGCACAATAATCACGAGAGGAGAGACCGTCTCCACCCCGCTCAGCATGGAGCAGGCGCTGGATGTGAGGGACGCTTTTGTCAAGGTAACACCCCGTGTGCGCTCATTCTGGCGTTTTCTTTTTAAAACGTGCACCCGCCCGTTTTCGAACGGATTTAGATTCTCCATCACTAGGAAGTCATTGATCTCAAGCGGGGCATCAGTTGCTAGGTGGACTTCTCTGGCCTATGTTATGCAGGAGGGTCAGATTAGACCTAGTGGTCCAGTCTGGCCTGGCCATCTATGACTCTGTGTTAGTGCCAATTATGGGGAGCACATAGAGAGCTGTGTCATGAGCTGAGGTGGGCCTATGCCAGAACCCCTGGCTTCATGAGGTTTCAAATCCGGACCTGAGCCCATCTGGACTCCGACAGCATCCAAATTTAGCTCTTGGGGTCTGTCTCTGTAATTGGTTGAACCAGCACCGTGAGTCTGAGCTCTTCTGAACTTCAAGGAAGTGCAACAGACCCAAACCCACGGTCAGATCCTTAGCTGGTGTAAAACAGAGAGGCTCCAGTCGCCCCCAGAGCTGCACGTTATGCTTCGGGCTTATCTGCAACAGTGAGGTAAAGAAAGACAGACAGCATAGAAATAGTACGCTGTGAGTAGGTCTGTGTAGCATCGGAAAGGACACAGTGCCGTGGGGATTCAGGGCAATGAAGGCTTGTGTTATGGTGTGAAGGAGGCATGGCGTTTGCTTCACAACATAGGGTGTACCACACAAACAGTGCCCTGATCCTCGATGGCAAGTGCGGACCTACCCTACCCCCTAGCTCCGGGCTCAGGTACAGCAGATCAGGTCCTTGGACTGCCTGACTGGCGTGCAGTGAGGATGCCCCCACCCTGCAAAGTTCAGATCTGTCTCCACTTCCTCCAGGTTTGTGGGGATTTGAATCTGAGGTTTTAGATCAGGCCCATCTCTGTGTAGTACTACCTTGGATTATGTGACACAAGGTGATGCCTGCAGTCCCAGGAATGCTGAGGCAGCGCCCGTTAACTCTGGCTGGCTGCTGCTGTACCATTTAAGGAAGCAGGGTCTTACTGAGGCAGGACTTCCTTTATTTACATAGCAATGTAGCATCTCTACTGATCTGCATGCGGTAGATAGAAGTCCAGGAGGATTGTTTAGAGGTGTGGGCAGCCTGTGATAAATGGATATTTCAACACCTGATCTTAAATAGAAATTGCATCCTGCAATGCAAACTAGAGATGGACCTGTAGCACATAGTTTGCCCCTAGAGCCAAGGCCACCGAAGTCTGGGTGTATTCAGATCTGGGATTTTGCGCTGGGCTGTCTTTAATATAAACTTGCAAGCTGCATGTTCCTGGGCTGCAAGCTGGGCAACTGAAGCTTTAAGCCACCTGTTCTGTGTTAATGACTGCCACTCTGAAGCAATCACCTTGCTGTGGAATGTGTCCTTTGGGGGAAAGTCTAGTTTGTGGGGCTTGCACTGGAGAGGGGATGTCACCACAGGTTGCAGGCCAGCAGGGTGAACAACAGCCATGTGTCACCGAGCTCCATCTCTTTGATGATTCAGGGAATCTACGGGCGGCTTTTCGTGTGGATTGTGGAGAAGATCAATGCTGCCATTTACAGGCCTCCCTCCCACGAACTACAGAGTGTCAGGAGGTCCATTGGTCTTCTCGATATCTTCGGCTTTGAGAACTTCACTGTGAACAGGTACAAATCCTGAGACACCATTGCAGAGCCTGCACCTAGGACCCACCTTAGTGTGTACTCTCACCAGATCTCACAGGCTAAGCAGGGGTAGGCTGGATAGGAGACCTCCAAAGGTGACGTGTATGGTGCTAGGGTCTCAGCAGCTGGTGCTCTTCCTTTTGAAGAGCCAGTGTCAACCTCACTGAGTGGCCTAAAGTGCTTGTGAGTATCCCGTAGAGCATATGAAGTGAAGGGATGAACAGCTACGTGGAAATCAGGGGGATACACTGAATCTAATCTGGTTTTGTCAACCTCATCTCCCCAGTTTCGAGCAGCTCTGCATCAACTTTGCAAATGAGAACCTCCAGCAGTTCTTCGTGCGCCATGTCTTCAAGCTGGAGCAGGAGGAGTACAACCTGGAGAACATTAACTGGCAGCACATAGAGTTCACCGACAACCAGGATGCCTTGGACATGATCGCCATCAAACCCATGAATATCATATCACTCATTGACGAGGAGAGTAAGTTCCCCAAGGTATGTTTGGGGCCAACCATTCATCCTAGCCACTCCATCAGTTTCACCTCTCTGTGTGTTGTTAAACTGACTTTGAGTTTTACGGTTTCAAAATTACGACACAAGTTTCATGCGAACCAATTTTAGCCAATGGGCTGATATGGTGTCATCTGTGTGTTCAGTATTACCACTGTGCGATTGGTCACTTGAGTCACATGGTATTGTTTCTCTTCCCTGATTGCATGACTGCAACTTTAATAAAAAGTGGGGAAGCCATCCTGTATATAGCACTATATCATATATCTACCAAGTGCATTTGTGACAGCTGCCTTCTTGGTTGACACACCAGAGACCGAACCAGAGCTAAAAGCACAGCTTCAGAGAAAGAGCTGACCCTACCTAGGTGGGGCTGTAAAAGACTTTTATTATCTGCGGATCAGGCACAGAGGAGTATAGGTTCCATATTTGTTGCCTTTACTGGCATCTGAAGTTTTCTTTCACCCTTTGTTACTGTTGCAAACAAACTCATATTTATGGTGGTGAGGGTGTACGTACAACAGCCTTGTTAGGGAATGTTGTGGTCAGATTGTTTTTATTTTAAATTACTCTCCTCACGTTTTCTCCCCGTGTTTCTCTCGTTGAAACAAACTCTTATCCCACTGCCCTAATGAAAAAGAAACACAATGATTATTTGAGAACTATTTTAATGGGACAAGAATTGGCCTTTTTCTTACTTATGCAGGGTACAGATGCCACAATGCTGCACAAGCTGAATTCCCAGCACAAGCTAAACACCAACTACATCCCGCCGAAGAATAACCATGAAACCCAGTTTGGCATTAACCACTTTGCTGGTGTTGTCTACTATGAAACCAAAGGTATCTGTTGTTGTGGGCTGGCTTTAGGGAGCTGCTTGGTTAGGGTGGGGGAGAGGGACAGGGCGGGTTTCCATTGTAGACCCCTCAGCTCTGTGGATGCCGTTTGTTATGACAAGGGAGCCAGAGGCACTGAGAGGGGAGTATCCTGGAAATATTAATGATTTGTGCTGTCATTCCTGCCCGGTTTGTTTCCCGTTATTTCCTTTCTTTGTGTGTGGGTCTGTGTTTAAAATGCCAGGCAAAGACCGATTTTGGCCACCTTCTGGGATTAGAAGAAAAGAACTTTGGCTAGCATTTCTACCCCTTATTGCCAAAAGTTAAACATCTAAACGCTGCAGTGAGAATGATCATTTTTCTTCCCTCCTCTCCTTCCAGGCTTTTTTGCAGGGCCGGGTCTGTAGGTGTCTGTCTACTGCCTAGCACAAGGGTGACCTGATCCCACTTGTAGGCCCTACTGCAATACAAATAAATAAAAATAAATTGGAGTGTACGTAGTGTGACTACCCCTTACACCAAACCCGCCGGGTGCCAGCAGCATGCCTGGTGTACCACAACTCAGAGGCAATCACTGTAAGTGCTTCAGCAGCTAGGGCCATGTAGGTGCCAGCCCTGGTGGGTCCCAGTAACCACTCCGACGTGGCTAAGGGAAAGGGTATATTGATAGGGCTGGCAGGAAAGGGGAAGACTGTAGATTCCTTAGGTACAGAGGCTAAAACAATCACAGTTCAAGGTCAGAAAGAGCAGTAAATGTGTGGGTCCCTGGGGCAATCCACTTGCAGGTCAGGGCTCTGCAGGCATAGTGCCTGGGGTCCCCTCTCCTGCCCAGTCTCTATTCCAGCAAACAGGAGCTCACAGGTTTCCAGGCCAGGCTCAGTTAATGTCTCTCACTGGGGGGCCCCACTGTGCTGACTCTCTGTCCAGCTGTTGCTGCTTTCCCATAAGTCCCACTCAGACCTGCACCCAGCTCTGATGTGTGGCCCTCACAACCTGTTCTACCCACGCCTCTGTGCACAGCTCCTGGGGCTTCTCTCCAGCTCCCCGCCGTCATTCGGCTCCCACTCACAAACAGAGCCCAGCCACCTTCTGGTTCAGCAGCTTTTCCCTTACCAGGCATGGGGAAAAGAAAGCGCAGGGGGCTGATGGGAGTCACAGGAGGCTTCAGTTGCTTTCCAAAAAAACAAAAATTTAAAGTATTTTTTTAAAGAACTAAAATCCTTAAAAGTCACTTCTTCCTTCTGACCATACCTGAGGTTGGGTTTGATGGCCAGGAGCTCCAATGTTTTTGCTAAAACGTTTCAGAGTAAGCCCATTTGTACAGTGGGTGTACGGACTGAGCAGCACTAGCATATACAGCTGTAAGTGTGTTTCTTCACTGCCACTTTGGGCTGTGTGATGGGGTCAGGACTCAACACCGCTGGCGCCTCCCGCTGGTTGCCCCGGGAATTAGCTCCTGTCAGCTGCGGAGCACCCTTGGCGCGTGGTGGCTCGCCCGTTGTCTGCTCTGCTGCCTTGAAACCCGGGTTGCTCCCCGCTCGGTGGCGTCCTCTTCGGGACACTGCCCTCCAGCTGTGTCCACTGTTCCAGTCTCACCCCCTTCCGGCAAGTCTTTCGGCTTGCACCTGCCTCAGTGGCCAACCGCAACCACAAAGTCTAGCCCCTTACTTCAGGAGCAGATTGCAGTCTGTCTTGGACCCACTCCCCTGTGGCCAGGTGCAGTGTAAGGGGGGGACCCAGGCCAACTCGCTACTCTGGGTCCCGACCCAGGGACCCTCTAGCAGAAGCCTCCCTCTGCCCTCCTTCTCTCCCCTCTTGTCCGACTACGTTCCCTGGGCCACTTCCCCTTTGGCCCTGTGCACCTTCTCGACCCTTTTTAGCAGGGCCCGCAGCCTGGCAGGTAACTGGGCCTCTGCTCCCCCGAGCCTGCCCAGCACTGCTCTGACTAAGGTGCTACCTCCCTCACCTCAGGAACCAGTCCTCCCTTGCTAGCCAGGGAGAGACTACCCTCTCCTCTGCTAGGCAGCCTTTATATAGGACCCAGCCCGGCCCTGATTGGCTGCCTCTCCCTTTACCCTGATTGGCTCTCCACAGGCCCTTGCTGATTGGCTGCTGGTCTGCACAGCTTCTCTGGCCTGTTCTAGCTCTTTTTCTCATGGAGTGGGGCAGCCGCCCCACTACAGGCTGGATTTTCAAAATGTGCTGTGTGATGCAGTGCTTTTGTGCTCTGTCGTTTGTTCATACAAATGACATGGTTACACGCCTGAGCCCAATTTGCCCATTAATGCCAATGCAAGTGGCTGAGGTGTATGGAAATTCAGTCATTTGCACGTGGAAGTAAATGCCCTGTGCATACAAAGGATGTGTTCTTAATCCAGGTTAGCTAACCCCTGTTAACCCACATGGGTTAAAATAGCAGTGAAGACACAGCAACTCTGCTCTGAACGTGGGTTATAGCTGAGACTGGGGTTGAATTTGAGCTGCTAGCCTGAGTTAAATGCCAGGTTGCCATGTCTTTGCTGCTATTTTAACCCCAGTTAAATGTCTTGAGTGAAGAACACACCTTTTTTTGCAGTGTAGATGTACCCGAAGTTATGCATGCACAAGGAGTCTCATCGTCTCTTCAACTCAGCCTCACACCACGTCTGCCCTTCCTCCTCTCCCTCTTCTCCGCTGATCTGTCCCCCTCACCTCTCTCCCTTCCAATGTCTTTCCATTTAGCTGATCCCTTCCTATCTAACCCCATCCGAAAACACAGTTATGGCACAAACATAGTTTGCCACCAATACGTCATTCACTGTCTACTCCTCTGTGTATGCCTACCACAATGGGACCGCATCTGTGGCTGGTCCCTAAGCACCACCATAACTGTGATTATAATTAATAATAATAACAAAGGGAAACTGAGGGTCAATTTTTCATTGGCACTTCATGATCCTTAAGGGCCCAATCCAAAGCTTGTTGAAGGCAAGAGAAAGACTGTCATTGACTCATTGACAGAACAAGGAGCAATGGTCTCAAGTTGCAGTGAGGGAGGTCTAGGTTGGATATTAGGAAACACTATTTCACTAGGAGTGTGGGGAAGCACTGGAATGGGTTACCTAGGGAGGTGGTGGAATCTTCATCCTTAGAGGTTTTTAAGGCCCGGCTTGACAAAGCCCTGGCTGGGATGATTTAGTTGGTATTGGTCCTGCTTTGAGCAGGGGGTTGGACTAGATGACCTCCTGAGGTCCCTTCCAACCCTACTCTTCTATGATTCTGTGACTCCAACAGGCTTTGGATCAAGCCGTAAGTGTCTGCAATACGATCAGGCTGCAAAGTGACTGAACAGCTGGCTGCGGGACATATTTTAGCTCATGTTTCACTCTGCCACCTAACGCACATGTTCTTCCTTTGTTCCTGTAGGGTTTTTGGAGAAAAACAGGGACACGCTTCATGGAGACATCATTCAGCTGGTCCATTCCTCGAAAAACAAATTTATCAAGCAAATCTTCCAAGCAGACGTGGCTATGGTAACACGCCTAGGAAGATACTTAATTGTCCGGTCTCATGTAGTTGGGATTCCTGGGTGGAGAGGGAAAATTTGCAAGGAAACCTACAGAAGTGATACTATGTCTTGCATACTCCAAACCTGTTTTTGTAATGGATTAACGTAGTATTAGCATGGGGTCCTAGACACAATCACTCTAGTAGTCACAGCTCAGCAGGACCGTTCATAAAATATTGTTATCTAGCTCTCATCACCTAGATAATGCAGTGATTGGCATGATAGATATTAATTATTTTTATTGTTTTATTTCATTCTACAAGTATGAAAGATCTATAGATAGCTAATGCTGCATAGCAGACCAGATATCCAAAAAACAAAACCAAATCTTTGCTCTGAACATTAAAGTCTTAGGTCACAGACAGGTCCAGAACAGTTACCATCCAGAGCAACAGTGAAATGACACCATCGCTAGATATTAAGCCAAGAAAGCACTAAGCGCAGGACTGGGGGAGGGGCTGGCGAGAAGTGAGGGTCTCCAAACAATGGAAGCGGAGAGACAAGTCACCATTTCTGCTTTTCTTAAAGGTGAACTATAAAGCTTACATCCCCAGAACTGTGCCCATGGAGAGAATATAATGTATTCCCTCCAGACAAACCACAGTGCTAATGGGTTGGTTGTTAAGGTTGTGAGGGGAAGCACTGAAGAGTTGGAACTTCCTAATGTGGAGGTTGCAGACACAACCTTAACTCTTGTGAGTACGTGTCACTACGACACGGGCTTTACTTATGGGATCATAGAGTATGTCTCAAACAATACTATGTGAGAGACATTTTTTCTTGAGCAAGATGAGCATCTACAATCCCCAGAGACTCTTCTGGGAGCTCAACAACCCTGTGCCCCAAAGTAAAGGAAAAACAGCTTTTCATGATTATTATTGGCTTTTGATCTGTAAAATGTCATTGGACGTCTTGTCATTGGATGTCTACACGTATATTCCCTGTGGGCAAATCCTGCAATCCAAAACTGCAGGACAGCAGAAGATTTAGGGATAACATTTTCAAAAGCAACTAAGGACCAGATTTAGGTGCCAAACGATGCAGATAGGCGCCTATTGGGGATTTTCAATGGCGCCTAGGTGCCTAACATGCATTGGTTTCAATGGGTTTTAGGTGCCTAGGCCCTTCTGAAAATCCCGCTAGGTGCCTAGCTCCATCTTTAGACACCTAAACAGGTTAGATGCCTAACTCCAGTTGATCTCTATGGGAATTAGGTGCTTAAGAAGTTTAGGCACTTTTAAAGAGCTCACTGTAAGTGCCTAGGTCACTTTTGAAAATGGGACTGAGGCTCCTAAGTCATCTAGGCAGTTCTGAAAGATTTGCCCTTAGCATGATAGTTGTGCTCCCACTGAAATCAACAGCAAAGCTCCCATTGACTTCAGGGGAGCAACATCAAGAATATAGGCCCCATTCAGTTAGGTGCTGAAGTGAATGTCTAACTTTCAGCACACGAGTAGCCCTACTGACCTTGATGAGACGACTCGTGTACTTAAAGCAACACACATGCTTAAGTACTTCGCTGTGTTTTCTTTTCATATTTTTGTTTGTTCTTTTTTTATCATCCTGAAAAGCTTGGCAGTTCACCTTGGAGATGATTCTTGCTTGTTTGGGGCGTGGGGAGGCAGCATAAATTTAAACTTTCGTAATCCAAAGGATCAATAAAACAGATCCTTTCGGGCTTGCACGGCTGTCCAGACTTCTTCAGTGACACCTTTAGCCAGCTATCCCCCCCTAAATTCTAGCCCGCACTCTTCAGCAAATTCTAAACAAAATACTGGCGATCCATTTCAGCAGAGTTGAGCTGCATACGCAAGCTTGGCATTGTCTCAAATGTAAGAATAGAGAACTTTTAGAGCATCGAGTGACTTTCTTGAAAATAACCCCTTCTTGGATAGTTTTAGCTTTCTGTGGTGGTCCTCTGAATCTGTCCCTGGTGTCAGTCTCTGCTCCCTGGTATTTTAATGATGACTGCTCTTGGGTTTTTTGGAGTAAGGATATGTCTGCACTGTAAATTAAGGTGTAATGGTAACACAGGTTGGCAGACCTCCACTACCTTTAATATGGCCAGCGGGAGCAAAAATAATGTAGACCTGGGGTATGGGCTTCAGTGGAGGCTAGCTGCCCGAATAGAAGCCTACCAGATACCCTAGGTACGTACTCAGGGGGCGAGTCTGGGCCAAGGTTCTCTGCTATTGTTACCCATGCTAATGAGATCAAAGCTAGCACAGGTATGCCCAGCTGAGCTACAGTTGCACCTTAATTTGTGGTGTAGACATACTCTATGAGATTTGAAAACACCTCTCCGATATGGGACTGGAGGAGGAGAAATTGTTGCATTACAGCCAGAGACGACCCCTGCCTGCTGATAGTTGGGGAGCATTGTGAGGGCAGCAGGCCTCAGAAGTGTTACTGAACATGCTCGGTCTGTGTGAGCATGCTCAGTACAAGCCAAACAGCAAATCTGGGGTGGCACATGACCCCACATGCTCCCCCTGATTGCAGTCCACCTAAAGTGGCCCTACATAACATAGTTTGGGAAGAAGCCTCCGATACCCAAATCCAGCTTTTGACCTTAAAAATATCATGCAACAAAACTGCAAAGAGATTAATTTTTTAATGGTTTGAACTGCTTTTGATGTTTTCTTTCAGTAACCGTAAAATTTTGCAATGCAGCAGAGTTGTGCACAAACGATAAAGGCATGGCTGATTTGGGCTGGGATTTCCTTCTTGTTCCCTCTGGTGCTGAGCGTTGTTGAGACAATCTCTGGATGTACCTTCCAGAAGAGACTCATATAGGAGTTGCCATAACAGATAAAGCCACTGGTCAATCAAATCTAGCATCCTGTATCCAGCAGTGACCAATTTTTGATGCTTTGGAGCAAGCTAGATAACTTACGTACCTAGCCAAATGTATCTAAAAGTGGCTGGCAGATGGAAACCATGACGCTGCCTGGAGGCATGACATTTGATCAGTCTAGTCTCAGTGCACAGGGAACTTTGGATGCTGCAAACTGAGTATTGCTATAACACAGTGCAATTTTAGGCCCTAATCCACCAAGTGTTAATGCACGTGAGTAGCTTTATGCCCAGTTGTGTTAAGTTATTCACATGTGTGTTTGCAGAATTGGGGCCTTTCTTTGTACAGTGTCTCTCATACAGCTCAGTCCTGCAAGGCATTGGATTTAGTCGGAGTTGAGGACATGGAGTATCTCCCAGGATTGGGGTCTGCACCAAAGCACTTAGACTCATAGGCCTGGTCTACATTACACAGTTCGGTCGACGTCAGGCAGCTGACATCGATCTAGGTATGTCAGTGTACACTCTACAACCTTGTCCCGCTGACGTAAGTGCGCTTCTACACTGACATTATAACTCCGCCTCAGTGGCGTAGCTAGGATAGGAAAACTGGGTGGGCTCCGGCTTTCAGGTGGGCGGCAATGACAGGGGATTATGGTTTTGTGGGATGCTGGGCCAGGACAAGTGGGGATCCCTCCCCACCCTTTCCCCCTGCAATCCACCCCCCCCCCCCCACCCCTGCTCCTGCCAAGGAAATGTGGTTGGAGTTTGGGGGCTTGCCCCATCCCCCAGTCCGGCGCTCCTGCCGGGGAGCTGGTCCCGGAGTGGGGTCTTGACCCGCTCGGAGCTCCTGCCAGGGAGTAGGGTCAGGGCGCAGTTTGGGTGGGCTTGGATGCTAAGTGGGTGGGCCATGGCCCACCCAGGCCCCCTCATGGCTATGCTCCTGCTCCACCCCCACGAAAGGTGTAGGGCTTATATCGGTGTAGTTAGGGCAATGCAGAGTCAGTGTAGACACTACGTTACTTACCTCAGCTGTTGGCTTTCTTGACAAGGAAACTGGGCTGTTAGAGCCCGACTGCCCCTGGCTCCTCGCTCAGGGAGCTGAGATGCCTGGGAGACTGTCCCCAGCTCCCGGCGGGGAACGGAGAGGCGAGAGCCTGCGGGGCAGCTGGGCTCCCAGCAGGCAGCTGCATGGAGCTGAGAGCCCTGGCTCTCAGCCCCCCACACTGCCCCTCTTCAGTCGGTGAAAGTGCTCCTGGTGAAGACGCGCACCTCCCACAGAAGGAAGGTAGTGTGGCCATCCGCTGCGGTGGCTGTAAGTCAGCCTAATATAGGTCGACTTAAGTCTGTAGTGTAGACATGCCCTTAGACTTTAAGGCCAGAAGGGACCCTCATGATCATCTAGTCACACCTCCTGCACATTGCAGGCCACAGAACCTCACCCACCCACTCCTGTAATAGACCCACAACCTCTGGCTGAGTTACTGAAGGCCTCAATCATGATTTAAAGACTTCAAGTTACAGACACTCCACCATTTACACTAGTTTAAACCAGAAAGTTACCCGTGCCCCACACTACAGAGGAAGGCAAAAAAAAAAAAAAATCAAAAACCCGGGGTCTCTGCCAATCTGACACAGGGGAAAATTCCTTCCCAACCGCAACTATGGCGATCAGTTAGACCCTGAGCATGTCGGCAAGACCCACCAGCCAGACACCTGGGAAAGAATTCTCTGTAGTGACTCATTGCCTTCCCCATCTAGTGTCCCATCCCTGGCCTTTGGACCTATTTGCTGCTAGCAGTCGCAGGTTGGCTATATGCCAATGTAGGCAATCTCATCATACCATCCCCTCCACAAATGTATCACGCTCAGTTTTGAAGCCAGTTAGGTTTCACTTGACAGAGTTTGGTTGTACGGTTGCAGAGAGAAAGCTTATGACAAAGGGGGATGGAAGTTAAAAAATAGAGCAGGCTGGGGAAAATATCATCTAAAGTTTTGCAATATTTTGTTTCTGATTTTTGGGGGAGGGGGCCTCAAACTTTAGTTTATATGGAAATTTTCTGACCAACTGGCACTAAAAGTGGGGGAAGAAGGGAGAGAGTTAGGGAAACTTCATTAGATTTTTTGTCAGCATTTTGTTGTTGTGGACATTTCCCAGCCAGCTCTGTATTAAACATTCTGGCTGAAGGGGAGCAGTTGTGTTTCTTAGCGGGGTTTGAAAAGGGATGGAGAATAAATGATTCGGAGAGAGGCAGGAAGGTTGTTCCAAGTGGCAGGAGCTGTGGGACGAATGCCCTTTCACCAACAGTAGTGAGAAAGCTGTGAGGAGGCCAGTGTTTAGATAAGTGGAAGGAGAGAGGATAGAAATAGACACGGTCCCGAGAATTATCGCATTGTTCTGGGAGGCATGAGTGGTGCCGAATCACAAGGACTGACCGAAAACTCAGAACTCCCCTCTTAGTTATTCCTTCTTTTCACTTTTTTTCTATTCTCTATCTCTCTTTTTTGCCTTTGCTTCTTGTAGTTTCTCTGTGGCTATGCATCCAGTACTTTTGGCCAGTCACCAGCACCCACTCCAAAGGTAAAATAAATACATGAGTTCCTCTTTGAACGTTCACTTCTCTTTGATAAATACTGTGCTCCTTCTGGTTCACTCCTACCCCTGTGTTGTTTGTGATGGACCTGTCACAGCTGTCCATCTTGTCCACAGAATCTGCTTAGGCTGTGTTCAGTAGATAGAGGAATATGAGCCCTTGTGTGTATTTGCTAGATTCAACCCAGGAAAGCTGAGGTTCTGCAGAGGACCCAGCGATGATGGAAAGCCAGTTTGGATAAAGTCATAACCAGCCCACACTCTTGGTCTTTAAACCAAAACCTTTTTTGAGCTTTGAATAATTATGGTTAACTTTCATTGAACTCGATAGGCTAGATCTTTGGCTGGCCTAAATCAGTGTAGCTTTGTTGACTTCAGTGGAACTACACTGATTTGCACCAACTGAAGATCTGGGCCAGTTCCATTTTCACACAGCTCAGGCCTTCTGAGTTTCATCTGGGAGAAGAGGGGGGCTGTTTGATTGTATTGGCGGCTCAGTTGGAAGTACCGCTATTCTCATGAGCCGGCTTGTTCTAAGGATAGCTCAAACTGACCCCAGAGGATCAGATACTGTGAGTATTAAACTTTTGGGTGCTTATCCAAACTGGAGCTCTTAACCTGTCAGAGGTCCTTCCGAATTAACCTTTAGTCTTCGCTCTCGTTCTGATAGCTTTCCAAACCTTCCCTGCTTCTTGTTTGGCTATAGTGTAGCATATAGTATAATAGAGACTAACATTTGTGGTGCTAGAATTGTGGTTGTGTCAGCATTTCCACGACAATCCTCTGATATCAGGAGGGTTATATGAGAGATGGGCCTGACTTGCAAACTTCAGATTCAGATGTGGGTCTGAATTTTAACCTCTCCCAACTCTGCAACAGTCCAGGGTGGCTGAATTTGGAATTCCAGTGTGGGCGCTTATAAACAGAGGCCCTGGTTTTAAAAAAAGAAAAAAAAATTCACATCCAAATTTTGAAACCAAATCTTCTTCCTTTCTGCTCTCCACGTTCCAGGGCATGTGGGCTGTAGAGTGTCATTTGGGCCCATCTCTAGTTTTAGAACTTCGCTACACACCAAACAATCCCTTCGAGGCTGAAACGTGATGGGTTCTAAACACAGGAGAGAATTGATGTGGAAAATGTTTGAGAAATGCAGCTGCCCAGTTTGAGTTTGAGGAAAACAACAGGACAAACAGGTTTTACCAACTTCCTCCATTTTTCTGCTCTCTTCTGGCTCAGAATAACTTGATCTTTTAAAAATAATGAATTAAAATAGTAATTGTTAAGCACTGAGTCAAGCGGTGGAATGGTCATGTGGGAGCATATTTTTAATCTGTGCTGATTTTGATGATCTGTGTAACAGAGATCCTAGGGCGACAATAATACTTAGCACTATTAAGTAGCATTTCAGCATTCTTCAATCTCAAAGCACTTTCAAAGATTGTAAGCTGTTTGGGGCAGTGACCATCTTTTCATTTGATGTCTGTACAGTACCTAGCATAACGGGCTCCTGATCCTTGATTGGAACCCCGAAGGACGTCCCACAATAATTTTTTTAATAATAAAGAAGGGGTACGTATCACTGACCCCAAATTTCAAATGGGGAAACTGAGGTACCAAGAAGCAATAGTGAATTATTGAATTCTAGTGAATACAGCACTCAACACTGACTTGGGTGACCTGAGTTCTATTCTGGACTCTGGCACTGACCTGTGTGTAACCTTGAATGAATCACTTTGCCTCTCTGTGACTTGGTTTCCCCTTCCACCCTTTCTCAGTTTGGTCGTTTGGATTGTAAGCTCTTCATAGCAGGGTCTGTCTCTTACCTCACCTAGTACAATGTGCTATGTTAGTACAAATCGTAATAGCGAGCAGTGAAATGACTTGCCCAACACACAAGAGCTCAGTGGCTGAGCTGGGAACAGAACCCAGCTCTCGGCGCTCTGTCCTGTGGGCCTCATTGGTTCACTCACTCACTACTTACAGAGATGTATGTATGTAGCAAAATATACGGTAAGACAGTGGTTTTCAACCTGGGGGTCCGTAGACTATGTCTAAGATTTCCAAAGGGGTCTGCACCTCCCCTTGACATTTTTTAGGGGGGTCGTCAAATGAAAAAAGGTTGAAAACCCCTGCTGTAAGACAATGGTACAGAATTGCTATGATCCCTCAGTGCACATCCCTGTCTTCTTGCATCCTGAAAACCTGGATCCTTCACAAGCTTCAGGAAGCAAGCGAAATAGGTTTTTTTCTGTCACAAGCTCAGTTAGTTACCTCAGCTGCTCAGAGCCATGTAGGTGCTTCCCAATTGAGTGAACTCCTTCCATTCCTGAAATAGACAAATCCTTTCTTAAGGGGAAGATTCCCTCGTCTGGAACCTCAACCTGCCACATGTCTTGCGTTGCTGAGGATGTGTGTGCGTCTCTGCCTTCCCCTCCATTAATGCCAGTGTTCTGCGAGTGCAGATCCTCTTCCTCTTTGAAGAATGTCACTGTTGCCGTGAGGCATTCAGTGCCTACCCCTGCGTTCCTTGCACACCCTGAACTCCAAGGGAAGTCAGTGAGAGTGAAGCTACTGAAGGACTGTCAGGTTGCACCCACACCCTATGGCTTGGCATTCATTCACAATGTGCCTCCTTTCACTTGGACCTTTGGTGACATGGGCCTGGTGTCAGCTTAGGACCGGTGCATGTCTTGAACGCTGCAAAGGCAAAAAGCACTGTGTCTGCCAGAGGAATGGGCTAGTAAGCGTCCTCGCTGGTGCTAAGAAATGATGCCCAGGTGCTCCAGCCTTGACCATGGAGAGATGCAGGCAATCAGCACTGGGCGAAAGCCTGTGTTATGTCCCGCCAGCGGGGTCAGTGCTGATTTGTATCCCGCATGGTGTTACTGCGTACGGCAGCCTGCCGTTTTCTGGCTGTAGAACCCAGGCTGATCTGAGCTGCTGGAAGAACGTGACTCCAAAACGTGTATGAACACTGTGCAGAACACATGCCTTCCCGCATCTCCCTTCTGTACCCGTATTTCCCACCTACATCATCTGAGTCCCTTTGGGTTTTTCAAAGTGGAGAAATTATTTACTTTAGGCCAGCCTAGTTTGAGACCCAAATCAAACTTCTGTCTTGGCTGGCCATTAGGGAGGCCTGCTAGCCTTCTGCTGAGGTACAATATTTATGGCATTGTCCAGAAGCCCCAGTTCCAATTGGGGCACATATAGTGCTGGGTGCTGTACAAACACAAGTAAAAAGATAGTCCCTGCCCCAGAGACTTTTACAGGCGAAAGCTGCAAAAGCTAGGAAGTATCTTACAATGAGAGAAGCTATGTGAATGCTGGTCTTTCTCCAAGGGATACCTTCTGACCCATGGAATTTTGCTGCTTTTGGAGCAAAGGAATTTCTTTCTCCCAGGTGACACTGACCTGGCCTTAACCAGTCTTTCTGGAAGGTTCTTTTACTCCTCTTTTTGACCCCTTAGTTGGAATAAAAGAAAAGGGCCTGATTCTCCTCTCCCTGACACTGGTGTACACAGGAATAACACCATTGAATTGAGTGGAATCACACCAGCATGAGAGGAAAGTCTGGTCCAAAGCCTTGCTTGAGGTTTGGTTGTATAATTTAATTTCTCGCCCGGATCCCTGGCCCTAGTGTTTGTCACACGGCGTTTTTCAGAGTGATCTGTGTACAGAGGTGAGATGCAATGTGTGGGGACCCTGCAGCCGCTGAGCACTCTATTCTGATTGGTCGAGTCGTGGACTACATAAGCCCTGCCTGTATATAGAGCAGTGGTTCTCAACCTATTTACTGTTGTGGGCCACATCCAATACTACCTGAATGGCCCTGAGGATGTCACATGGGCCGCAGCTCTGTGCTGACTGGCCTCAAGCGGCCTGTGGGCCGCAGGTTGAGAATCACTGATATAGCGGCTGGAGCGTTTGGAACCTAAGTTGCTTTCTGGCAGCGTGTGTTAGAACCATCTCCCCAGTCATACACTGGACGAGGCACTGCGGCCTGGAGGTGAAACCTGCACCGTGCCCCTCCGCAGGCGTGGGAAGAGATAGGGAGAGGCGGACGCTGAGGAGAAGCTGGGCAGCAATCTAGAGAGGCAGCATCGCCCTCTCCCCATTTTAAAATGTTCCCCATTTTAGGAGGCCTTGGAAGGCTTCTGATGACCTCTCCGCCGCAGCATGGCCGAACAAGGGCTCCCGGGCAGGCCCAGATCGTTCTGCTGGGAAAGGGGCACATTCACTTCCAAAATGGGAATTTGCTAAGCCTGGTTTCTGCCTCTGTGTCTGCTTCTGACCCCTCCAGCAGCCAGCCCGTGGTGCTGCACTGGAGGTGGCTACTTACACTGTGGTGCTGTTGATCTAAAGCAGCCCCATCCCATTGCCCTCCTGCTATCCGAGCAGTATTATTGCTGACACAACCTGTCCTCCTCAAACCAGACTCTGCTAACAGGGTATTTATCACCAACTCCACAGCGCTCGCAGGGGTCCGGGTCTGTGCCTGTTGATATAAATTACACATGTTAGCAATGTATCCCTGTGTGAAGGTTTGCTGGGATAGCTAACGGCTGCGGCACTAAACTCTCCTGTTCTGGCATTGCTGGGTTTTTCTGGTGTGTGCATGAGCTGGGTTTGAACTGTTCACTTTCCCTTTTGGAATTCTATTATGACTTTCTGTTTTGTTGTTTGGGCTTCATTGTACAATCACCTATGGCCAGAGCTGTGCAAAATTCCTGAGAGTTTTCCTGCTGGGTAAAAGTCTTCACTGTTGATGTCCTCCAGAAAGGTGCTACTTGTATGTTTAGCGCAGTGCCCAGAGACTTTGGTGATGGGCAATTTTAGCAACTGGGAAAAATACATAAAATTTGGCAAATATTGCCAATGATAGTGGGGCCACTTTTTGTCTATAGCCCCTGTTCATCAGCCAGTAAAGAACACAAGGCCTTTAGAAAAGACCTGGCAAAATCCTTTCTTTTTGGACCTTCCACCTACTCCTCTGGAATCCTCCCAGGATTGATTATCTAGTGATTATCTAGTGGGATGTCCATGTCCCATGGAGTTACAGTCTGATGCCCAATTCATCCGAGTCCACTGGTGTTACCTACATCCTCCATAAGCTTTCTTTAAACATCTAGATAGCTTTTGATGGATAGTTGAACCCCATAGATCTGAATAGGACAAGGGACACACGATTTATTACTCTGCTTTATCAGTCTAATTGATGCACATTGTAGGACGTAACCCAAACACGGTTAATAGAGATTTCTTGATAAAAAGGACTCAGGTAAACTAAATTCTGCTGCACTTTCCTGGGGCTTAATCTTACAAGGCTTTCAAGACCTGCTCTGTTCATAGTTTTCACCAGCTAGGGAGAAGTGGCTAGCAGATTGAAATGTAATGTACACTAAGCCAGAGCGCTAAGGCTTGAATGGGTTTTTTAAAACCTACCCAGAAAATAGCAATTGAATGGACATCCACAAAATCACCCTAACTCACCCCAGATTAAGTTCTCCCCCCATCAATCCAGTTAATATCCTCTTCCAAACACAAAGAAGATGCTCCCAACATGAATCCACTCAATGGAAGCTGGGGAATAAACAACCCTTGCCAGCATCCCCTGAAAGTCAGCAAATCCAAGTTCAAGACTCTTCAGGGAAAATGCCCTGGTGCTATTTAAGGGCTTGATTGTGCCCCTATGGGCCTGAAAATCCAACAGTCAGTAAAGATAATTGAAGTCTTGCATGACACTATTGGCAAATTACAATACCCCTGGCATTGGGTCTGCTGTGCTGCCCGGTGCATCAGATAGGGCAAGAGCCACTTCCTATCTATGTGCCCAGACTCAAGGTCCACATAGCCCACACAGAGTGTAAGGCTGAGACACCTCACTCTCCACTGTGGTCCAAGTCTCTATTCACAGACTTTATAGACGGATACGTTTTAAGGCCAGGAGGGACCATTAGATCTAACCTGACTTCCTGTATAACACCTTAACAATGCAACAAGCCAGTGCAGATCCTTGTTTGGAGCATCAAGCAGGTCCATGAGAAATAAAAATTGTGGCTTTTTCTTTACTATGAAGCTCCTGGGTTCCTCTGCCCGGAGCTAATTCCAGCACGCTCAGGGATTTCCTCTAGTCCTCACTAAGCAAGCATTATGTAAGGCACCTTTGGCTGACTGCATGGTCTCATGCCACATGCACTGTCTGGAACAGGGAGATGGAAATATGCACAATTGGGCCAGATCCTCCACTTGTGTAAATAGAGCTGTGCTGACTTCCACCAACTGAGGAGCTGGCCCAACTCATAGCAAACTATGAACCTGAAATCCTCATGGGCAAAAACCTCCATGTAGTTTCCAGAAACAGATGATATTTCAGCTCTCCCCTTTGCTTCCTCAGCCAGTAAGTCTGAACGCCATCCGTGCACCACATTTGACACACACCCCGCCCCTGCTCCAGCTAGAGAGGAGGTTCCCAGTGACTTGGCTAGAGGGGAAAAGCTCTGTTAGCTTTTCATTTCCTGAGACAGATTTGTTGTGGTTCCACTCTCTTCCAGGGAGCAGAGACAAGGAAGCGCTCGCCGACACTCAGCAGCCAATTCAAGCGATCTCTCGAGCTGTTGATGAGAACCCTCAGCGGGTGCCAGCCCTTCTTCGTCCGCTGCATCAAACCTAATGAATATAAGAAGCCCATGGTAAGCGCTGGTTCTTCCTCTTCGCGTGGTGTGTTTTGAGTGTCCTTATAGAGGCAGGTTTCAGAGTAGCAGCCGTGTTAGTCTGTATCTGCAAAAAGAAAAGGAGGACTTGTGGCACCTTAGAGACTAACCAATTTATTTGAGCATAAGCTTTCGTGAGCTACAGCTCACTTCATCGGATGCATACTGTGGAAAATACATAAGATGTTTGTATACACACAGACCATAAAAAAATGGGTGTTTATCACTACAAAAGATTTTCTCTCCCCCCACCTCTCTCTCCTGCTATTACCAGCAGGAGAGCAGGGGGGAAAAAACCTTTTGTAGTGATAATCAAGGTGGGCCATTTCCAGCAGTTGACAAGAACGTCTGAGGAACAGTGGAGGTGGGGGGGCGGAAATAAACATGGGGAAGTAGTTTTATTTTGTGTAATGACCCATCCACTCCCAGTGTTTATTCAAGCCTAAGTTAATTGTATCCAGTTTGCAAATTAATTCCAATTTAGCAGTCTCTCATTGGAGTCTGTTTTTGGAGTTTTTTTGTTGAAGAATTGCCAATTTTAGACCCGTAATCGAGTGACCAGAGAGATTGAAGTGTTCTCCGACTGGTTTTTGAATGTTATAATTCTTGACGTCTGATTTATGTCCATTTATTCTTTTACGTAGAGACTGTCCAGTTTGGCCAATGTACGTGGCAGAGGGGAATTGCTGGCATATGATGGCATGTATCACATTGGTAGATGTGCAGGTGAACAAGCCTCTGATAGTGTGGCTGATGTTATTAGGCCCTGTGATGGTGTCCCCTGAATAGATATGTGGGCACAGTTGGCAACGGGCTTTGTTGCAAGGATAGGTTCCTGGGTTAGTGGTTCTGTTGTGTGGTGTGTGGTTGCTGGTGAGTATTTACTTCGGGTTGGGGGGCTGTCTGTAAGCAAGAACTGGCCTGTCTCCCAAGATCTGTGAGAGTGATGGGTTTCAGGATAGGTTGTAGATCCTTGATGATGCGCTGGAGAGGTTTTAGTTGGGGGCTGAAGGTGATGGCTAGTGGCGTTCTGTTATTTTCTTTGTTGGGCCTGTCCTGTAGTAGGTAACTTCTGGGTACTCTTCTGGCTCTGTCAATCTGTTTCTTCACTTCAGCAGGTGGGTATTGTAGTTGTAAGAACGCTTGATAGAGATCTTGTAGGTATTTGTCTCTGTCTGAAGGGACACCATCATAGGGCCTAATCACATCAGCCACACTATCAGAGGCTTGTTCACCTGCACATCTACCAATGTGATACATGCCATCATATGCCAGCAATTCCCCTCTGCCACGTACATTGGCCAAACTGGACAGTCTCTACGTAAAAGAATAAATGGACATAAATCAGACGTCAAGAATTATAACATTCAAAAACCAGTCGGAGAACACTTCAATCTCTTTGGTCACTCGATTACAGACCTAAAAGTGGCAATTCTTCAACAAAAAAACTTCAAAAACAGACTCCAATGAGAGACTGCTGAATTGGAATTAATTTGCAAACTGGATACAATTAACTTAGGCTTGAATAAACAGTGGGAGTGGATGGGTCATTACACAAAGTAAAACTATTTTCCCATGTTTATTCCCCCCCCCCCCCATTCCTCAGAAGTTCTTGTCAACTGCTGGAAATGGCCCACCTTGATTATCACTACAAAAGGTTCCTCCCCACCCCCTGCCCCCCCGGCTTTCCTGCTGATAATAGCTCCCCTTACCTGATCACTCTTGTTACAGTGTGTATGGTAACACCCATTGTTTCATGTTCTCTGTGTATATAAATCTCCCCACTGTATTTTCCCCTAAATTCATCCGATGAAGTGAGCTGTCTCACAAAAGTTTATGCTCAAATAAATCTGTTAGTCTTTAAGGTGCCACAAGTACTCCTTTTCTTCTTATAGAGGCAGCGTTTACATGTGGACACAATACAGTAAAGCCCTGGACCCATTGAAGTTGATGGTAAAACTCCCATCGAGGTCCATCTGTCTGTCTAGAAACCTGATCTGCACTCCTTACTCATGCCTGGAACCCCATTGATGTCAATTGAAGAAGGGTTTGCAGGATCAGGTCCTTTCTTTGTAAAGCATCTTCTACAAACTGTCCCCCAAAATGTTTTACAAAGTGAGGGCCTCATCCCGGCACTGAGAGACCCATGCTGGAGCCTCTTCCCTTTATGAAAAGCCCTATAGATTTCCATAGAGAATGGTGGTCTTATAGAATGTTTGAATGAAGCTGTAGAATTCAGGAGCAGGGCTGCAATTCTCCGTTCAGTTCTATGGGAGGGTTTAAAAATTCTGCAGAAATCATCTCCTTCTATAGGTTTTTAGGTTGATTGCTTTCGAATCCTATTTGATTTCAATAGAACCTTCGTAGTTTCACCCCTGTTAGAGCAAAATCTAAGAAGGTTCTATAGAAATTATATAGGATTCTAAAGCAATCAACCTAATAACCTACAGAAGGAGATCATTTCTATAGACATTTTTCATGTGAGTCAGGCTTGTTGGATTGTGTCCCTAAATGCAGTTAAAAGAACAGATGTTAGAGATATTGAGAGGCACAGGTGAAAGGTTAGCAATGTTTTCAGCTGCAATTTCCAAGAAGATGCAGAGATGAGCTGGAGAGGCCTGTTCCAGTTTTAATGTTTTCAATCTAATGAACATATAACAGCCCATTAATCCATCACCTTTAACAGGCAGTGAGAAGTGCATTTTCACCAAGCCGATTGACCTAGCAGCTGAAAGTCAAAGGAAATAATTACTCAGCCATTGAAAATTACTAATACATAGTAAAACGATGATCTGTTTATTTGGGTTTGTTATGACTATTTAAAATTCATTAGTACTTTGGGGACAAATTGCAGTTACCAGATGAAAGGGAAGATAACACTTATGCATATCCCCCAATAAAGTAAACTCTTTAGGGTCTGATCCTGCATTCTTTGCACACTCATAGTTCCCACCTAAGTCCCTTGGTTGTGCAAGGACCATGAAGCATTGAGCTCCTCATGCTGTGTGCTGAGCATCCCCAATTCCACACTTTGCAGGGTTGGACCCTAACTTTACTAAAAATCTCTACTGTTCACTAATCATTACTTATAATACTTGAAAAGAGATTCTCTTACTTATTCCTAGTTTGCTGTGTGTTATGGTTTGTCTGTGACTGGTGTCTTTGTAAGTTATGTATACACTGGGCAAAATTATGCTGTCTGTTACATCTCTGTCCAGATTTAGTAGCTATGGGCAGAATTTAACTCTGAATGTTACCAGGGCAAAATGGCACAGAAATTCTAAAATCATAAACTTCAGTTTGGTAATTTTATCTATATATTTGCAGCGAACATATATGTGTGGATCTGTTGATTGGCAAAACAAATATGGTCAGACAAATATTTTGATGGCTGTCTATGAGCAGGTTGTTCTGGCCCGATGTTTGTTTAGTGGGAGAATGGGAGAGACCGAAATTTAAAAATATATATAAGTGCACTTAATTGCATGTTAACCTCAAAACATAATACTAGTGTTTGTTTATCAGCAGAGAGGAGCCCAAATCAAAACCATGTCACTCCAGAACTTGGAGTGTTTTGAAAATTACAACCTGGATCCAGATGCAATTTTAGCAAATTGTTCCAAAACCCCAGTTTTGAACTCCCCTGAGTTTTAAAATGATCTGGGTTTGGAATTTTGCATCTATTTAACCACTCTGTAAGGACCAGTTCTTGCAGCCCCCAAATCAGTCGTGCCTACTCACACCAGTAGCCACAGGGGTGTCAGTGAAACTATTCATGAGCGTGCGGATTGCAAGATTAATCCAAAAGAGACACACAAATTGGACAGTTAATGCTAAGCTCCGTGCTGCAGCTTTGTAAGATGTATAATGTGGTTTTATGCTAAAATGGGAATGTTTATTTTTTGAATGAGTTTAAAAATCCAGAACCGAAAAACAGATCATGGAACCTAAGGCTGTGCAGAAAGGTTGTGAAAGAAAAACATTTTCTGTGAGTTAATTTTCTGTCCCAGGATATAAAGGAAAGTGTGCTGATAATGATAGGAAATGGGATAGCAGGAAGTGAAAGGCCAGCGGAAAGCCCTGGTCATTTGTTATTTTACATCAGGAGTCAGCAACCTTTCAGAAGTGTTCAGAGTAACAGCCGTGTTAGTCTGTATTCGCAAAAAGAAAAGGAGTACTTGTGGCACCTTAGAGACTAACCAATTTATTTGAGCATGAGCTTTCGTGAGCTACAGTTCACTTCATCGGATGCATACTGTGGAAAGTGTAGAAGATCTTTTTATACACACAAAGCATGAAAAAATACCTCCCCCCACCCCACTCTCCTGCTGGTAATAGCTTATCTAAAGTGATCACTCTCCTTACAATGGCCCAGAAATGGCCCAACTTAATTATCATACACTTTGTAAGGAGAGTGATCACTTTAGATAAGCTATTACCAGCAGGAGAGTGGGGTGGGGGGAGGTATTTTTTCATGCTTTGTGTGTATAAAAAGATCTTCTACACTTTCCACAGTATGCATCCGATGAAGTGAGCTGTAGCTCACGAAAGCTCATGCTCAAATAAATTGGTTAGTCTCTAAGGTGCCACAAGTACTCCTTTTCTTTCAGAAGTGGTGCACCAAGTCTTCATTTATTCACTCTAATTTAAGGTTTTGTGTGCCAGTCATACATTTTAACATTTTTAGAAGGTGTCTTTCTAGAAGTCTATAATATATAACTAAACTATTGTTGTATGTAAAGTAAATAAGGTTTTTTAAAATGTTTAAGAAGCTTCATTTAAAATTAAATTAAAATGCAGAGCCCCCCGGACCGGTGGCCAGGACCCGGGCAGTGTGAGTGCCACTGAAAATCAGCTCACCTGCCGCCTTTGGCACGCGTGCCATAGGTTGCCTACCCCTGTTTTACATGATTTTCAAACTTTTGTCCATAACTTTTTTGAATGTTTTGCTTCCCCGTGAAGCTAACTTTGGAAAATGACTTTGTTTTCACCCAGGTGTGTCTGAGTGTATTCTCTTGCTCCCGAATGGTTGTTTCTGAATAGTTGTGTGGTGTTGTAAGTAGTGTGAAAGAAACAAATGTGATTAATGAACAGATTGTGGGAGGAAAGAAAAGAATATCCATAAATTGGCAGCAGGCTCTGTAACGTAGGAGCTCGCTTAATGCCCAATTCAGGAAGATATGTAAGCACATGCATAACTTTCAGCATGTGAGTAGCCCCATCAACTTCAAGAGGACTGTTTGTGAGCTCAGTTACACACACACACACACACACACACACACACACGTAAGTACTTTCCTGAATCAGGGTGTAACAGGGTGGGTCTGCCCCTTTAAGATCCTGGGGCCAGCCAGCCTTGTTCAGTTAGCAGACCCAGCTAGGCAGGGGTCAGGTGATGCCTGTAAAGTTCTGAGAGAGCTCAGTTCTGGGGAGTTGCAGGAGGGAGGTTTGCTCCTGGGTCTGGATCAGAGAAAGGGGTACAGAGTGAGAGGCCTCCGGGCCCTTGCAGCTTGCATTGGTCAGGGGAATGGCCTTGTTTTTCGTTACTTTGGGAGTTTATTTCAATTAATAAACCATGCCCCGGGGGAAGGGCCCGAAAGCATCTCTGGCATAGTGTTAGTCCTGCTGGGACTGGGGAGACAGGCCAGCAGCCCTGCCCCGGGCTTGATCCTAAGACTGCTGGAGTCAGTGGGAATCTTTCTATTGACTCCACGGGGCTCTGAGTCAAGTGCAAGGGCCAGATTCTGCCACCCTTTGTTCACAGCGAGTTGCCCCTGAATCTGCAAGCAGCGGATGGTTACTGCTCGGTATTAGCAAGGGTGGCAGAATCTGGCCCTTTATGAAGAGGAATTATTATTAAGGGCACTCCTTGCAGGCTCTCCAACAGCAGAAGGTTTGAGACACGGGCCACTCTGTAATCTAAAACTCCTGCTTTGTTAATTAGGGGAAGGATTTTCTTCCCTTTTGGCTTCCTGAATGACAGGGCCAAATTGCCACAAGAGAATGGTGTCAAGGCTGCTACTGCGGCCTCAGGGCTCCCACCCATCCGCTCCGTGAGGAGAAATGACCAGACAGTCCCCCAAGCTCCCTCTGCATCTCTCCTGTCCCCAATCCAGGAGGCCCACCTCGAGCAGTGCCAGCACATAGTGGCGAGGTGGGGGGTGGGCTGAGACCAAGCCTGCTTGTGTTACAGTCACTTTGTCTTTACCCTGAGCCCCACACTTGGCTTTCACCCACCTGTTACACCTTATACTAACACTGTAAGTTCTTTGGGGCCAGGATATTTGTACAGCACCTAGCACAATGGGGCCCTGATCTGCCTGGGGCCTCTGAGCACTACTGGAATACTTGAATAATAATGACTAACCCCCACATGATCCCTCACAGAGCACAGCTCTGAGGTGCTCAGGGTGTAGAGACTTGTGCAGGGTCCCAGCAGCATCCTGCCCCCCTCCTCTCCAGCAGGCCTGAACTGGTCCCAGTAAGTCAGACCCCCCCACACACATGGAACAGGGGGCAGGATTTGCCCCTCCGAGTCCGAGGTGTGTGTCTGTGATGTCCTGAGAGAGCTGGCTGGGAAGGTCCCTGTAGTGAGTTTCCCCTTCTCAGCTCATTATTAAGGGTTTTTGTGCTTCCTTTATTTGACATTTGAAGCTGAACACTTGTGTAGGGCTGGTAACACTGAGCTGGGGCAACGTGCTGTTGGGGATTGAGCTGGGGAACCAGGATTCCTGGATCCTGTTCTCATCTTTTGTGCTAATTCCCTGAGCCAACAGTGGACAGGTTGTTAACATCTCTATACTTTGGTTTATCTGCTTGTACCTTGCCCGATGCGGTCATCATTGATTATTGTGTTTCAGTGCTCGGCGAGAGAGAAGGCGCCTTGGTGTGTGGAGAGGTTTTATCAGATGCCCTTTGGGAGGGCTGCATTACACAGGTCGGCTAGGCCATTTGGAAACTATCAACCAAATTAAATCAGAACTGTGCTGTTGCTGAGCCAGGCCAGGCACAGCCACACGGCAGAAGCACTCCTGAGTTCGCTCCTTCTCCGGATCTCCCAGTGTGTTTTTGCCCTGACCTATGTCTGTCTGTCAGAGTTTAAGCTCTTCAGGGCAGGTACTTTCTTCTTCTCCCTGAGTGGAAGGATGGCTCAGCGGTTTGGTAGATTTCAGAGTAGCAGCCGTGTGAGTCTGTATCCGCAAAAAGAAAAGGAGGACTTGTGGCACCTTAGAGACTAGCAAATTTATCTGAGCATAAGCTTTCGTGAGCTACAGCTCACTTCATCGGATGCATTCAGTGGAAAATACAGTGGGGAGATTTATATACACAGAGAACATGAAACAATGGGTGTTACCATACACACTGTAACAAGAGTGATCAGGTAAGATGAGCTCTTACCAACAGGAGAGAAAAAAAACCTTTGTAGTGATAATCAAGGTGGGCAGTTGACAAGAACTTCTGAGAAATGGGGGAGGGGGGGAGAGAATAAACATGGGGAAATAGTTTTACTTTGTGTAATGACACATCTACTCTCAGTGTTTATTCAAGCCTAAGTTAATGGTGTCCAGTTTGCAAATTAATTCCAATTCAGCAGTCTCTCATTGGAGTCTGTTTTTGAAGTTTTTTTGTTGAAGAATTGCCACTTTTAGGTCTGTAATCAAATGACCAGAGAGATTGAAGTGTTCTCCGACTGGTTTTTGAATATTATAATTCTTGACGTCTGATTTGTGTCCATTTATTCTTTTATGTAGAGACTGTCCAGTTTGGCCAATGTACATGGCAGAGGGGCATTGCTGGCACATGCTAACCCAGGAACCTATCCTTGCAACAAAGCCCGTTGCCAACTGTATCCACATATCTATTCAGGGAACACCATCATAGGGCCTAATCACATCAGCCACACTATCAGAGGCTCGTTCACCTGCACATCTACCAATGTGACACATGCCATCATGTGCCAGCAATGCCCCTCTGCCATGTACATTGGCCAAACTGGACAGCACGAGCAGTCCACATTAATGGTTTGCTTTGTGTCCCCGAGCAGATCAGCACAGCACCCAACGGCTGTCAGAAACGGTGCTTTGAAAGGGGAAGGGCGCATGTCTCCAGGGCAGCCAAGTTCAGAACAATGAGCAGAGAGGTCACTTGAGGCATTATGGGACCGCTTTGGAGGCCAATTACAGCACAGAAAGCAATCAAATGTCTACACGGGCAATAGAGCGCTGGGGCCTCGTCGAGGTGGTTTTTTTGCAGCTCTGCAGCTGCTGAGTTTCTGCACACAAAGTGGCGTGGCCGTGTGTACATGCCTGCAGTTTGAGCGCACAAAGCTGCTTTACTGCACAGAAACTTGGCAGTGTAGACAAGCCCTTATTGTTGTTGTTCATTAATAAGAACAGCCCCAAACAGTTTGAACCCCTCTATCCCTAATGACAGGTTTCAGAGTAGCAGCTATATTAATCTGTATCCGCAAAAAGAACAGGAGTACTCATGGCACCTTAGAGACTAACAAATTTATTAGAGCATAAGCTTTCGTGGGCTACAGCCCACTTCATCAGATGCCTAGAATGAAACATATAGTAAGAAGATGTATATATATACATACAGAGAAGGTGGAAGTTGCCATGCAAACTGTAAGAGGCTAATTAGTTAAGATGAGCTATTATCAGCAGGAGAAAAAAACTTTTGTAGTGATAATCAAGATGGCCCATTTAGACAGTTGACGAGAAGGTGTGAGGATACTTAACATAGGGAAATAGATTCAATATGTGTAATGACCCAGCCACTCCCAGTCTCTATTCAAACCCAAGTTAATGGTATCTAGTTTGCATATTAATTCAAGCTCAGCAGTTTCTCACTGGAGTCTGTTTTTGAAGCTTTTCTGTTGCAAAATTTCCACCCTTAAATCTTTTACTGAGTGGTCAGAGAGGTTGAAGTGTTCTCCTACAGGTTTTTGAATGTTATGATTCCTGATGTCAGATTTCTGTCCATTTATTCTTTTGCGTAGAGACTGTGTGGTTTGACCAATGTACATGGCAGAGGGGCATTGCTGGCACATGATGGCATATATCACATTGGTAGATGTGCAGGTGAACTAGCCCCTGATGGCGTGGCTAGTGTGATTAGGTCCTATGATGGTGTCACTTGATAAATATGTGGACAGAGTTGGCATCAGGCTTTGTTGCAAGGATAGGTTCCTGGATTAGTGTTTTTGTTGTGTGGTGTGTAGTTGCTGGTGAGTATTTGCTTCAGGTTGGGCGGCTGTCTGTAAGCGAGGACTGGTCTTTCTCCCAAGAACTGTGAGAGTGAGGGATCATTTTTCAGGATAGGTTGTAAATCTTTAATGATGCACTGGAGAGGTTTTAGTTGGGGGCTGAAGGTGACAGCTAGTGGCATTCTGTTATTTTCTTTGTTGGGCCTGTCCTGTAGTAGGTGATTTCTGGGAACTCTTTTGGCTCTATCAATCTGTTTTTTCACTTCAGCAGGTGGGTATTGTAGTTTTAAGAATGCTTGATAGAGATCTTGTAGGTGTTTGTCAATGCCAGGGCCCAGCAAGCTGCACCATTTTCCAAAGCAGTTTCATTTTCTGCTTGAAGGGGGGGGGGGGGATTTAGCGTGAATGCTAACACACAGCCTTCCAGTTCCCTGCAGCACACTATGGGTCATTTCTTGATCCCATTGTGCAAGTGGGAGTTAAACAAAGGGACGGAGACTAACGTGCTCAGCGCCTCACAGGATCAGGCCCTCCCATGCAGTCCGTAAAGTTTCTATGGAGAAGATGTTGTATTTGTTCCCCCCACAAGACTTCGGATTGTCCCCCACATTCAGTCTGGCCTTGGCTGGATGGTACGGCTTAAGCCAGTCCACAGGCCAGCGAGGTTTGATACCAGAACCAAAAGAGCCCCTGATGTTCTGGTCTGATTTTCCCCCTCCCCAGTTGTTTGATCGGGAGCTGTGTGTTCGCCAGCTGAGGTACTCAGGGATGATGGAGACCATCCGGATCCGCAGGGCTGGCTATCCCATCCGCTACAGCTTCGTGGAGTTTGTGGAGAGGTATCGTGTCCTCATGCCTGGGGTGAAGCCGGCGTACAAGCAGGTACAGGTTTAAGCAGAGGCCTGGATTTTTATCAAAAACCATCATGCTAATGCCCTGGAGAAAGTTAAGAGGAAGGAAGACCCAGTGGTTAGAGTGCTAGCCAGAGACCTGGGTTCAGTTCCCTGCTCTGCCACACTTACTGCGTGACCTTGGGCAAGTGGTTTTTAGGACCAGATTTTCAAAGGTGCTTAATTCCTGTTGATTTTAAATGGGAGTTAGGCACCTAAGTGCTTTTAAAAATCTGGCTCTTAGTCTCTGGGCCTCAGTTCTCCAGCTGTAAAATGGGGATCGCACTTCCCTGCCTTACAGCGGGGTTGTGGGGATGCACACATGAAAGACTGTGAGGCCCTCAGTTACTATGGTAACGGAGGCCCTCTCAGCACCTTAGATAGGATGGGGTCTCTGCGAGACTATGATTCAGCTGAGCTCAGAAGCCCCAGTAACAGTTAAACTAACTGGATGAGCCTGTACTGCCTGAAAACTGCAGACAACACATTCGCAGGGACCACAGGGAGCCCACGGAGGGATGGCTGGGGAGCACAGCTGATACTACTAGCCAGCCCAGAGATGGGGCCTTTCTGGGCATGGCTTGCCCCTCATGTGCCCTGGCATGGCTGCACTGGGGAAGTCCTGGCTGCATCGATTGAACGGGTGTAGCAAGCAGGACCTCTCCCTATGCTCCCCACAGGCCTCGGTAGGTGTTACTATCAAAGGCATAATGCTTCTGACCCTGCCATTGAGGCGGCGTGCCTCCTCCCTCTTCCACCACAGCCCGGGCCTCTGCAAGCCATGATGCAGCCCACTGTGTTGCTCCATCACTGCACATCTACTGTATAGACACTGCAGTCAGCAGTGACGGCCACTGCCATGGATCGGGGATTGAGACTAGAACGAATCGTCGTCTTCATTCACCGCTTCTAGGCCAGCCAGGAGAGGGAAGCATGCAAACGAGGAGGAGCCTCATTAATGTCACTAGATTACGCCAGTGTAAAACAGGTGGAAGTGAGATCAAACTCCACCCCATGTTTATAGCTGGTAGGGGCGGCTGGTGTTCATCTGAGGCATAGGCTAAGTCCCGCTGCCCCATTTCTCCTAGGGCGACCTGCGTGGAACGTGCCAGCGAATTGCTGAAGTGGTGCTTGGGAAAGATGATGATTGGCAGATTGGCAAGACGAAGATTTTCCTGAAGGTAAGATGCTCTCAGGCTGTCCATGCATTGAGGGGCCGTTAGAATAATAGAATCATAGAATATTAGGGTTGGAAGAGACCTTAGGAGGTCATCTAGTCCAAGGGTGGGCAAACATTTTGGCCAGAGGGCCACATCTGGATATGGAAATTGTATGGTGGGCCATGAACGCTCACAAAACTGGGGGTTGGGGTGCGGGATGGTGTGAGGGCTCTGGATGGGGGTACAGGCTCTGGGGTGGGGCTGGGGATGAGGGGTTGGGGTGCAGGAGGGTGCTCTGGGCTGGGACCGAGGGGTTCAGAGGGCGGAAGGGGGATCAGGGCTGGGGCAGGGGGCTGAGGCACAGAAGGGGGTCAGGGGTGCAGGCTTTGGTCAGTGCTTACCTCAAGCAGCTCCCAGAAGCAGCATCATGTTCCTCCTCCGGCTCCTACGCAGAGGCGCAGCCAGGTGGCTCTGCATGATGCCCTGTCCCAGATGCTGCCCCTGAAGTTCCCACTGGCCACAGTTCCTGGCCAATGGGAGCTGCGGGGGTGGCACTTGGGGCGGGGGCAGCTTGCTGGCTGCCCCTACGTGTAGGATTTGGAAGGGGGGACATGCTGCTGCTTCTAGGAGCCGCATGGAGTGGGGCAAGCCCCCAACACCACTTCCTGGCTGGAGCACCAGAGCAGGGCAAGCCCCAGACCCTGCTCCCTAGTGGAGCATCTGGAGGGCCATAGTTTGCCCACCCCTGATCTAGTCCAACCCTGAGCTCAAAGCAGGACCAACCCCAACTAAATCATCCCAGCCAGGGCTTTGTCAAGCCGGGCCTTAAAAACCTCTACGGATGGAGATTCCACCTCCTTAGGTAACCCATTTCAGTGCTTCACCACCCTCCTAGTGAAATAGTTTTTCCTAATATCCAACCTAGAACTCCCCCACTGCAACTTGAGACCATTGCTTCTTGTTCTGACATCTGCCGTTAGCTTTGAAGGACTCTAACACCCATCCCAGTCGCAGGTTCCATAACTAGAACTAATCCCCATCCACCACCCAGGTCTCTGGCCTGATTTGATGGGGACTGGGCCAGGAGATGGTGTTGGATCCAGATCAGGTGAGAGTTAGGAGTCAGAGAATGGGTGAAATCCTGGCACTCTGCTGGCACAGAGCCTGGCTGGGATGTGCACACGCACTCATACCCGCACGCATGGCACTGGTCATATCCTGAGCGGCGCAGGCCTCTCTGTGAGAATGCAGGCAGCTTTGTGGCTGCCCAGCTGTATCCCCAGAGCAGGGACAATGACTCCACTGCCAGACGTGGCAGCAGAGTCACTGAGGAGGGGCTTCAGGGCTCAGGCAGTGCCCTGCCTAGGTCCCTGCAGAGGACGGGTGAGGGGAAGCTCCCTGGCTGACTGACACCCATGGAGACAGTGAGAGAGTTGAGCTGTTGAGTTGCTCCCTTCACTCCACCCCCTGCCCAGGCTGGCTGACAGCCCCTGAAAGCTCCATAAGCCAGGACAGGGGCCCACTGCCCCAAAGATCCCACTCTGCGCACAAGCAGTAGGGGATGGCGGGGCAGCACAGGTGCCCTGTGATCCCCTCCTCTCCACCACCTGCTGACATTTCCCAAGGCTCTTCCCGAGGCCCTTATCATCAGGCCCTGTCAGGCAGATGGCGACATTGGTCCCCAAGGCTGCCATAACCCCTGGGGCACCTAGGTGAGGGAGAGAGAGGGATCTGGCTCAGCAGAAAGCCAGTGGGCGTGACAGAAAGGTCTGCAGCACCCTAACGCGCCGAGCGGAAGATCAGCAGCTCTGTGTCCCTCGCGATCGGCAAGGCCAGTGCAGTGCTGCTTAAGGAACCCAGGGCCCTGTATGGCACCATGAGACAGCGGCAGTGTAACAAAGAGCTGTCTTGTTCTGACGGCCCTACTCACGTGCATTTGTTTTTACGATCCCATCTCTAAATCCCTCCAGGAAAACAAAGCCAAGTTGTCAAGGAGCGAGCCAGGAGGCAGATGGGATTTCTCTAGTGTTTTTCAGATGTAATCCTGTTCACTTATTTTTAAACATCTCCCCATCTATTTCTTAGAAACTACTCCTGACATCCCTTTAGCTTTCCTTTCCAGAGAGCGTTATCAGGACCCTGCAGCTGTCCAGGCAGGAAATAGGGAAACGAACAGGTTCTGAAGGGCAGTGCAAGGTCGGGTAAAACGGGAAGCATGCAAAGTTGTATCGATGCACCCAGCTCCTGTAGCAGCCAGGAAAGAAATTAGTACAGAAATCAATTTGGAGAATACAGAAAGGAGGCTAGAATCATGTGACTTGACTGAATTCCACAAAAGCAAGGAAACACAGAGTGAAGGGGTGCCATTTTGTCCTTAGCCTGCCTTACTATGTTCAGGATTTGCAGCTCCTCTGCTTTACTGGAGGAGGGAGTGACGTCTAGTAGTCAGAGCAGTGGACCAAGACTCAGGATGCCTGGAGTTTGCTCCCAGCTTTGCCACAGTCTTCTCCAGTGCCCTGCTTCTGGTGTAGTCATTAGTACCTGCACAACGTGGGTGGGGAACGCTACTGAATTAGGTGCATGGAGCAACCTCACTTGACTGACTCTTCAGCTGACAGTGTAGTGAGCCAAACGTCAGAGGGCGACATAATTCACACACACACTGTTACTAAGCCCTGCAGTGCATGCTGCCTCTGGGATGAAGGGGTAATGCTCAGCAGTGACCCCTTCTGGTATATTAGGAGTGGCATGGATGAGCGGGAAAGATTCAAGTCCAGTTCTTCTTGATAGGAGGGGGAATGGCTGTGCTGTAGAGCCCCAAACGTAGTGAGTTGTAAAGTGGGACATCCTTAGATGTGACTGGGATGGCAAGAACCTCTATGGGGAGGAGCCTTATACCATCCCTCTGTTCGTGTCATGGGATGGCCAGTGGTCACAGGGTAACTGTTGTGGCGGTTCATTCCCCAGGATCACCATGACATGCTGCTGGAGATTGAGAGGGACAAGGCCATCACTGACAAGGTCATCCTCATACAGAAGGTGGTTCGTGGGTTTAAAGACAGGTATTATATGCCAAGGAAATGCCTGGTGAATATTGGGGGATCTGTTAGTGCGACTGAGTAGCACACCATATTGCAGTTCATGGCACTCTGCTAAAACAATGTCCTCTTTGCCTCTGGTACCACTAGCTTACTCTGCCCATTCACAATGTGACTGGCCTATTGCTTTAGCTTGCAGTGAGCGCAATAAAGCCCCCCAGGGGTTGACATTATGATATAATTGGTGCTGGAGCTGCTCAGAGCACGAAGGAAATTATTAACGTATATTTTCAGGCTGTCAAATTTCAGAACAACGGGAGTAAGGATTTCTGTCCACACTCAGTTCTGCACTTGACAGAGGCACTCTTCATTGGCCAACTTTAGTCAGACTAGCAGACTATTCCAAGATCTGCGCCAGATCTTGGTCCCATTGAAGTCAATGACAAAATTCCAGTGGGAGACTAAAGGGGGGTGATATTTAGTCTTATGGCAGCAAAGAGCAATAGTATGTTACAGTACCACTCATCCCAAGGCGCTGTACAGCCATTCCCACTGAAAACCAGGCACCGCAGAGATCAGATGCAGGAAGCCAACCCATGTAAAGCACACTGCATAGCAATGTGGGGTAAACAGAAAATGATGGCCAAGGACTCCAGGACGTAGTCCTGTCCTTAGAGAAGCAGCGCTGAGTATTGCTCAAAGTCGGGGACTAGCAATCAGGGCTTCTGTCACCTGTCCCTGACTCTGCCGCTGGCTTGCAGTGTGAGCTTGGACTAGTGACTTCTTATTTCATTCAGGCCCCAAATGTGTGCTATGCACCTCTTAGAACATTGAGAAGACAGAAAGGGCCAGATCCGCACCTGGCATCAATGGCGGTGGATTCATTGACATCAATGGAACTACGCTGATTTATGCCAGCTGCAGATCTGTCCCACAGTCCTTATTCGGATGAGGTTAAAATCTAAGACTAGAGGAAACATAGTAGGAAGATTCCAAATGCAAGGGATGGGGAGGAGGGGGGGGCGAGGGGTAAGTCACAAGAGCCTGGGCCTGAGGTGTCACCCAGCAGTTCAGGGCAGGACCGTTGATCACCTAGCCCTGGATTGGCACATTTGGACTGCTCTTCCCATTCCTGTTTTGGACAAAGCACAGGGAATGGGCAGAGAAGAGCATGATAGCACCACTACAATGCCTCTGCTTCCTCTTGCATGGGAAAGGAAAGCTGGGACTGGCATTATCCGGCAGACGACTGAGCTCAAGGGGGTGGAGGTTACTCCAGCTTCCTCCCTTACAGTCTGTGAAGAATGTGGCCGGCTTTCCCTGCGGGCCAAGGTGACGCTAACCCCCAGCAGACCAGCACAAAGTGTTGTAATGCCTTTCCAGGTCCAATTTCCTGAAAGTGCGACGTTCGGCCCTGATGATTCAGAGATACTGGCGGGGACATAACTGCAGAAAGAACTACGGTGCTGTAAGTGTTGCCAGTTGTCCTTTATGTTCTTTACCGCCTTGGTCTCATTGTCTAGGATCCAGATATCAGTTTCCCTTTTGGTCCAGTCAAGCTCCCCTGAGGGGAAAGATCAAAGGGGGGAGAGCTGGCTAGTGTGTTGGGTGGATGGAGGGAAGGGGGGGAAGCTATACCCTCGTTGCCCTCTGTTCTGAATAAAGGGAGCGACTGTCTCTTTGGTTGTCCTCCTCATGCCTTTGTCATGAGTTGAACCCATCTTACAGCAGCTGATCACCTGTGGTCCTGGATGGCTTATGTTGTTTCTCAGGAGGCTGCAAACTCAGGGCCAGTATTAAAGCTGCTAGAAGTGGTATAGCTCTGTCCTTGGAAATGCACTGGATCCAGGTTGTCCCTCAGACTTTACTGCAGCTGCAGCCATATTTTTCTAACAGTCCCCCCACTCCACAACCCCATCCAAAACTGTGCAGGTGTGGCTGACATCTTATGGTGTCCTGGGTATTTACACAGGCCCCCTTAGCATCCCCAAGCATGGCAGATCCCAGAACTCATTAGGGAGTGTGGGACGGAAGAAGAGAATGCACCCGACATGGTATATGACCCTCTTCTGGACCCAACCCAGCAGAAGACCTGCAGGGGGCCCACCATGACATTTGCCCTGCTGAAGTGTGCAGGGGGCAGGCTGAGAATGGGAGGGTTCAAGGCCAGAGGGATGGCCGTTCTCTGCAGTATCATCCCCCACGCAACCCAGCTTAAGCTATGCCTGACTGAATCAACGTAAGTGCCCGCTCCTGTGATGTGGAACTGCTTGGAGGAGACAATGTAGTGGTAATAGCCATGACAGGAGGCAGGGGGAGATGCTGGGCCTCCTTGTGCATGGCCCTTTCTACCTGTGATTGCCCTGAGATCTGCGTAGATCTGGGGGATCTTGAGAGTCAAACCTCTGGAGGGAAGCACAGGGAGGAGACTGTGCTTTATGGGTCACTGAGCCCATAAAGACTTGGATCTCTAGCCCGTGGGAAAACTCCCGTTGACTAAGTGAGCTTTGGATCAGGCCCCCAAATCCAGGCACCCTTTGTTTCTCTGCCATCTCACAGCAGTTTTCCCCTGCTTTCGGGGGGGTGGGAGGGGGGGCTCTTTGCTTGTTGCTAATTTCATCAGGTTTTTATTTTCAGCTGCGAGAGGGCGGACGAGCGAGGAAAATCTGATTATGGCCAGTGAGACCCTCAGGGGCCCCCAGTGTCTTAACTCTGTTTCCTTTGCAGATGAGGATTGGGTTCCTGAGGCTCCAGGCCCTCTACCGTTCCCGCAAACTCCACACGCAGTACCACATGGCTCGCAGACGCATCATCGAGTTCCAGGCAAGGTGCCGAGGCTGCCTGGTGCGCAGGGCCTTCCGCCATCGCCTATGGGCTGTCTTCACGGTCCAGGCTTATGTCAGGGGCATGATTGCACGGAGGCTGTATAAGCGCCTTAAGGGAGAAGTAAGTACCATGCAGGAAATGCTGTTTGCTAGCACGTTTGCTGGAGAAAGACAGCAGCCAGTTAACAGGACCAACAGGGCTGGTTTCCCCAGAGCATGATAGGCTTTATAACATCCATCCTACGGCCTTTGTCTAGCTGTCAGTGTCTCTCTGTCTAAGGGTATGTCTACACTAGCTTTTTTTAACCTGGAGTTAATTGATTGCCAATTAACTTGAGTTAGTTAACACTTTGGTGAAGGCTAATATGGGCATGCCCCAAATGTTTGTTCCAGGATACAAAAGTCTGTGGTTACCCTAGAGGTCAGCTCCCTAAATACCATAGAGAGAGGCAGATCACAGTAGTATGTGGATCACTGACTCTGTGCAAGGGAGTGCAGAACACAAACTCTTTCCCCAAGGTCTTGACAGAATGAAATAAAAATCAGAAAGGAATGTGAAAGCTGGTAGCCTCTCTCGGGCTAGAAACTGACTCCCATTATGTTAGTGTTCCTTGAGACATACCAAGGGATAGACCTGTGTTTGTGTCTGTACTGCATGCTCCTGTGATCTGGATGTTAGCAGGGCAAAAGTGCTAACTGCCTTTTTAAAAGCCCACTTGTGTTTTCTTTCCCAGTATCACCGTCGTCTGGAAGCAGAGAAGCTTCGTCTGGCAGAAGAGGAACGGCTCAGGAAGGAGATGAGTGCCAAGAAAGCCAAAGAGGAAGCAGAAAAGAAGCACCAAGTACGTCCTGACTTTTCTCTTTCTTGGCTTCTCTTTAGGGCCTGATTCTACTCCCGCTGAAAAGTGTAGGGGCAGAATAAAGTCAATTGAAGGCAGCATCCCAATAAATAGTATGAGGACTTACTGTCCTGTTGTACTGTTCGTATTTGATTCAGTAAAGGCGTCCCTATTTTAACTTGAATGAAGCTAGCACAGAATTTCCAATCTGCAACACCAGAATGCCACAGATTATGCTTATTCTTTTGGGTACTATGGGACTGCATAAAGGACCGCTCCTGAGACTGGAACATTGCTACTGTGCTAGGTGTTCTATGTACATAGAGTAAAAGTTCTGCACCTGGGACCTCGTGCTCTAAATAGCCAAAAGAAGAGAGAAAGAAGCATTGTTGTGTCCATTTTGCAGGTGGGGAACTGAGGCACAGTTTAAGCATTGTCCAAGGTCACACAGTGAGTCAGTGGCAGAGCTGGGAATTTATCTCAGATCTTCTGCGTCTCAGTCTAGTGCTTTAACTCCAAGACCTTCCTTCTGCTCTAAAGCCAAGGGGCCATGCTGCAGAATTTAGGACCAGCTTGCCAGAGAATGCACTCTAATCAGCGTAACCATTCTCTTCTAGGTACGCCTTGCCCAGCTGGCCCGGGAAGATGCTGAGAGAGAGGTGAAGGAGAAGGAGGAAGCCCGTCGAAAGAAGGAACTCTTAAGCAAAATGGAGAAGGCCCGAAACGAGCCAGTGAACGACTCAGATATGGTGGACAAAATGTTTGGATTCCTAGGGACCACTTCGTCTCTGCCAGGCCAGGAAGGACAGGCACCCAATGGCTTTGAGGTACTGCATGGAGAATGGAGCAACAGACAGGGCTTGCCAGTGTTGCTCAGAGTAATATATTGGGACAGATGGCAATCCATCCCATCTTGGTTCAGCATCATCACCCTATTACCCTAATGGTTTGCTCTTGGAGTGCTCATCATAACTCTTTTTCCAGTGTGTTCACACTTGCTGCTTCTCCTACTGCCTTTGGGAGTCTGTCCCACAGAGGAATTCTCCTCAGGATAAAGAAGTATCTACAGACCTCACGTGGCCCGGATCCAGCTCCCCTTGAAATCACTGGTTTCAAGGGGAGTTGGACTGGGTCCTTTGTGCCTATTCTTGTCCTAAGAACTGATCCTGGTCCTATTGAAATCAGTGGCAGAACGGGGAGCAAGGTCAGGTGCAGGGTGAGGGAGCTTTAAAAAACACAAAACCAAACAGGGCGTGTATATTTTCCTCCCTCTCCAGGACCTTGAGCGAACCCAAAAGGAGCTAGAGGAAGAGGATTTAGATGCAGCTTTGCCCCTCCCCGAGGAAGAGGAGGAAGACCTCTCAGAGTACAAATTTGCAAAGTTTGCAGCCACCTACTTCCAGGGCACGACGACGCACACATACATCCGCCGGCCACTTAAGCAGCCCCTTCTGTACCACGAGGACGAAGGAGACCAGTTGGTGAGACAGGAAATAATCCAGAAATGTCCTGGTCATGAAGAATGGGGCTGGATGGTTCAGCGGGTTGGTAATAGGCTACAGAGCCCTTCATTTCTAGGACACCCATTTGAATCCATCCCAGTAGAACACACGAGTCTGAAGATAGTTTAGGAGCAAAGTCCTTATCTGCTATTGGATGTCCCGTGTGACATTCATTGATGGCTTCTCTTTCTATTGGGCAAGTAGCCACCAGCCTTTTTACAATAGTCATGTGGCGCACCCTAAGGAAATTTCATTTGCGATGTGCTTGAGCACCATGTTTAAGAAATAAAACAGCGCAAGCCAGTAATAAAACAATCCTCCCCAAGCATTCTGAACCTGAATCTAGTACTTGTGTAGCGGGCTAGAGTTAGAGCTTAGGAGGCAGAGGGCCACCAAACAGGTATAAATATACAGCAGTAGGACAGTCTGCTCCCACACTGTCCCACCCATGTGCCTCAGGATGGGAAGTCAGTCCACATGCCCATTCAGTCCTTGATGTCTCTGCTGAGATGCTCTGACGGTCAGGGCTGGCTCCAGGCACCAGCGAACCAAGCAGGTGCCTGGGGTGGCAAATGTAAAGGGGCGGCAGGACATCGGGCTCTGGGGCGGCAATCCTCCCTCGGCGGCGGCGGGAATTCAGTGGCCGCTCCGTCACAGCGCGTTTCATGCTCGGCGGCAATGCGGTGGCAAGAATGTGACTCTTCTTTGGTTGCCGGCAGCAATTCGGCGGCCGCACCATCCACCTCCGTGTTCGGCGGGCAGGATTCCGCCTCCCCATTCGGCGGCAAAAAAAATTTTTGACCGCTTGGGGTGGCAAAAACGTTGGAGCCGGCCCTGCTGACGGTGCCCACTGTGCTCGTGGTGACCAGTCTGTTAGGGATTGGGCCGAGAGCCACGTATACAGGGTGTGCACAGGAACTGTATAGGAGACTTGTGCCCAAACTCCTTAATGGCCCGACATTGTATAAAAAGATGGATCGTAGTATCCTCCCTGTTTGTTATTATTCTACTGGCCTTTCTGTTCGTGCAGCTGAGAAATGATGGGACAGAAAACCTCAACTTAGTAAGAAACCCTTTTTTGATACTAACAGTCTGATTTGCAAAAAGAAAAGGAGTACTTGTGGCACCTTAGAGACTAACCAATTTATTTGAGCATGAGTCTCTAAGGTGCCACAAGTACTCCTTTTCTTTTTGCAAATACAGACTAACACGGCTGTTCCTCTGATAACAGTCTGATTGTTCTTTTTGGGCGGGAGGGAGCAGGGGCAGGGACTTAGTTTGTTTTGGATGATCTAATTTGAGTAGTTTCTCCTTCATACACGACTTTAATGGAGAAGGGTGTCATGTATTTTCCAGACTGCAGTCCATGTTGCACAGTTTTAGTTTAATTTGCATTTACAGTACACATTTTAATGAACTAGTCATTTTGCACTGTATACTCACCACTAGCCTCTCGTGGACAGATTCAGAACTGCTCAATGGTTTGTCATAGACCTGCTAACAACCAAAGGAGAGTCTCCTTTAGCTCAAGTAGCAGGGGCCTGTGCTTTTGGAGCAGGGGATCTGAGTATTATCCACGCTGTCATGAAGTGTTTAGTGCTGGGATGGGACCAGTCACTGGTGGCCATGGCTTTATTACAGTCTAATACACACAATTAATTATATTAACCCAGACCAAGCTAAGAACTCTAGTAAGTTACATCTTTATTGCAAATAGGCAGCACTGGCAGTGTGGATCACTATTCTTCGTTTCATGGGAGACCTTCCTGAGCCTAAATACCATACGGCTATGAGCGACGGCAGTGAGAAGATTCCAGTGATGACCAAAATCTATGAGACTCTAGGGAAAAAGACCTACAAGAAAGAGCTGCAGGCTCTGCAGGGGGAAGGAGAGGTGAGAATGCTCTTTCCTTTAATGTTACAGCTGTAGAAGAGCCCATATTCTTGATGTACCATTCGTGAAAGTAGAAATTTATCTATGGAACAAACTGCTGATGGGATTGATTGAGGCAAATAGTTTTGTAAATTTCATCCGCCACTATGCTAGCAAGGAGAAAACTACAAAGGCTCTCATCCCTTGTGTTTCAAAGTATAAATTCTATTCCATATAGATTCTTATACCACCCTCCTCACCATAGTATTCTACTGATGCAAAGCACTCTAGCAGAACTAGGTATTATTATGATTATTAGTGCGTTAAGCTATGTGGCTAACACTTGTCACATGTGATTCATTCTCTCATCCTCTCCCCAGGCATGTGTGTGCGGTGGAATGTTTTTGGTTGGATTTAAATGAACATGTGGCTCTGTGTTTGTGTTTGTCAGGCCAAAGATGTGTGGGAGCGGTGAGGTCTGGGATTGTCCCACGGGATTCAACCCCTCTTGGGGTCAGAAGAAAATTACTCCTATGGTAAATGGTATTGCACCATTAGGTTATTATGGGACAAGTACACTTCACCATAAGAATCCATCTTTGGCTGCTGCCAAAAGCAGGACAAAAGACTGGATAGACCATTGGTCATTGCACTCTGGCAGTTCGTATGCTTTCGTCTTTGAGAATCTGCCTTATACAAGATGGCAGGACATTTTCAGTGGCCTGGCTTGCTGGTGGCAGGATGTGATAAATGGTACTGCTGCTCTTAGATGTGTTTGTCAATTACATCAAGGCCCTCTAGAGCAGGGGTCTCCAAAATTTTTGAATCGCGCACCCCCAGGGCCAGCTCTGGGGAAGCAAAAAAAAAAAGAGCGGCCGCCGGTGTGCCGCCGAAGACGGAGCGGGGAGAGCTGAGCGGCCGCCGGCGTGCCACCGAAGATGGAGCGGGGAGAGCCGAGCGGCCGCCGGCGTGCCGCCGAAGACGGAGCGGGGAGAGCCGAGCGGCCGCCGGCGTGCCGCCGAAGACGGAGCGGGGAGAGCCGAGTGGCCGCCGGCGTGCTGCCCAAGGATCAAAGGTCCGTGCCGGCGGCGCTTCTTCGGCGGCGCTCCTCCTGCCGTGCACCCCCACGGATGGCCTGGCGCACCCCACTTTGGAGACCACTGCTCTAGAGTCTAAGAACAGCCACCTTTGTTTGCCACTTTTGGTAGATCTAAATAAATAAAATGCCTGGTTCTAGTCATATTCCCAGAAACAATGATATAATGTAGCAATTTCATTAAAGCTGCTGGTGAGGAAAGTAATCTCCATTGGGATCTAATTATGTTAAAATATACATGAAGAATCAGGCTTGGTTCTGTATAATTAACCATTTTTTAAATTTTTTTCATTGGACAGAAGATCATATTTCAGTCGGCTGTAGCATCAGCAGAGCCCCTAGAGAAGAGAAATAAAATTTAACAATGTATTTTTATCTTAGAGACAAACTGTTCTTCTTGGACAGTAATATTCTCATTTCTCTGGGTAGTATGAATGCCTGGTTAGATTGAATTAGAAATGGATGGATGGATATTCATAAGCGGCCAGCTGCTTCTAATCCATAAACTACATATTAGAGATGGGTTTGAGCTGTAATTTACCTTCATGTCAAACTTTCCTAAAATATGAGGTTGTTTCAATCCAGGTTTTGATTTGGCCCATTAAAGAGACAGAGGCCAGCTGCAAAATTGAGATCCAGATCTGAGCATTACAGTGGGTTGGAGGAAATTAGATATAGGGGTTTGGTTCTGGCCCATCTCTCAGAAATATCAAATCAGTGCTCCAAATCCACTGAAAATGTTGCCATTTCTAAAAGCTGATGAGCTGGATACACAGGAAACCCACTCTGCAGGGTTGTGTGTGTCTCAGGAATAAGGCTATATTTCTTGCCTTTGCAGAGCGCTCACATAGATGGCCACAAGAAGAATAGTGTGCGGCACAAGCTGGTCTCCTTGACTCTAAAGAAGAAATCCAAACTGACTGAAGAGGTGAGAGGAAATGCTTTGCGGCTGGTTACCACAAGTGGTATTATATGATCTGCAGGGCTCTCTGACTCTCTCCTGCTGCTTACACAACCAGACCTTCTCTGGGGTTGCTGCTCACTGTGTCTTTGGGGGCCTGAAAGATTTAAGGATTCTTTAAAGGGAAAGGTTGGCTCCCCATGTCTCCTTGAGTCACCCTGCACCTCATGCCTTCTTCCCCACTGTTCCCTATGCCTGGGACAGCTCCCACTCTCCAGTCATCAAGCCGTCCACCTCCTCTTTTCACACCCCTCCATCTGCATAGACTTCCAGTGAGAGTCGCCCATCCCTCTGTGTTGGCCTGTACATTCTCGGTCTTTCTCGCTTCAGTCCCACCCTGCTCGGCTTTAGATTCCAAGTGGATTTTCACAAGCACTCAACATTGGCCTAACTCCTCTGCCATTGATATCTGTGGTCAAACTCCCATGTGAGCCATTCGGCCAGTGCTGAGCACTTCTGAAAATCCCACTCTTCGGCTCTTGGGGCAGAGAATCCTTTTTCTTGACACATCCTCCTTTTTATACGGTATGGTAGAGAGGAATTATCAGTGGTTCACAGTCAAGCTGGAAGGGCATATCACGTGGAGTCCCGCAAGGATCAGTTCTGGGTCTGGTTCTGTTCAATGTCTTCATCAATGATTGAGATAATGGCATAGAGAGTACACTTGTAGAGTTTGCGGATGATACCAAGCTGGGAGGGGTTGCAAGTGCTTTGTAGAATAGGATTAAAATTCAAAATGATCTGGACAAACTGGAGAAATGGTCTGAAGTAAATAGGATGGAATACTGTAAGGACAACTGCAAAGCACTCCATTTAGGAAGGAACAATCAGTTGAACACATACAAAATGGGAAATGACTGCCTAGGAAGGAGTACTGCAGAAAGGGATCTGGGGGTCACAGTAGACCACAAGCTAAATATGAGTCAACAGTGTAACACTGTTGCAAAAAAAGCAAACATCATTCTGGGATGTATTAACTGGAGTGTTGTAAGCAAGACATGAGAAGTAATTTTTCTGCTCTACTGCATGCTGATTAGGCCTCCACTGGAGTATTGTGTCTAGTTCTGGATGCCACATTTCAGGAAAGATGTAGACAAATTGGAGAAAGTCCAGAGAAGAGCAACAAAAATGATTAACGGTCTCGATAACATGACCTATGAGGGAAGACTTTAAAAATGAGTTTGTTTAGTTAGAGAGGGGATAACAGTTTTCAAGTACATAAAAGGTTGTTACAAGGAGGAGGAAGAAAAATTGTTGTCCTTAACTTCTGAGGGTATTACAAGAAGCAATGGGCTTAAATTGCGGTTTAGGTTGGACATCATTAAAAACTTCCTAACTGTCAGCGCGGTTAAGCACTGGAATAAATTGTCCGAGGAGGTTGTGGAATCTCCGTCATTGGAGATTTTTAAGAGCAGGTTAGACAAACACCTGCCAGGGATAGTCTAGATAATACTTAAGTACAGTCACAAATTGTGCCATGAATTCTGAGGGCTGGATTAGATGACCTCTCGAGGTCCCTTCCAGTCCTACAATTCTATGATTCTATGATGTGCGCTTACAGAGGAAACCAATAACAGCGATCACAACCACGAATGTGCTTACAGCCTTACAGCCATGGTGTTGTGGTTTTGGCTGATGGAGCATCTTTTAATTGTGTTACTGGTTTTTTAATGATGATTGAATAGAGATGAGATGAAGAGTCAGATCGTCATCAGTTATAGGCTGGTGTAACTCCACTGCCTTCTAATAGAGTTATCCCAGCTGAGGGTGGGGCTTGGAATTGTGGCCTATGGTGCTGTTGTGGAAAAACTGGGGCAAAGGAGTGGTCTAAGACAAAACAGATACTATAAGAAGATGCTCTAGGTCAGGGGTCTCAAACACGCAGCCCATGGGCCGCATGCGGCCCGCGGAGTTATTTGCTGTGGCCTGCCAAGCTCCCTGCGCTCCCCCCTCGCCCCCCCCCCGCCGCGAGTTATTTCCTGTGGCCGGCAAATTCCCATCCCCCGCCACCACCCCCAGCACACCGCGTCCCTACTTCTCTGCCTTCCTCCAGGTGCTTCCCACTGCCAAACAGCTGTTTGGCAGCGCTTAGTGCTTTCCAGGAGGGAGGAGCGGGGAGCCGCACACTCAGGGGAGGAGGCGGAGAAGAGGTGGGGCAGGGGTGGGGATTTGGGGAAGGGGTTGGAATGGGGCAGGGAGGGGGCAGAGTTGGATTGGGGACTTTGGGGAAGGGGTGGGAAGAGGCAGGGTGGGGTCTCATGGAAGAGGTGGAGTGAGGGTGGGGCCAGGGGCGGGGTGGGGTGTCAGTAATCCTCATGTGGCCCTCCTGGTGATCTGAGTTTGAGATCCCTGCTCTAGGTAGATTGATTAGACAGAACTTGGTTCACCTTTATATGTACTATACAAGGATTTGGGGGATTAAAAGCAAAAGAGCTGCATCCAAATTACTGGTAAGTTAGAGGGTAAAATTGAAGCCCTCTGAATAAACAGGAGATGGGGTTCTCCTGGGAACTGTCATGACTAGATTATAGTCCTACTTGGGCGGGGGGCAGCTGTTCATAAAGGCCTGGGTTGGAGGAGGGGAGAACCATAGCAACAAGTTATCCAGAAAGAGAATAATGTCTTTGGTTGACAGGTGACAAAGAGACTCCATGATGGTGAGTCCACCCTCCAAGGCAACAGCATGCTCGAAGACCGACCCACCTCCAACTTGGAGAAGCTGCATTTCATTATTGGTAATGGCATCCTCAGACCAGCATTAAGGTTAGAAATCAGTGCAAAGAGTCGACCATCATTCTCTGTTTTTCCCCCCTATTAGTTAAGCTGCTCTCATTAAAAAAAAAGGTTTTTGCTAATCTGTGCGATTGATTAAAACATGTATTACACTGTTCTTCGAGCTCTCTTCCTCTGTATGATTGGGGCTAGGCTCCCATCATGTTTGTTAGATGTTCATTTCAGGCTTGATCCAAAGTTCACTGGGGTCAGTGGAAAGGCTGACATAGACTTCATTGGACTTTGGATCACGCCCCCGGTTATTAGCATTCCTTTTTTCTTTTCACTGCTTATTTTTATCCAAGCCATTACAGCCTAAGTTGCTGGGTCTTCTTTTGTTAGAAGAATAGATTTCTTTTATTGCATACAAAAAACTATGTTAAAAGAACATTGTTGCAATTGCAAAGTCAAAACTCAAAAGACAGGAAAAGCCGAATTATGATTGCCCATGCTACCTTAATTCAGACCCTTTGTGCATATGCATTCAGACACAATCTTTAATTACAAGATCATATGCTGTTTTTTCCATCGGACCCTGCCTCATTCAGTGCACAGAATGGACAGTGCTCACTTAATGAACAGCTATTCAATATTTTGTCCTACTCACTGTCCAGTGTGTGGCCCTTGGCCTTATTTCTGCACATTATTCCAACCCTGTTTCACGCACAATTAATGTATCTTCACTACAACTCTATGAGATGAGGGGGTGGTATTATGCCCATTTTACAGATGGGGAACTGTGTGATAAAGGCAGATTAAGGTTAAAATTGTATACTGATTTAGGGGGCCCAATTTGAAATGCTTCAGACCTGATTTTTCAGAGCATTATATAGTGCTCGATATATTCATAGCAGGAGGACCTCAGCTGCTTTTGTGAGTGCCTGGTAGCAGATAGTAGCTGTTAGGGGGTGGCGTATGCTGGCAGACTCTGGAGAATTCTGCTGCCAAACTCCTCTGAGCATGTGCAAACTAATATTTTCAAAGGCTCATGAACTTGGCCAAACATGGGTGGATTTTCAAGGGGATGGCAAAAAATACCCCCTGACCACAGGGCAATCCCCATACCAAATTGTAAGTCCCTGTTCCAAAACGTGGCGGCACTTAGAGCTTCTCAACAAAACAGACGTAAGAAGCTTTTAACATGGACAAAACACGTCTTTTTCCTAAACCTCGTTCTGAGAAACAACCAAACTGTTTTTACTGAAATTTTTTTAAAAATCAGCATAGAAAATTTCAGCCCAAGCAATTAAAATTTGGCCAAGTTTAAGGAACAGAAAACAGGGTCTTCTTATGGAACGTTTTGGGCCACCTCAACTACAGGGTGTCATTCTCTGCACCGCCTCTGGTATGTTTTGCCGTTCATCCCAAAAGCTCACAAAGCTCTTCACGCAAACAACATACAAGGCTCATTTTACCCACCACTGACAAGATGATGCTGCTAGGATGGAACATGGCGGCTGTTTGTTTAAATGGACACAGCAACACTACGTAGCAACTCAGCACAAGAAAGCTGAGACTTTCAAAGCTGCCTGGATGCCCAGTTCCAGAGCTGCTTTTCGGCAGCTTTGGAAGATCTCAGCCAAAGTGTAGAGGAATGTCGTTTCCATTTGAATTTGCAAGGGGGATTTCTGTAGGAGGGATGTAATTGTCAGAGTTAATTGGCCAGGGCAACAAGGTTAATACCCCTAGACTGACATAAAGTGCCATGGGACCTTTAATTATCAAGCCGTCAGGGTCTGGTTTTACATCCCATCTGAAAGACAGCAGCCCCTTTAACATCTAGTAACAGTTTGCAAGCCTGAGAGGCAGATTTCACCAGAAAAAGTAGCAAATTATTCATTAAGGGCTTGATCCAGAGCCCACTGAAATTATTGGAAAGACTCCCATTGACTTCAGTGGGCTGTGGATCAGGGATCCACTGAGAGAGAAATGGTATCTTGAATGACTGGCTGGGATCTAACCCTGATTTCTGTTGCAGGGACGAAATCTATTGTCAAATCTGCAAACAGCTCACCCAGAACCCTTCCAAAAGCAGCCATGCCAGAGGCTGGATCCTGATGTCGCTGTGCGTGGGATGCTTTGCTCCTTCTGAAAAGTTTGTGAAGGTGAAGAGCGAATGTTATTTATCATTTGCCTGGCATATCTATTTATACATTTCGTTTCGCAATGCTGGAGCCAACTCTTCTCTTTGGTTTCTCTGCTTGTTGACTGTGTCGTGACTCCCTTTCCACACAGGGTCTGATTTTACAGGAAAGCTCTATTGTAATAAAAGCCCCAGTTCAGCTAAGGACTTAAGCATGAGCTTTAGCCCCATCGAAGTTAAAGTTTAGCAACTGCTTAAATCGTTTCCTGAAATGGGGCCCAAAAGGCTATTCTTCTACCCAAATCATTGAATTATAAAGAAGAATAAATTATTAGGAAATTGTTTTTAATTGAAACCAAATCTCAGATCTCAAGGCCGTGCAGAAATTTGAATCCAGATCTGCAGCCAAACTTCACAGCTGACTTGTATTTCTACAATAGGCTAATCTAAGCACACCTGCAAATTCGGGATGCTCAGATCCCAGTTTTGCAGCCTGGCCCTCTCTTGTCCTACATATAATAGCCAAGAATAATTAACAGTCCTATAGGAAGCTGCCATCCCTAGCTACAGACTAGGGACCGAATGGCTAGGCAGCAGTTCTGCGGAAAAGGACCTAGGGGTGACAGTGGACGAGAAGCTGGATATGAGTCAGCAGTGTGCCCTTGTTGCCAAGAAGGCCAATGGCATTTTGGGATGTATAAGTAGGGGCATAGCGAGCAGATCGAGGGACGTGATCGTTCCCCTCTATTCAACATTGGTGAGGCCTCATCTGGAGTACTGTGTCCAGTTTTGGGCCCCACACTTCAAGAAGGATGTGGATAAATTGGAGAGAGTCCAGCGAAGGGCAACAAAAATGATTAGGGGTCTGGAACACATGAGTTATGAGGAGAGGCTGAGGGAGCTGGGATTGTTTAGCCTGCAGAAGAGAAGAATGAGGGGGGATTTGATAGCTGTTTTCAACTACCTGAAAGGGGGTTCCAAAGAGGATGGCTCTAGACTGTTCTCAATGGTAGCAGATGACAGAACGAGGAGTAATGGTCTCAAGCTGCAGTGGGGGAGGTTTAGATTGGATATTAGGAAAAACTTTTTCACTATGAGGGTGGTGAAACACTGGAATGCGTTACCTAGGGAGGTGGTAGAATCTCCTTCCTTAGAGGTTTTTAAGGTCAGGCTTGACAAAGCCCTGGCTGGGATGATTTAACTGGGAATTGGTCCTGCTTTGAGCAGGGGGTTGGACTAGATGACCTTCTGGGGTCCCTTCCAACCCTTATATTCTATGATTCTATGATTCTATGAAGGCTGGTAACACAGAAGAGGGCTCAGAGAAAGCAGCTGCAGTTTATGTATGTGAGAAAGCAGGGACTTCTGGGGCCACATTTTCAAATGCATGCGTCTGAGTTGCTTCTGCAAAGAATATGCAAACACCTATGGGAGGCCAAACATCCATATTCTTGCACAAGTGGGATCTGCACATCCAGGCAGCATGTTTATGCCTGCAGTTACCCCATAGGAATATACAAAGGATAATTTGTATATGCAGATGGGGTTTTTGAACACTAAGTTGATGCCTCTGCTACGCTGGTAAATGTGTCTATCAGTGGTATTACAAGGTGAGCTCAATTTTGCTGAAATAAAAAAAATCAGCATAGAAAATTTCAGGCCAAGCAGTTAAAATTTTATTTATATATATATATATATACACACACACACACACACACACATATATATATATGTAATGTGTGTGTGTGTCTGTTTTAAATTAACCCCAAATCTATGAGTGTATTTTGTTCGGTTGCTCTACCCCCCTGTATCCTACTTCCTCATGTATCCAGATGGAAGCCAAGACCTCTAGATGAGCAACCTTATCTCCCAAAGTACTGGGCATCCAGCAGCTCCCACTGAAGTCACTGGGAGCTGCTAAGTGCTCATCACTCTTGCAAATCAGGCCACTTCTTTGGATCCCATTTTTAAAAACAATTTTGGCCTAAATCCATATTTAGGTCCCTAGATAAAAGTAGCCTGACTTTGAGAGGTGCTGAGCACCCAGAATCATGGTGACTTCAATGGGGCTACTCAGGCTTACGTTTAAGCATGGGCTTAAGGGCTTTGCTGGGCTGAGTACTTAGCACGTTGCAGGACTAGGCCCTCAGTCCTTGCTCAGGCAAGACTCCTATTGCCACCATGAGAGCTTTGCCCAAGGAAGAACTTCAGAACCTGTAGCCTGATCCCAAACCCAGTGAAGTTCAGTTGGAGCATTTCCACTGACTTCAGTGTAGTCTGGATCAGGACCTTGGTCCTTAGAGCTGAATCCAGGAGCCAAATTCATCAATAGAGTTCTTTGTGTCAGCCACAAGCCCTTCCTGTAGGGAAACGGATAAGGCAGATAAATCGTGTGTGAAACAGCGGAAGATTCCATTATGCCCAGAAATGAGACCCAGTAAATCATGTCACTAGAGATGACCCATGGAGTGTTTTAGTCTGTGTTTAAATCTCTGATAAAGGAGGACTTATTTGGGGAGAGTGCAGCACATCTAGAAACAAGTTGTTAATAGTCTTCAAAATATACCCTTTGGCTGGAACCCTGGCCCCACTGAAGCTAGCGGCCAAATTCCCATTGACTCCCGTGGAGCCAGGATTTTACTCTCTGTAATCTTGGGCTTTTGCATTCTGGACTCTCGGTGACTCCCTCTGAGGTTACTGTTAAAGGCCCCGATCCTGCAAGGAGCTGCAGGCAAATCACTGGGGTCTCCTGTACAGATGCCATTACAGAATCAGGACTTAAAATGTCAAGAACTCTCTTTTTTAAAAGTATTGTAGCTGTTAAATGCTGGCCGTGTGCACTGCTGGCAGAACTCATCTGAGGGGATATGAACTATATTTTCTCTCTCCTTCTGTCTCCTTTTGTACTATTTGATGGCAAAAATATTTGTAGATTTTTTTTTTTTGGACTCTGGTGAATACTTCTGTTTTGAAAGTACATTTATCAGGAGCACTTATTCTGATTTATTTCAGAGTTAGCAGAAAAATTCTGCATCAGCCCCAGACTTTACCTACCAATTCCAAAGCTGTTAGTTTTGTGGGTGTGGATTTTAGAGGTGATGCCGAAATCAGGTTTACCATGCAAACTCTGTTGCAACTATTACCACGGAGTGCCTAGCTGTTTATCTAAGTTATTTATAGAACGTCTAAGTTATGATTTATAGATCTAGCAAAGTGATTTATAGAGCCTCCCAGTTATGATTTATAGAGCTGTCTGTCTAAGTTATTTATAAAGTATTTTCTGTCTGTCATTCTGGGGAGGCTGCTGGGTTTAATTTTTTTCTGCACGAATGTGGTTGCATTTTTAATACATGGGTCAAGTACAGAGTCCTGGATAGGACCTCTTTAAAATGTATATTTTTAAAAATCTAAGCAAGTAAATACCTATCTAATGTATTAATGACGTATCAAAATGTTCTCTGTGTGTGACACAGGGTATGTCTACACTATAGTGGGAGGTGTAATTCCCAATTCGAGGAGACATATCCATGCAAGTTCTGATCAAGCTGGCATGCTAAAAACAGAAGTGGAGCCCCAGCAGCATGAGCAGCAGGATGGGCTAGCTGCCCATGCTCATGTGTAGCATTTCAGCTGTGATCTAGCAAGTGGCTATCTCACAGTGCAGCAGCGATATTTCTATTTTTAGCTTGCTAGCTTAATTGGAGCTAGTGCTGGTTTGTCTTCTTGAGCTGGAAATTACACCTCCGGCTTGTAGACATACCCATTGAGTCAGAGAATTTAAGGTCAGAAGGGTCCACCAGATCATCTGTTCTGACTGGCACGTCACAGGCCACTAAACTTCGCCCAGTTACCCCTGCAACAAGCCCATTAACCTGGATTAGACTAAAGTGTTACAGCCCTCAGGAGACCAAACTATTGTGTGCCACATTCGGATAATAGGTGGGACCAAGCTACACCAATGCGCAAGGCCCCTGCAATGGCAGGGAATTGATTTGGTGTGTGCATTTGGTTAAATTCAGTGTTTATCTCCCCACTGCTCATTACTTACAGGTCTATTTGATTTATTCCCCCCTTCTGACCAACGCTGCAATAACATTTTGGATGGACAGTCTTTAGAATGGAGCCATGGACCTGTGTTCAAGCCAACAGCAGCCGTCAGTCGTCTAACCAATACATTCTCTCTTGCCAACAGTATTTAAGGAACTTCATCAATGGAGGTCCTCCTGGTTACGCTCCCTATTGTGAAGAGAGATTGAGGAGGACATTTGCAAATGGGACTAGGACACAGCCGCCCAGCTGGTTAGAATTACAGGTCTGAATCCCCTAGAGCAAATAGAGTGTGTCAAAAAGGTTTTATTGAAATGTTGTTGAAAGTGACTTTTGACTGAACAGAAATTTGCTTTAGAAAATGTCCATTTCTGTCTGAATTTTTCAGATTTTTGTAGGAAAATTTTCTTCTGTCCGTGACGACTGAAAATGGGAATGAACAATATTTTCAGTTTTTAGTAAACCAAAAAGTTTGGTTTTCAGGTTTTCATTTCTTTCAGCCAAAACCTGACAAATTCAGTGGAAGTGTTTTTCTTTGAACAAAGTTTCTTTCCAGCTCTAATAGTGAATGCCGTTCCATTTAGAGGTATAAACATTTTCTCACAGTCCCTTAATAGGATGTTGTCTCTCTTATTCTGAGGATTAGCAGTTCAGAAGCAGAAACTATGTCTTCCTTGTGGAGAACAATGATTATGACTGACTTGCATTATCGTCAATCCACTTGTTACTGTTCCTCTTGTCTGCACTCTTCTCCATCTTCTTGTATTTTGAAGGTGGTACAGAACTGCGTTCCACGTAGTTTGAGGCAGTGGGTATTATCCAAGTCTCTACACAGATTTAAAGGTTACACATGCTTCCAGGATTCAATCCACTGTCCATTGAAGAGAATCAAAAATTACCATTGACAATTAACTGTATTAATTAAAAAATTTGGGAGTTGCAGCTGCTCCCCATTACTCAAATTGTGACTCTACATTATGCTGTGGAGAAGTATATTGCAGCCATATTACAAATGTAGCCATAAGTACTAGAGCAAAGGATCCAGAAAAGGCACTGTGACCGTTGGGAGATAACTTGTAAATGGGCAAATAAATCAAGCTTGTATGCCTTTAAAAAGTTTGACTCTAATCTCCTAGGCGACCAAGTCCAAGAAACCTATCATGCTGCCTGTTACGTTTATGGATGGGACAACGAAGACGCTGCTAACTGACTCTGCAACGACCGCTAAAGAGCTCTGTAATTCCTTAGCTGACAAGATCAGCCTGAAGGACCGATTTGGGTTTTCGCTTTACATCGCACTGTTTGACAAGGTACGTACTGGCCTAGATGCCTCAGAGAAGGAGAAGGTGGCTCTTTTCTGATATAGAAAATATGTATCTTCAGGGTGGCAGTTCTGTCATGTGATGAGAGTGGGGAACTGAGCACTAAGTCATTGTGTCAGTAATGAACTTTTGGAGGCTACCGGTAGATATGACTCCCTAAGAATAAAGGTCAGAGTCAATGAGAAGGCAAAATAGCCTGAAAGTAAAATTTCATCCAGTCAGCCAGACAGCCTGCCTGTGTAACTCCATCTACTCCTAATAAACTGTCATGGCCCTGTACCAGATATGGACTGGCTACAGAGCTTGCTTCTGAGCAAGATACACACCAAATGTGTTCATCATTAATGCACTGCCAGGTAGCTTAAATAAGGTATTTTTACACGCACCGCCACCTAGTGGTTGAACCATACAATACAGTTTAGCATTCCATTACATAAACCTTGAAGTCTGGACAGAGCTGTGTCGTCCTTGGAAATCCTCTGGTCTGTTTCGAAAGCCTACGGCAGGTCCGTGTACCCATGTAATGTCTGGAGAGAGACATTGCTCTGAGTCTGGCTTTCAATCAAATGTTCCGAGCACAGGCATGGAACCTGCACAATCAAGAATAGCATCATACACGCAAACCATGGGCTAGATTGGGCCTTTCAGACACAGGTCCGGTGGGCAGCACAGTGCGAGCTGGCTAGCCTTAGAGAGCTCCCGGAAGCATTGTGCTCAGGGAGACAGAATCAGTCCCACAGTTCCTGGACAGCAGAAGGTCTGTGGCATCCCATAGGAGGGTGCAGCATGTTCTCCACTCCATGGCTGCCCATCTCTGCTGGCTGGTAGAGAGGGGACTGGGTTTTGCACACACCCCTCCTTGTCCTTTTAGGAGAAGCTGGTGCTGTTGTGGGCTTTCACTCTGAGGAGTTCTTGCAGTTGTGATTGGCCCCTGCACAGGGGCATGGTAGGAGGGTGATGGGGGCATCCTTTTGCTCTGTGTTTGTACAGCACCTATCACAGTGGGGGCCTGACCCATGACTAGGGCTCTTAGGTGCTATGGTTATACAAATAATACATAATAATAAAGGCTCCTTGCTCCCCTTGTGGAGTATAATCTCGTCCTACTAAATCACGATGGGTCTCTCCTTTCACACGGAGTGTGGCAACTGCTGCTAAAAATATGGTGACCCAGCATGTACCTTCGCTGTCCCCCTCCTGCCCTGGCCAGGTCTCATCCTTGGGGAGCGGCAACGACCACGTGATGGATGCTGTGTCTCAGTGTGAACAGTATGCCAAAGAGCAGGGAGCCCAGGAGCGCAACGCGCCGTGGCGACTCTTCTTCAGGAAGGAGATCTTCACCCCTTGGCACAATCCAAGTGAAGACAACGTGGCAACCAACCTCATTTACCAGCAGATAGTCCGGGGGGTGAAGTTTGGGGAGTACCGATGTGACAAGGTGAGTCCTCAACAATGGCAGACCTTGGCCTCCTGGCTTGGGAAATTGGGCACGTGAATATTCTGTTCTCATTTAGGTAGGTAGGATCCAGAATCCTTAAAATGAATGCTGTTCTTGCTGTCTGTCTCTCTACTAATAAGGGACCCAACACCATGAACTTCCTACATTAAGAGCCAAATTTCTCCCCCGGAGAAACTCACAGACAACTCTCACCGAAGTCAAAGGAGCCAACTTACAAACAGCGAAAATCAATGGGAGGTGCCCCTGAGTATCTGAAATCGGTGGGAGCTGCACATAAGCATCCCAAGGCAAAGTCTGGCCCCTTGGCTTCAGTGACTAGTGATTCTGACTACCTCAGTGTTTGGGTTCCCAACCTGAGAGACCTTAAAGAGGACTGATTTTTAGAGAGCCAGGTGCTCAGCACTTCTGAAAATCAAGCCCCTTCAAGGTATGTCTAATTAAGCACCCCAAAATTGTGGAACCCAAAAGTACTTGTTACTTTGAAAATGTAGGCCCTAATCTTCAAACGGAGTAGGGACCTAAATACCACTGAGAATCTGGGAAGGATCTGGGACTGGGTGTTTTGTCCTCCTTGTTTTTAAAGTATCCATGGACTTCATCCAACATATCTATCTTCTGTTCTGTCTGCTTCTAACCCTTCTTCTCCTGAGCTCCACATGAGATTTCTACTGTGTGTCTATAAAGTGCCCAATCACCATGATATCTAGATTACCTTCTTGTATCTCTGCCTCATTGACTCGCCATCTCAAATCTTATCTGTAGTCCTATCCTTTGTCCTTTGCCTATATCTCTCACTCCCAGTCTCCACTTCTGTAGCTATATCATGTCTCTATAAAATACTTTGGGATACAGTTGATATGAAAGACATAGTACAAAATAAAGGTGTATTGCATTCAGGTATCTGTTCTTCAGCAATTTGCCTGATTTATGAAGAGAGAGGTGGATTTGCTCCGTAAGTGCAAGAGATGTGCTGAGGCGCAATTGATTTATACTCACTAAGCCTTGTCTACACTAATAGAATTACCAGTTGCTGACTACAGGTATCAGAAAAGGGTGTCATTGAACCAGTGCTGAACAGGATTGAACTGCAAGTGTAGACAAGGACAGAGTTGTTCACGGTGCTCAAACCTGCTCAGGTTTTAACCAGAGTTCCTGGCGCTCTGCTGAACTCAGTTTGCTCTCAGCTAGACTTGTGCCGATCCAATGTTCAGTATTGGTTCGGTTGTAAACCTTGCTGACACCAGTTGCCAGCAACTGGTCGCTTTGCCAGCTTAGACATGGCTCTGGAGCAAACATGGCCATAGCATCCAATGAGATGTTATCTGCATTCAGGTGACACCTCTGGTGTGAGAGGTAATTTCGTGCATCTCAGTGCTCAACAATGGATGCTGAACCTGCTTAATCAAAAAGAGATGATGCCATCAGTTGAACTAAAGTACTAGAGCCTTTGGTAAGCAACATTCAGAGAGGAATTTTCTCTACTCTTCTGTTATCCATTGATCTGCAGTTCATGTAACAGTTGCAGTGATCACTGCTAAGCACATGAGACCCAGTCTTTCTCCCACTTGAATGCAGGTGGGATCCATAGAAAGGGGAGGTAGTTAAGGAAGTATTTGTGTGATGTTTTATTCATTGAGGAGTTAGTCACTTAGGGCACATCTTCACTGGCTCTCCCAGCACTCCAAAAACCCCCCACCTTTTTTCACCCCCGAGCGAGAAAGTTGCAGCGCTGTAAAGTGCGAGTGTTTAGAGCCTGGTCTAAAGCCCAGTGAAATCCCTTTGAAATTCAGTCAGTCTGTGTCAGCAAAGGGTTAATTGAGCTCCAGGAGAAGGGAGGTTAAAGTGACTCCCTCCTTGTAGTTTCTTTCCTTGTTGGTTCCTACAGGAAGAAGACTTGGCAGAACTGGCTTCCCAGCAGTACTATGTAGACTATGGGGCGGCGATGGTGCTGGAGCGACTCCTGAACTTAATCCCCTCCTACATCCCTGACAGAGAGATCACTGCTTCGAAAACCGTGGAAAAATGGGCTCAGCTCATTATAGCTGCACATAAAAAGGTAGGTGTTGGCCAGAGGGTGAGCTCCAGCAAGGCTCTGTGCATGTTAAACAGCCAGCAAGTTTGGCTGCATCAGCCTATGGGGTTTGCATATCAGCCTATCAGCCTGAGACAGAAATGGATTTTTCCCCCAGGGATCAATTTAGAGCCAGGGGCAAAAACCAGAGTGTGTAGCCATTCTTGATGCCGGTTGGGTCACAAATGAAGGAGAGAGACACTTCAGTGGTTTGGTTTTGCACTGGGTTTTGAAGCAGGAACTGAATGGCAGGAAGACTGAATGGCAGGAAGATATCACAGAGGGCCTTATTTTTAAGGTTAAGACTGTATCACTGGGGATTTCCACTTAAATCATGGGATTCTTATATGGTGGTGTTATGGCTGTGTCTACAGGCACCGGTCAGGATAGAGGTCCCAATGTTCAGGGCACTGTACAAACACACTGGCCACCTTAACACCCAGTGACGTTCTGAATGGAGCCTGGTCCAAGGGTGAGGAGATAGCTCAGTGGTTTGAGCATTGGCCTGCTAAGCCCAGGGTTGTGAGTTCAATCCTTGAGGGGGCCATTTAGGGATCTGGGACTAAAATTAGGGATTGGTCCTGCTTTGAGCAGGGGGTTGGACTAGATGACCTCCTGAGGTCCCTTCCAACCCTGATATTCTATGATTCTATGAAGTCCTACACAGCCTGGCTAGGTGTTTCCTCAGAGGTCCATTCCTGATGGATTTCTAGCTTTGGAGGAGGGCAGGGCAGAGCAGAGACTCCATTCATGACAACAGGTTTTGAGATAAAACACTATGGGCCTGATTCTCCTCTCACTTCTTACACCAGTGTGAGACTTGTGAAACTTCCTGGACTTCAGTAGAACTGCTCCTGATTTATACTCCTGGAGAATCAGGCACCAGGACTCCCATGGCTTTGTCTCCACCACTGGGTATTGTTCATCTAAGTACAAGGGCTGAAAGGTCCTATTGGATCATCTAGACCTTCCCCTGTCCCTTCCAGTGCAGGACCATTCCCTACAGTGTATTCTCCATACCTTTGTCCTGTCCAGTCCTTTAATAACTCAAGTACTGGGGCTTCCACTACTTTTCCTGTGAGTTTTTTAAGCCGTTGGTCTCATCCTGATACTGTCGGAGGTCTCGTGACTTCAAGATCTTCAGCTGGTGTAAACTGATGTAGCCCCATTGATTTGTTTTTAATTAGACCTCTTCCTGGCTTTTACCTGGGTATTGTTGATTTGTTTTTTCATGCTGGTTTTGGTTTGGTTTGCCTGTAGGGAATTTATACCCAGAAGAGAGCAGACCCCAAAAAAGTCAAGGAAGAAGTGGTGGATTTTGCACGTTTCAAGTGGCCTTTGCTATTTTCTAGATTTTATGAAGCCTTCAAATTCTCAGGTAACCCAGCAGTGAATGTGTTGCCATAAGATGAGCATCCATGAAATAAAAGAGAATTATATATGCTAGAGATGAACAAGACCTACTGGGTGATCTGGTCCATCCTCCTGAAGGCATAGGATTGCCTTGTATAGCACTTAGTGCAACCTGGCTATAAATGTCTCAAGCTATGATGCTTTTACCACATTCCCCTAATGAGCAAGGCGGGGACTTTCTGGCCTTTACAACTTGATTTGAGAGCTAAAAGTCTGTCCAATTTGTAAACCATTTTTAACCAGCATTTTATCGTTTACAGTCAGATAGTTGCCTGCACATTTATCTATTGTGCATATTGTCTTCAACCCAGGGCCCAGCCTGCCCAAGAACGATGTGATTGTAGCTGTGAATTGGACCGGAGTGTACTTTGTGGATGAACAAGAACAAGTCCTCTTAGAACTCTCCTTCCCAGAGATCACAGCTGTCTCAAGCAGTAGGTAAGGAAGAACAGAATGAGTCAGTTCGTCCTTGTGTTGAGGTAACGATGTGTTAAAACAGTTGTTAAAAATGGTGTGTTGAATTCCTTGGCTTTAAAGGACTTAGGCTATGGCTACACTACAGAACTGATAGAGGCTCTAAGCTGATGGGAAAGAGCTCTCCCATTGACTTAATTCCTCCGGCCCCTGCACGCAGCGATGGCTAGGTCAGCAGGAGAGCTTCTCCCACTGACCGCGCCATCCACACTGTTGCTGAGGTCGGTGTAACTTACGTCACTCGGGGGGTGGCTTATTCACACCCCTGAGTGACATCACTTATACGGATATAAGGTGTAGTGTGTGCATAGCTTTAGCACGGAGCTGCACTGTAGGAAGCTTAGGCCAGGTCAGGGTGGAGGGAGACATCAAAGCAGCATCTGGTGACTTAGCTACTGTCTCCTCTGCTGAAACAGGGTGCTATTTGGCGGATTCCGCCACACTTGCCCTTTTGGCCGAGTGTTCAGGAACATTCATTCCAGTTGGAGTCCTGCAGCTACATCTCTCACATCCCATGCACTCTGCCAAAACTGACCTGTGTGGCTTAAAGTTAGATGTCTAAATCCATATTTAGGCATATTTTGACTCAGGGGAAGTTACAAATGCCCAGCACATTTGGCTCTTAAGCCTCCTTTATTTAGATGTCTGACATAGGCAACCCTAGTTTGACAGTATTGGTCTCAATCTTTATTAACCAGCATGGTGATTTCCCTACTAGCAGTTAAAAGAAAGGACACTAAAAGCATGTGATGTTTTCCACAAGGCAATACTTGGAAGCATCTTCTTGCAATTAATCAAGCAGGAGCAGCTTCCTCTTGTCCAAGGGTCGAATTTGCTGTGTTGTGTTAAGGGGCTTATGGGCTTGTCTGAGGCTTCTCCTGAGCACTGTATACATGTGAAATATTCAACATAGAGTCAGAACAGACTGCAGACATAAAGCATGTCTTGGAAGCACATGAAGAGAACTACATTCCTGCTGAACCTAAATTGAACCTCAAGGCCATTTCTGAAATGAAGCAGAGACCAGGGTACTTTGGCAGTTCTTTAGATCTATTCTCCTCTGCACCTTGCTCTGTACGTTACAGAAAACTTCTATGATACTCTTGCTAGACTGATTTCTGGTAGGCACAGGCATGTTCTGATTTCTATTATAGGGAGGAGTCAAGGATAAATTTGTCTTATTTACAAACCGAATTAATTCCGCCACACAGTGGTACCTCCCCATAACTTTGAATTTATTATTATTTGTATGGGCCGAGGACCCTTAGTCCTGAAACAGGACCCCATTGTGCTAGGCGCTGTACAGAGACAAAAAAAGACAGACCCTGCTCCAAAGAGCTTAACTGTCAGATTAGAGCTCCTGCTATAGATTTGCTCTGCTCTTTCCCCCATTCCCAATCAGCATTCTTCTTCTTCTTCACCACACAACACAAAAGTGACCAGGCACCAAACCCAGAAAATGAAAATGACCTCTGGTGTTTGTTATGCAGGAGGTCCGGCTAAATGACTGTAATGCTCCCTTGTGGCCTGGGAATCTGTGAGCCAATTTCGCCTTCACGCTAGGACCAAATTTTAAAAACTCTCCACCTGAGTTGTGCCAGCAAAATGGGTGTGCGTGTACCTGTGTGTGTGCCTGGATCCCAGATGTGCACTTGCCCAGCAGTGTTTGTATATAGAGGGAAGCCCATTTTGACAGTGCTCCATGCATGTTTGTCCTCACGGGTGGCAGTGCGTGTTTACAACAGGCGCACGTGCACATTTTGCAGGAACGATGGAGGTGGCCAGTCGTGAACCTTTTCCCCCAGATCTCGGGGTGACACTGGCTTAATGAATGTGTTTCCTATGATCCCTGTTCTAGAGGGGGAAAGCTCCAAGGACAGAGTTTCACCTTGGCCACCATTAAAGGGGACGAATACACCTTCACCTCCAACAATGCAGAGGACATCCGGGACCTTGTTGTCACCTTCCTAGAAGGACTAAGGAAAAGATCAAAGTATGTTGTCACTCTCCAAGACAACCCAAACCCTGGTGAGTAAACTGATCAACCCCAAGGCAAAGAAATTCTCTGGCTTTAGGGCAGGCAATCGTTCGTATGTCACTCTGGAAAGGCTGCCTGCTTCTCCTGCAAGAGGAGCACTCATGTATAAAAGGTTTTGTTTAATCACGATTGGATGTCTCTTTCAAAAATATATCCTCTATCTCAACCAGAAGATATGGGCTTGCTGCAGGGATTACTGGGTGAAATTCTCTGGTCTGTGTTCTGCAGGGGTTGAGATTAGATGACCACAGTGGTCTCTTCTGACCTTGAAATCAGTGTGTAAGACCTTTGGTTAGAGTGGGATTTTCAAAAGTGCCTGAGGGAGTTGAGCATCCAATTTCTATTGAAAGCCAATGGGATTTGGAAGCCTAACTCTCCTCGTTCCCTTTGAAAATGCCAGCCCAAGCACCTCTGTAAGTGGTATTTGTTCACTATACACATTTAGCAATCACCTGTTTTATAGGATCTGATTTCCCAGGGTTAGGTGTGTTAGGCAGGCATGTAGACAAGCTAATTACTCCAAAGGATGTTTGGAAATAACAGCAGCCACTTCTGCTGCAGTGGGAGAAGAATCTGGATTCCTCAGCTTCCTTAAAGGAGACCTGATTGTTATGGACCAGGACACTGGAGAGCATGTCATGAACTCGGGCTGGGCCAATGGGGTCAATGAAAGGACCAAACAGAGAGGAGATTTCCCAACAGACTGTGTTTACGTCTTGCCGACTGTCACCATGCCACCTCTGGAGATTGTGGTAAGATACCCTAAGGGGTGGTGCATCTTGGCAGGTCCCTGATACAAAAGCCATTGAAGTCAAAGGGAGTTGTTCCATTGTCTTCAAAGATTAGATCAGGCCCGTAATCTCCCTGATGATGATGTGGTGGAAGCAAGAAATGACTAAGAGGGTAAACAAGTCATCGGGTCAGAGGGGAACCAGATTTCATCTGCCTGGACAACCTATTAGCCTTTCCACTGGGCTTGCTAGTTTGAAAACCACCCACTTTGGACCTAGAATATGGCTGAATCTTCTTAGATGTCACTGCGGCTTGAATTTGAAGATGATATTTGGGCAGGGGAGATGTGTCTATGCAGCTATGAATGAGAGGGGAAGTGGGTCCATAAGATACTTTCTGTCTTAGGATGTGATCCACACTGTAGAAACTTTTGAGATCCCCTGTGTTAATTACTAAGAAATGCACGAGACTGCATAGTTCCACTAAGATTGAGCGTTGTTGCTGTTTATTAGTTTGAAGTTAAGAGTTTGGTGTTTTTTCATTACAGCATGATTTTCTTTCATCTTCAGTCTTTTCATTTTTCATCTGCTTTCCCTCTCTGGACACACAAAGATTCTTTCATCTAAAATACATTGACTAACCATGACTCCTGTATTCTCTAGGCGTTAGTCACGATGACCCCTGACCAGAGGCAAGATGTTATCAGAATGTCCCAGCTGGCGATTTCGGACAGTGAAGAAAGAGTGAAGCCGTACACCTTGGAAGAGTTCTCCTATGATTATTTTAGGTGAAGCTTTAAAAAAAAAAAACCTTTTCAGCCTACATAAGGGACTTGAGTTCATTCCTCAGGCAGAGCCGAATCAATGGCTGCATTTCAGGATTATTGGAAGAAATCTTTAGATTTCAGCTTGTCTGGCCCATTATGACTACAGCTGTGATTTAGGATGTTGTGTTCTGCATGTAAGCTGGCAGAACATCGGAAGTCTGATCATTACATGAAATTTTATGTCCAGTGTTATTCAGGAGGTCCGACTAACTTATGGTCCCTTCTGGCCTTGCAGCCTCTGAATCATATGTAGAACATTACACAGGATCATGGAAATGTAGGGCTGGAAAGGACCTCAAGAAGTCATCAGGTCCAGTCCTCTGCACTGAGGCAGGACCAACTAAACCTTAAACTATCCCTGACAGGTGTTTGTCCAACCTGTTCTTTAAAAAACGTTAGTCTCTTCTGGTATGGCAAATCCTGTGTGTTAACTCCAGATAAACTAGAGCCTGGCACCGGTTCTAGGCAACTAGAGGGCTTGCCCAGTGATCACTGAAGGCAACAGAGAGACTCCTATTGACCTCAATGGGAGTTGGATTGGACCCTATAAGAGCGCCCTAATGCAGAACTGGGGGCCTTACATTTGGCCCCCAAATTCAGAAGCTGGGCTCCATAGAGCCATCTCATCCCTCGTAATCTCTCCATGATTCCTCATTGCTTTGTTTTTGCTGCTAGGCCGCCTCCGAAGCACACTCTGAGCCGGGTCATGATCACCAAAAATCGAGGAAAAGACAAACTGTGGTGCTACACCCGAGAGCCCATCAAGCAGCCCTTGCTGAAGAAGATCCTGGGCAGTGAGGAGCTGTCCCAGGAAGCCTGCATGGCGTTCATTGATATCCTTCCAGTGCTGTGGAAAGGTTGCCCACAATAGATCAAACTGACACAGGGGCACGGCCCAAGGAGTCACATTATGGGGTAATCCAAAGCCCACTGAAGTCAGTAAAAGACTAACATTGACTTCAATGGGCTTTGGGTCAGGCACCATGAGTAAGGCTATGATTATGTCACGGAGGTCAGGAAATCCGTGACTTCCAGAGACCTCCATGACATTTTCTGTCCTGGGGCTGGAGCTATCAGCAGGCAGCCCACAACTCAGAGTCACTGCTACCATCAGGCCCCACAGCAACTCCTAGCCTCCAGGCAACTGGGGTCCCCCGGAGCTCCCAGCCCCTGTTGGTGGTGGCGGTCCCCTGGAGCTCTCAGCTGCTGAGGGCGGCAGGGGGACCCCGGAGCTCCCACTTGCTGCCGGTGACAGGGCTCCCCACAGCTGCCCACCCACAGTGGATGCAGCGGGTGGCAAGGGGACCCCAGAGCTCCCAGCTGCTGTGGTGGGGCGGAGCAAGGGGACCCCAGAGCCCCAGCAGCAGTGGGTGCTGAACCCTCCTCCCTTCCCATTTGGTCAGGGATATTTTTAGTAAAAATCACAGACAGATCACGGGCAATAAACTAAAATTCACGGACACCCGTGCCCTGTCTGTGATTTTTACTAAAAATATTCCTGATGAAATCTGAGCCTTAACCATGGGACTCCATACAAATGCTAATGATGAGAGATGGGTCTGAACCAAACTCCTGGACCCAAACAGCCCTGACCTCTGAGGGCCGGTCAAAATGCATACATAGACCCAGATGCAGATTATGCAGATGACCTGCATCTTTATAAGCTGGATGCACCAAACTTGGATTCAAGCATTATGGGGTAGTTAAAGCTCATATCCTAAAATTGCAGTGTGAGCCATTCCTTAATAATAATAAGCGGAAAATTTGGTCCAAAATGGGAGGAAATTTTTCGATGAAGTTTTCATAATTTTTTTTCCTGTTTTTTTTCCCCCAACCAAAATTAAATTCAGAAAATTCATTTCAAACACACTGTACTAAACAATAATAGTTACAATAGAACTAACAGGATGGGCCAGACCCCTTAACTGGTGTAAATGTGTGTAGCTCCATTGACTTCAACAGAGCTATGCCAGCATACACCATCTGAAGATCTGGCCATTAATAATAATAATTCCATGGCACTTACATGGTCAGAAGAAAGGGTCGCACTCATTCTGGGCCTATGTGTCCCCCCCAGCCAAGACTCTCCACCCTAAGAAAGCAAGATGACACATAAGGGTCTATGATTATGGGTGCCATCCAGAAGGATCCCAAAGCACATTTGAAGATTAACTATATACCTACCACCAAAATGCAGCCACCTCTGGAGTGATGCATAGCAACTCTTTAATTGGGTCGTTATCAGAAGCAATTCCCTAAGCCTCCTTGTTGCTGTATCCTTGACTGCAGCCGTGTACCTGTGCTGAAGTATATGGGTGACTATCCATCCAAAAGAACCCGCTCAGTCAATGAGCTAACAGACCAAATATTTGAAGGTGCCTTGAAAGCTGAACCATTGAAAGATGAAATCTATTGTCAGATCCTCAAGCAGCTCACTGACAACCACATCAAGTAAGAGTCATTCTTCCCCATGTATCCCGCTCTAACTATCTGTGTCGGGTAATGCAGGACTGACGGGGGGGTTCTGCAGAATGGGTAGGCCCAGAAGTCTTCCGTTCTCTCTGTCGTCTTTAAAGACTTTTATCATCACTTTATCTACCATCTCTGTGCTGATGACTCCAATCTGTCTGTCTGCTCTGGACTTGTTTCTGTTCCTCTGCTTCTGCATTTCCCTCTGGTTCTATGACATCTCCTCCAGGGCAGACGTCTTGCCATAAATTTAAGTTTAACAGGATCTACATTTCCACCTATTCTCCGTTGCTACTGACCCTACACCATCCTCCCAGTCACTCAGGCCTATACTCTGATGTGATCTTTGACTCCTCCCTCTTCCTCTCCCCAGAAATCCAGCCCAGGTGCTTATGTGGCAGCTTCTTCCTCCACAGCAGTTCCATGGTCCATTCTCTACAGTTGTCTGGTGCTGGTGAATCTTCTCTCTACAATCTCTGCCCTCTGATGTATATGTAACCCCATTACTAACATTAGTGTCAGTGCGATAAGGCTTGAGATAAGCAGCTTTCAGACCCGAATTCCCGTCTGTGCTCAAGTTCCTTACCCAACTCTGACAGTGTTGAATGGGATGAAAGTGGGGTAAATGCCACTGATGGCCACTTCCATGCCCCTCTACACTGCCAGAGCAGTGTCAAGGGGGGCCTTAGTGTAACGGAGGCTCAGACCTTTCCGGTAGATAGTGTTCCTTTGGGGAGTTTGATTTTCCTGTTGTGTGTCTGTCTCTTTAAGGTACAGCGAAGAGAAGGGTTGGGAGCTGCTTTGGTTGTGCATAGGCCTTTTCCCTCCCAGCAATGTTCTCCTGCCACATGTCCAGAGGTTTCTCCAGTCCCGGAAGCATCACCCCCTAGCCACAGACTGCATTCAAAGACTGCAGAAAGCACTGAGGTATGGTACCACATTCTGCTAGATGTGATGAGCACACCTGGTAGATGTGATGGGTGTGTGTGTGTGCGTGCTATTTGTCAGCATTTGCTGGCTGAGGAAGTGGGGAAGGGTTAGAACAAAGCGTTAAGCATCTCTCTGTCTGTCTACTCCAGTGGACAGGGCTCTGAGCTGGAAGTTGGGTGCTGTGGGTTCTGTTCCTGTCTCCGCCGTGAATGGCTGTCGGACCTTGGGCAAATGCCTTTGGGGGAGACGCTCAAAGGTGCCTAACCCATCGCCTTTCTCTGCGAGTTGAAAATTTCCCCATGCATCTTTCTGCCCCTCTGTTTTCCAGCTGTGAAATGGGAATAACTCTATTTACCTTCCTTTAATAAAGCGCTATGAATAAAAAGCCAAGTAGTATTAGTCTGGCTATCCACGCATTCCTAATATACCCATCGCTGTGATATCCAGGAGCCAAATAAACACATTCTCCCCCTTCAGAGCTCTGCTTAACCCTTGCATCTAGTAAGAGGCCCATAAAATCCTCCATGGCTAGGCTGCTCTGGTGCTATGACAGCTACTTACTATAATAACCACACCTCACTGGCTGTGACCTTGAGCTCCCTCTCGCTGGTCATTGTAGCCACCTCTTGTCTCTCTTCAGACACTTAGACTATCAGCTCTTTGAGACAGGAACCATTCTTTTGTTATATATTTGTACAGCACCTAGCACAATTCAGCCCTGATCCTGCTTATGGCCTCTAGGCGCTACCACAATACAAATAATAAAATAAAGCAGGGCAGAAGAATCCTTGCCGTGACTGCTTTGTCTGCTCATATTTCCATGGGCCGTTCTGGGGGAAGGTAGATTGGATGTGAAAACTACAAGATGTATTCATTCCTGTACCTAACCAGAGCAGCACCCCTAATAAATCATAGATCTTTCAGCCCCTTCTCTGTTGTGTCCTCCTTTTGGCTGCTGGGTAGCCACGTGGGTGAGCCCTTTCCCAGCTCCTATCCTAAAACCATTTTCCATGTAAGAACTCTTTCCATTTTGTGTTGCTCAAGGGGTTTCATTAGTTATGGATGATACTATTCTGTTTTTGTCAGGTATAAAAGTATATCAGCAGCGAGTTCTCCAGTGCCATATTCACGGTAAACCTCCTGTCTTATAGGAATGGCTCCAGGAAGTATCCTCCCCATCTGGTCGAAGTGGAGGCAATTCAACACAAAACCACCCAAATTTTCCACAAAGTTTACTTTCCCGATGACACTGATGAGGTAAAAGGGAGGAAAAAAAGTCTGAATTCCTGCAGGACAGACTTACGTTTTCTCTAATTAATGCCCAACCTAGGCTAACATCAGTTCTGGCTTGGGCTAGGCTTGCGTAAGACCATGGAGTGCAATAGCGAGTCATAGATGTGGATGCTTAGCTACATGGATCAAAATCGACATGAGTTTGATTCATTGCCATTTCAATTCAGGTTTTCGAAACATAGACCCTGTTTCTCTTGTCTCTTCTGCTGGCGAAGTTAATAGAGGGACACCAGTGTCAATCTCAGAGACGGGAAGCGGGACCAAAGCCACCTCTAATTATAAAAGGAACAAACCTGATGTGTGAATGTGAAAACATGTACCCTTTCCTCATATAGGTAGGGGGTCTCCCAAATTTGCATCCGTGAAAATCGTGTCACAGACCATGAAGTTTGTTCTCCCCCATGACATCTGGTCTCCGGCAGATCTGAAGGCAGAGGGGAGAGCGGCAGCTGCTGGCCAGGCACCCAGCTCTGAAGGCAGTGCGGCTGCCAACAGCATCGGGGAAGTAAGGGTGGCATGGTATGGTATTGCCACCCTTACTTCTGTGCTGCTGCTGGCCTTCAGTGACACTGACTTCAGAACTGCTGCTCTCCTGCCGCCCAGCTTCAGGCAGCACCGCCGCCAGCAGCAGTGCAGAAGTAAAGGTGGCAATACCGGGACCCCCCCCCACAATAGGCTTGTGAGCCCCTTTTGTGTCGGCGGCCCCCAGTTTGAGACATGCTGTGGAGAAATCGCACATTTTTCGTGGATTGGTCACAGCATAAATAGCAAATTTTGTGGATGTGCAACACATCTGCAAAATCTGTTATTTATGCCGTGACCAACCTGTGAAAAATGTGTTTGATTTCTCCGCAATTTAAGTAGACCCCCTACATATAAGTGTCCATCCCATTCCTTCATGGTCTTATCTCAACTAGACTGTCAGCTCTTTGTAGCCAGCAGCATGTCTTTTATTGCCTGCTAAGCACCCTGCACGCTTATGGAGACGAATAGGAATATTTATGCATGAGCAGCTTTGTGTGTGCAGTTCCTGGCATGTGCCATTCTTGCACACTAGCACTTAGTACTGCAGGAATGCACGCACAATCTTGTTGTGTGGATTTGCACATCTAAACACTGTTGCTGGCAGGTACAAGACACAGAAGGTGACGAATGCCCAGACAAGTGAGTGCTTGTACAAAGCTGGGCATGCACAAGGGGAGATCAGGGAGTGTCCCCCTCTGACAGGGTGGCCCCATCTGTCGTAGTCTGTCATGGAGATCTTCGCAGCCACACTGAGATGTTATGTCTTTAGAATTCTTTCCATGGGCAGGTCTTCACTACAGATCTGAGATCAATCCACCGGCGGTCGATTTAGCAGGTCTAGTGAGGACCCGCCAAATCGACAGCAGATCACTTCTCCAGTCGACCCCTGTACTCTACCTCCAATGAGATGAGTAAAGTAAGTCGACAGGAGAGTTTCTCCCGTCGACCCCCCCACAGTGTAGACCCCGCCGTAACTCGACCTAAGACACGTCAACTCCAGTTACGTTATTCATGTAGCTGGAGTTGTGTAGCGTAGGTCGACTTACCGCGGTCGTGTAGACATAGCCTAAATGTGACAAGAGACAAGCCAGACAATGGTTTACAGACACATCTTGGGCAGCCCGAAGGCAGACACAGTGGGGACTTAAATGTTAGATGGGTTAGCCACCGATGCACCCATGGTGATCTGCACTCTAAAGGCTGCACAATCAGCTGGGTTATGGGCACAGCAATGGTGTGACACTCTGAATATCATCAGGTCCTGTGCTATTTAAAAGGATAGCCAGGAGCATGGAGTCGTACTACCCCCAGACAGCAAGAGGCACGTGTGCCCTTCCTGGGTAGAATGATGTCTGTAGGCCTGGGGCATCTCGAGCCTATGCATAGGCCCAGTGTAGTGTCTCTCCCTTCCTCTCATTGCACAATGAAACTGCATTTCCTCCCGCCCTGAGAACCAACGGCAGCTGAAAAAAAAAACCCCAAAGCCCTGTCCTGTGCAGATTTGGGCCCCCTTTCACTGATTTGGGGGAGGGAGGGGTCTCAGTTGTAGGGTGCCCGCATTGGACTTGATTCACAGAGCTGCAGAGCACCCACAACTCCAGCTGAAGTTATTGGGAGCTGGAAGTTGCTCGGCACCTCTGAAGGTCAAGAGCCAAAGTAGCTCAAGGGAGGCCCACAAATCACTGATCACTGGTCAAAAGTGAGCCCCGGGAATGAGTGGAAAGGTAGGAACGCCCTGAGTCTCTGAGGCCGCAGAAGCAAAAGCTGAGCACTGACAGCTGCTCAGAATAAGGAGAAGAACTGGTACCTGCTGATGAAGTAGGGAGATCTTAGGCATCGCCTTTCTCCCCTTGAACAATGGCAGTGATACGTTAGCACAGAGGTGGGCAAACTAGACCAACCTGCCTGGCCCCTGAGCTCCCGGCTGGGGACGCTAGCCCCCAACCCCTCCCCTGCTGTTCCCCCTCCCCTGCAGCCACGCCGCCGCACCCCCAGCGCTCTGGCCCGCCACTCCTGCCGGGCAGCTCGGTGGCGTGGCTGGCTCCGGCATGGTAAGGAGGCAGGGAACAGGGGTTTGGATAAGGGGCAGGAGGTGCTGGGGGGCAGTCGGGGGATGGGGAACGGGGGGGTTGGATGGGTGGGGGGCACTGAGGTGGGCAGTCAGGGGGCGGGAAGTGGGAGGGGGCGGGGGCCAGGCTGTTTGGGGAGGCACAGCCTTCCCTACCCGGCCATCCATAAATTTTCACAACCCCGATGTGGCTCTTGGGCCAAAACGTTTGCCCACCCCTGTGTTAGCATCTAGGGGGGACCAGGAAGAATGCACAGAGAAGCAATGGTGTAACTCAGCAGGACAGCTCTGCCTCTGTGCAAAGAGCACCTCTAAGTTCCCCGCGAGAGAGGGTAACCCAAGAATGAACAGCGAGGTGGCTGAGGTGTGGGTTCCACCTCTCTTTGCAGGCATTTGAAGTGGAGTCCAGCACTAAAGCCAAGGATTTCTGCCAGAACATCTCCAGCAGACTGCTGCTGAAGTCATCGGAGGGCTTCAGCCTCTTTGTCAAAATCTCTGACAAGGTGAGCGGCGCACAAAGCGATCGGCCACGGATTGAGCAGCTGTGCGTTGCAGAGCCTTTGTTGTGCCATGTCCCGCTGGTGTAAATCATCGGCGCTCTGCTGAAGCCGGTGGAGCTATGCCACTTTACACCGCCTAAGGGCCTGGTCCATTGCTCCTGAGCGCCTCCCTGCATCTGACCTCTGGAGATTTCTAGTTAAAGGGCCAGGCAGTCCTGCAGCCCCTACTCACAAGCCTCATCCCACTGAAGTCAAAGGGGTTACTAATGGCTGTGTGTACAGCTGATGGGAGGGCTGCAAAACTGGGTTCTGCTGGAGCTGGCTACATGATACTGTCAGGATGGGGTTTTCCAAAGCACCCAGCGATGGCCTAAGTCTGCTCCAGTTCACATCAATCCCATCCCCAGTCAGTGACTTCAATCCAGGCTGAGCACTTTGGAAGATCCCACTCTACAGCTTCAAGGCCTGATCCCACCCCCCTTCCTGACTCCCGTGGCAGGGCTGGTGTGCATAAGGATCGCAGGACAGTGCCCTTAAATTCTGTAACATCTTGCATGCCAGTTGCATCTCAGACTGCTGTAGAACATAACAGCCATACTGGGTCAGACCAATAGGCCATCTAACTCAGTATTCTGTCTTCCAACAGTGGCCAATGCCAGGTGCTTCAGAGGGAATGAACAGAGCAGTGCAATCATCAAGTGGTCAATCCTCTGTCATCCACTCCCAGCTTCTGGCAGTCAAAGGCTTGGGACACCCAGAACATGGGGTTACATCCCTATCTTGGCTAGTAGCCATTGATGGATCTATTCTCTAAGAACTTATTTAATTCTTTTTTGAGCTCCATTATAGTTTTCGCCTTCACAACATCCCCTGGCAATGAGTTCACAGGTTGACTGTGCGTTATGTGAAGAAATACTTCCTTTTGTTTGTTTTAAACCTGCTGCCTGTTAATTTCATTGGGTGACCCCTGGTTCTTGTGTTATGAGAAGGCTTAAATAACACTTCCTCATTCACTTTCTCCGCACCAGTCATCATTTTATGCCCTCTAGCATATCCCCCCTTAGTCGTCTCTTTTCCAAGCTGAAAAGTCCCAGTCTTTTTTAATGTCTCCTCAGATGGAAGCTGTTCCATACCCCTAATGATTTTTGTTGCTCTTCTCTCTACCTTTTCCAATTCCAAACTATCTTTTTTGAGATGGGGCGACCAGAACTGCACACAGTATTCAAAGTGTGAGCCTACCATGGATTTATAGAGTGGCATTATAATATTTACTTATTATATGTCCCTTTCCTAATGGTTCCTAACATTTTGTTAGCTTTTTTTTACTCCTCTGTGGGGTTAAATCATCCAAAAGGCAGATAGTCTGCTACAAATGACCAAGGAGAGAAGTATATAAATGCTTTGTGGGTTGAATAAATTGAAGCAATTATTTACAGGATCAACAACAAAGAACAGTGGTATTGTCAGCTGCATAACCAAAGGCATCACAGAGCCAGGAGCTGATAGCCCCTCCCTATATGGCTCTGGTCCAGCCGGACCTGGAATATTGGACCAGACAGATAGTGACCTATTAGAGGGGAGCAAGAGGACGGTCACGCTGCTGAATAGACTAATTTACAAGGAAGGATTAAATGTGATACACAAGAACTGTCCAGAAGCAATGGAAAGATGAAGGGAGATGAATTGATTAGGGTCGAACAAGAGAAGATAACTAGGAATAACTGGATGAAATTAGGTGAAGGACAGCATAGAAACAGCTAGGTCAGCAATAGCTTTCTGATGGTGAGATCTGTGGAAGCCTCAACATCTGAGATATTTAAAACCAGCATGGGCAAGGCACTGCAAGACATACTGGAAGAAATTATCCCCCAGTGGCAGGGGGATGGGCTAGGCTAGCCCACATAATAGGCTTTTCTCCCCTATAATTCTCTGATTAGCTATTGTTTGGTTGGTTTTATTAACAGTGGAATGTGTTTCCACAGGTTATCAGCGTCCCAGAAGGAGATTTCTTCTTTGACTTTGTCAGACATCTTACGGACTGGATAAAGAAAGCAAGACCTGCAAAAGATGGTAATAATGTCACTCTTCTGTTTTGCTGCCATTTCCTCTCCCAAGTAGAATGCTGGCCAGGGAGGTCTCATAGAACCCATTGAAATCATTTTTAAAAGGCTCCTCTTGCCCACCATAACATGATGAAAACTACATCTGTAATGTGTTTGGCACCGTGTAATGTTTGGGTCTTGGATATTCATGTAAATCATGTCAGCAGCAACTCTGCACCTAAGCAATGATCCATTCTTGGGCAGAGAACAAACTTTTACTCTTGCTATCCATAACTTCTAAAAAGAACTGCACAACAGCTAACACCCAGCAATTCTCCAAGCTCTGACTACTTATACGTTCAGTTAGAGGGCACTTAGTGTCTTTACATTACTTAAGACTTTATATTGCCACCTGACAACTCCCAATAATTTCACAGTATCCACTTTAATCCTGTTCCCATTTCTATTAAGGGAATCAAGAATCTTCTGTGGTCAGACAGGTCACAGGTGCCGAGGGCTGGCAAGGCAGAGATCAACTAGACCATGCCTCTAAATAAGTGACTTCCCCTGAAGGTTGAAGTTTTGTGGTTGCTGTCCGGACTTTGGCAGATGCAGAAACTTTCTGTGCTTTTAGCATTGCTTTGCTAGCTGAAATGCAGCTCCATTAACTGGCCCCAAGTAATTTTCCAGAAACTGCCGCAATACATTGTAATGCTGTTGCTATGAAATTAAATCCATCCTCCTTTCATTCAAGATTTGCAAGTGAATCCAGTGCTTATTTAAGTGAAAGCCTGAAGACCACTAACTTAAGAGGTCAAAGAGCAATTTAGGCAGCCACTCTGTAGCCAATGCACTTCAGTCATGGGCTTTAACACTCTTGCTATTTCATCCCTGAACCTCCTGCATCAGGGACTGTGAATTGCTCCAAGGAGCGAGTGTCTCTTTTATACAGGTTTCCATCTAGTGGTTGAAGCGTTTGTTACAAGCCTAGTCAATGTTGAACGGATTCCTTTTTGCAGGTATAGTGCCTTCTCTCACATACCAAGTGTTCTTCATGAAAAAACTGTGGACAAACACCATACCTGGGAAGGATTCAATGGCAGACTCCATCTTCCACTATTATCAGGTACTCCATGAGTTTACAATACTGCGGGAGGTCTGGATGACTTGGGGAACTAGTAAGGGGATAAAAAGGCTTCCTCCTTCTACATCAATAGCTCAAATCCAACTCACACTAGTAGTGACAAATAGAGGTTTCCATGTGCTGGCTGGACTGGAGGTCTTAGTCCAGCTCCTCTTGAATAGGTGTCGCCATCAATGTTCCCTCTAATTTTTGACAGGCCGTGTGCGCAAAAAATGTCTTCTGTGCAAATTGTTGTGCTTCTGTGCAAATTTTTATGTGCACGGTGTTTCGCCATATGCACAGGGTTTAGGATCTGTGTGCACATGCACACAGCTTAGAGGGAACAGTGGTCGCCATCATAAAACCATGGGTCAGAGGCACTAATTCGCCCTCTTCTTGGCAGTCTCAGCAGAGAAGCCGCACTCTGGATAGCCTGAGATTTTTCATCTCTTTCATGTCAAGGTGATCTGCTCAGGTCAGATTCGAGTGGCAGAGACAGGGCAGAATGCTGCACCGCTGCTGTACTTGTTCTGCAGCTAAAGAGAGGTCTCTGTTCCTCTGGACTGTCTGGCCAGCTACTTTCAAGTGTGAAATTCATACGCACACACCATTGATTACAGTCATTCTTGATAAAATGGTTGTTCAAACACGAACGTGCCTCCTGCTGATTATGTCATACAAGATCTTGTTGACAGATGGGGGTACTTTTTAAATCATTTTCGAGGTTATATAACATAGAGGGGAACTGGAAAGCTTGATTTGACTAAAAGAAAAAGCCATTAGATTCCAAATGATCCCCGTCAACAGCTGAGCTCCTCTGGGCCAACACAAGTGACAAAGTGTGTTAGAGTATGAGCTAAAATGGCCTTGGCCAAAGCAGTCTGGCTGAGAGATGAGCATCTAGTGGTGGCCGAGGTAATCCAGAGCTGGTGCTTTAACAAAACATTTCCACCCGCCCCAGCACAATGATGATTTCAGAAAAATATTGCAGTTCCCAGGCAATTCCTCCATAACTAGAGAGGGGTCAACAGCAGCAAATGCCATGAACTCCCCTGGGGAATTCCCCATATAGATTGATTTTACCTGGGAAGCACTTAGTTATCGCTGTGATGGCAGCCATTGAAGAGATCTTTAAGATTGTAAGAGGTAAATGGTGCTGTCAGTTACACCTCCAAGGAACTGGCTGTAACTTGCATGGTGAGAGGGCAGAAGGGGGGTGATCAAAGGAAGAAACAAACAGGTGTAAAATAAAGCAGGGAGAGGCCTCAGCTGCATTGCATCTGCCACCAGCCGTGCAGAGGGGAAGACTCATTGGGGATGAGCCTGCCTGCCTGGTGCCTGAGAGCCAGGCTCAGAACCAGAGTCCAGCCGATCCACAGGTCTCGCGGGGTTGCAGTTCAGGAGCAGGTTTTGGTTCCCCTCATTTTGGGCCAGTCATGATGTCGCGCTTTAGGTTTAGATCTGGCTTCACCGAGGCTCAGGCTCTGCAGATCCAGTGTTTTACCCGGGACCCATCGCTAAGATTCAGGTTTTTCATTCAAATCCCCAAAGCTGTTAGACTTGGGTTCATTTCAAACGCGGGGCAAAGATCAGGTGAGACCCTGTTTTATTGAGCCCAGATTCCTGGCCGCAGTAGTGCAAAGGGTCTCGGTCTGGACTTCGTGAAACCCCCCTTCCCCTCAGGGCCACCAACCATTGTGCCTTTCCAGTGCTTCTGAAGGGGAAGGGGGTCCCAGCTAAGTGGGGGTTCCAGGGGTGGGTTGGGTTGTGGGATGGAAAAGGCTGAAGATCACTGCACTAGCACAGCCAGCTTTCAAGCAGCTTCCTTCTATAGCTGCCGACCTGCTAGATTTCCCTTAGCCAGCGTCTACGTGGCATTTGTCTTGGGATGGTTGGGTGCTGCCATTCAAGCAGCCTCTGTCTCTCGGGACAAAAGGACTTTGAGAACCTGGATGTTTGTGACCGCCCCCGTTACCTTGTGAAACGCTTTCGTGTGCAGGAATTACCAAAGTACCTGCGTGGCTACCACAAGTGTACCCGGGAAGAGGTCTTACAGCTGGCAGCTCTGATCTACAGGGTGAAGTTTGAGGATGACAAGTCCTACTTCCCCAGTATCCCCAAGCTCCTGAAGGAGCTGGTGCCTCAGGAGCTTCTCCGGCAGCTCTCTCCGGACGACTGGAAAAGGGTAAGGAATGGCCTGGATAACACCGAGCCAGGCTCAGAGAGCGGTGCTGCGGGTATAGCATCTCGACAAGCTTGTGTGACAGCTGCCATCCTGTCCAACACAGCAGGGACTGAACTGGGGACCTCCAGAGCTAAAAGCATGAGTGCAACAGCTTGAGCTAAACCTCCTTAGGTGGGGCCATAACAGAATCGATGCTCTGCCAACCATGCCCAGAGTGGGACTGGTAACTCACTCACACTAGTAGGTTACACTTACACCATAGGGAAGCAGCGCTTAGGGCCCAGCAAAGATCAGGGCCCCATTTTGTGAGGCACTGTAGAAGCACATGGTAAGAGACAGTCTCTGTCCTACAGAGCTTACATTCAAGACAGACAAAGGAAGCGAAGATTGATTATCCCTGTTTTATGTGTGGAGAACCAAGGCACAGAGAGATTAAGTGACTTGTTCCAGATGAGACCGGGAGTCAGAATCAAAGCTGGGAATTGAATCCAGATCTTCCATGCGCTAGCTCAGTACATTAACCACAAGACTCTCCTTCCTCACCCTGGAGAAAGCACTTGTGGATAGTGAAACCTGTACTGGCTGGAAGATGGAAAAATAAAGTATAAGGTCTTTTCAGGCTCCTGCGTCTGCACGGGCATAATAGCGAATGAGCAGGTGAGGGCACGGTGGATTTCTGTTAAAACAGGCCGGCAAAGTCTGATGTTTTGTGGCAGGAATAACATGATATCTGTGTGTCATGATGCTCTTTGTATTCAAATGTCCTAGTTCCCAGGTGGTCTGGCAAACCCTTCAGTAATGTCATGTTGTCCTTTGCAGTCCATTGTGGCGTATTTCAATAAGCATGCAGGCAAAACAAGAGAAGAAGCCAAGCTTGCCTTCCTAAAGATTGTCTTCAAGTGGCCTACATTTGGATCAGCCTTCTTTGAAGTGAAGGTACAGATTTCATTGCGTGTGCCACCTGGCAGGAGCAGGAACCCCGGGAAATGGCTGGTTCTCACCGCTCCTCCCCCTGACAGATTATAAGGATTTCTAAAGGGAAGAACTGCTGGCTGTTCGGTGGCCACTGCCTGGGCCACGTAGGCTCGTTTGCCAGCCTGCTCCCTCTAATTAGGTACTTCCGTGGTACTCATTATTGTCAGAGGACCTCCCACTCATGAGTGGATCTGTCCTCTGTGTGGGAGGGCAGTGCTACTATTTGCCATTTTACAGATGGGGAACCGAGGCACAGGGTAGAGTGAGACTTTCAATGGGACTTGGGCTCCTAAGCCACTTAAGAGCTTTTGAAAGTTCTGTTTTAAGTGACTTAAGTGACAGCCAAGGAGTCGATGGATGAGCCAGGAATGGATCTCAGGTCTCCCGAGTCGCAGTTCATTGTCCTAGCCACAAGACCTTGCTTCCCACCCCTTGACTTGATTCTTCCTGGATGAGCTGGAGGCAGAATGGCTGGGTGTGTGGGGAAGCCTGCGTTGTCACTGCCCTTATTGGTTCTGGGCTGCAGGACTGAGGCCTTTGGGAGTTAGGTGCCTCCATACCTTTGAGGATCTGGCCCTGAGTCTCCAGAACTGTCTGCCCAGCATCTCTGACCAGCACTAAGGAACCTAAAGCCAAACGTAGGCCGAGCAACGGGAAATGATGCAGTTGGCCCAGGATTCCTTCAGACCAGAGGTACTAAGGACAGGAGAGTCAGTGCATCAAGCAGAGGTGATCTGAGGAGGGAAGGGCCACCTGGGGCTTCCCACTGCATCCCAGCTCACCCAGTCCACAGGCAGGATGGCTCCCCTACCAGCTGCTTCCATTGGCAAACTGGGCGGGGAAAGAAATGGAAAAGAAGGAACTTTAAAGCCGCCAATCTCTTACTCCTTAAAGTCACCAGGTGTTTGAGGCGGGGGTGGGGAGTCTCGTCATTAGCTGGATGGCTGTTACCATAGCAGTGAAGAGGCCATGATTTATTTTGAGCTTCCTTAAAAGGATAAACTAGAGCGCGCCCCATGGGCGAGCTAAAACGCAGCGGAATTCTTGCCATGAGAATGCTCCTTCCATTGCTCTGACAGAAGGGGCCCTCAGCCGCGAGTTGTCCGCTCTTCTGGGCCTTTTCATGTGACTGCTTCTTCTCGTTTCTAACAGCAAACTACCGAGCCAAATTACCCAGAGATCCTTTTAATTGCCATCAACAAGCACGGAGTCAGCCTCATCGATCCCAAAACCAAGGTAAGCCAGACACCATCAGTTACTACCTGCGGAAAGCTCAGCCATGTGCAACGGGGCCGGGTGTGCCTCCCAGGGCTAACGTTAGCAACCTGGGGGGGGGGGGTAACGTTAAGCATCTAAATCAATGGCCTGATTCTTGAAGGTACTGAGTCTCCTCCGCTTCTTGTGAGGTCGCCAGGAGCTGTGGGCACTCAGCACCTTGAAAAGTCAGGCCACTTGGGTGGAAGTCTGAACACTTTGGCCGTGACTCTGGGGTTTCTGAAAGGGACACGCTGACACAAGGTGGGACTCACCGCTCCTGCCATTGTTTGCACTGCAAGTGCCATGGGCCAGGTTTGCACACATGAGTCCATTGTGAGGGTGCAGATGCACTCTGCCCCAGCCACAATCCTGCCTGGACCTCCCTGATGTGCAGTATCCCTTTGGGTGCTGCAGCATGATACCCCGTGTGCTCAGCTGGCTAGTGTGACAGAGGGCAGAGCTATTGCTCCCCTTGGGATTGTTTGCTCTCCTGAGTGCAAAGATTGCAGCGATTGGATGTGCAAACCCTCTCCTGGTGCAGAGGCAGTTCCCTTTATGTTGTGCTTTTGTGCCTCCCAACAGCTGCACATGGCCCAGCCCCAGCTAGCCCTGTGTGCAAAATGTAGGGTGACCATACGTCCCATTTTGGCCGGGACAGTCCCCTTTTTAAGCTCTGTGCTGGTCATTCCGACTTTTTTGACAAAAACGGGCCTTTGTCCTGTTTGCTGTTCCTAACTGATCAGTTGGGAAGAGCAAACGAACAAATGCCAAATTTACCAAAAAAGCTGGGTCCGCTGCCCCCCTTAGGGGGGCGCGGAGGAACGTTGTAGGGGCAGTGACGTGAGGGGCCAGGCAGAGGAGCTCGGGGGCTCAGCCCCAGCTGCGGGAGGTACAGAGCTTGACGGGGGGGTCAACCCGAGCCATGGGTGGCGCAGAGCTCAGGGGGATCGTCCCTAGCCCCAGGCAGCAGTGAGGGGGCAGCTCTGGTGAGCCCTGCAGGCAGGGGGGGCAGCTCGGGCAAGCCCAAGGCCATTCCGTTTTTACTTTAGGAAATATGGTCACCCTAGCGAAATGGCTCTTATGTTTAATGGAAAGTGGTGTTAGGTACACACATCTCAGGAGTGTGTAGCCTGCCTAGCTAAATGATGAGGAAGGGAGACAAATGACGGCTGCCGTTTGTAAACAGCAAGGCAGGGGATTGTTTAGGGTGGCATCAGGGGCTACAGTTAGGCCAGATAGGATGAAATGAAGACATGGTCAATTTAGGCTGACTACCAGAAAGAGCTTCCGGAGGCTGAGCCACATTACGCTGTGTAATGGTCATCCCAGAGCAGAAGGCCTAGGACAGGGGTGGGCAAACTTTTTGGCCCAAGGGCCACATCGGGGTTGCAAAACTGTATGGAGGGCCAGGTAGGGAAGGCTGTGCCTCCCCAAACAGCCTGGCCCCCTGCCCCCATCCGACCCCTCCCACTTCCTGCCCCCTGACTGCCCCCCTCAGAACTCCTGACCCATCCAACCCCCACTGCTCCTTGTCCTCTCCCGGGACCCTCCGCCCCTAACTGCTCCCCCCCCCGGGATCCCACCCCCTGTCCAACCTCCCCTGCTCCTTGTGCCCTGACTGCCCCAACCCCTATCCACACCCCCGCCCCTTGACCAGCCCCCCTGGAACTCCCACGCCTATCCAACCCCCCCATTCCCCATCCCCTGACCGTTCTTCCCCATCCAACCGCTCCCTGTCCCCTGACCGCGCCCAGCCCTGAACCTCCACCCCATCCAACTGCCCCCTGCTCTTTGTCCCCGACTGTTCCCTGAGACCCCTGCCCCTTATCCAATCCCCCCTGCTCCCCGCCCCCTTACCATGCTGCTCAGAGCAGCAGTATTGGCAGCCCCGATGCCCGGCCACAGCCAGCTGCCCAGAGCACAGTGGCTCTGTGAGCTGAGGCTGCAGGGGAGGGTCCAGGGGCTCGCTTCCCCGGCTGGAAGCTCAGGGGTCGGGCAGGACGGTCCTGCGAGCCAGATGTGGCCCACGGGCCGTAGTTTGCCCACCTCTGGCTTAGGAGCACCATTGCTTGGGACGTGGAAACCTAGCCTGGATAACGCACCAGTTCCTTTCCTAGTCCTTCATTGTTGGCAGTGAGCTGTGGCTCAGACCCGGAGAGGGGGCCAAACTTAGATGACCTCCTGCGTAAGCCCTGCATAAGAATTGCCTAGTGGCTCAGACCCATGGTCCCTCTAGACCTCGGGCCTGTCTCCAACAGCGACTGTGGGTTACAGGAAAAGGGCAAGAACCCCCACTGATCTCTCCCCCACTGATCTCTCCCCCTCTCCGTTTCTGGTGGGACCGTGTCACCTCAGGAAATGCATTTGGTTTGTTGGGGTGGGAAGCCCAGAGGGAAATGAGGGGTTAGCCGCTGGGGATTCAGCATATGTTCAAAGTATCTGACTGTCCTTCTGCACCTCTTAGGATATTCTCACGACTCACCCCTTCACCAAGATCTCCAACTGGAGCAGCGGCAACACGTACTTTCACATCACCATTGGCAACCTGGTGCGGGGAAGCAAACTGCTCTGTGAAACGTCCCTGGTAAGGAGAGTTCAGGGCTCTCGCTCAGTCGCTGAGCACAGAGAGCAAGAGGGGGGATCTAACTGAAGGCTGAGCCTCCAAAGCCGCACCCTGGGTTCAAATCCTCTTTTCGTGTCACATTGCCTGTGTCCGAGCGTCTGGGCCAACGGGCTTTGAAATGGAAGAACGGCAGTGTGCGGCAGAGAATTAGTGAGCTCACTAAATATGTCCCTGCTTCCCTGCAAGCTACGGCTAAGACATCACTGGGTCTAGCACAGCTGTTACTGGTGCGGGACTAAATCGGGCTTCAGGCAGGGGCAGTGTTGGAAGTAATTCTGCATTTTGGAGGGGGAGGGGCAGGTTTCTGGAGCCGGCTGATTGAAAAGGAAACTGCAGCTGTTTGAAGCTGCTCAAAGGCCTGGGATGTTGGACTAAATCCTGTGGAGATGGATGGATGGGAAGAAGGCAAGCGAGGTGGCCAAGTGTGCAGGATAAATTCATTTATTCACTCCCTGGCTGTGAGGGCAGGAACAGAGGCCATAAGCTGTGCTACGTACTCACAAGGGCCAAACCCTCTGCTGGTGTCAGGGGAGCTGCACCGATTTACACCAGCAGAGGACTGGCACATAGAGTCCATTTCAGCTTTGCCCAGGGCAGTAGTAATGGCTTAGCCTGTTACCCCGACTGACGGCCCTTGTCTGTGGGTGAGGGCTCTGAATGTTCAGCCAGGTTAGTCACCAGGTGCTTTATAGCAAGCCGAACAGGCAGCATCACCACCATAGCAATCTGGTGCTGTGCACTCTGGAACTGACTAGCATGCTCTAGACTTAGTTCAGGTCTTAAATCCAGTACCAAGCTTCTCTGCCCACCATCCCATAGTGAACCAGAGTCAGTGATACTCTGTCATGGCTTGCTTTGGGTGACGGGAGAGCATCACAGTCTGGTTTTTAGCTCTCTGCCCCCATCGGAGCAGAGGAATTGCCAGACTGGATCAGACCCGAGCTCCATCTAGTTCAGTATCTTGTCTCTGGCCATAGCCAGCACCGGCTGCTACACAGGAAGATGGAAGAACCCCACTGTAAACTGACATGGGGTAATCTGCTTGCACATGAGGTCTGACCCTGATCTCTAATAAGTAGAGATTAGCTTAAGCACTGAAGCATGAGGTTTATATCCCTTCCAATATTTATCACCATTAATTATAATTACTCTGGAGATTCTTGATATCCATATAATAATCAAAACCCTTTTTGAACCTGGCCACAACAACTTCCTGTGGCAGAGTTTTCCACAGTCCAATTATGCGCGTGTGAAAAAGTATTTCCTTGTATTGATTTTGAACTTGCCATCTTTTCATTGACTGACTGTCCCCTGGTTCTTGTCAAAGGGCGAGGCCTCTACCAGGCAAGGTTCAAGGTTGTGGTGGTAGGGACGCGGAGGTGGGTCGCTGACGAGCCTGGTAATAGTTCATACCAAAGGCATTCAAGGGATGTGATCCGGCAACCAGCAGTTATGCTGTCTGGGTGATGTGTCTGATCTCTCATAACTTCCTACCAGGGCTACAAGATGGATGACCTCTTGACCTCGTACATCAGTCAGATGTTAACAGCCATGAGCAAACAGAGGAGTGCAAAGGGCAGCAGCAAGTGAACTGAAAGAAGCCACTGGCAGGTGGCCATGGAGCTAATTCACCAGCTGAGGCCTGTGGGATACCCCTGCAGCTGGGGCCGAACCTTTTCTGCCCAGATGTGGAAGATGATCCGGACCCCATCAGAAAGCTCATCTGACTCTGACCTTGAGGGCTCGAGTCCCATTTCCCCTTCCAGTGAGGATGACTATCTGTGATGCTGACTTCCAATTCCCCCCTCCTCCCTAGTAAGCCCTGTTTTAAACTTCTCAGCTTTCTAGGTGACAGACAGTGACTGATCAACAGAGAAACTCCAGCGGGATGTTTACTATCAAACCAAATGACTGCAGTTTGCAAAGGATTGTAGGAAAAAGTTGTGAGTGTCATTTTTAAAAAGGGGAAGATGGTCAGGGTGCCGTTAAGGGCTTTGGAGAAGTTCTGGGCATCTGAGATTTGCAGATCAGTCACCTAACCCTGCTTCACTGAGAAGAGAAATCCCATCCACTCTACTGGGGGTATCTTGACATTACAACAGAACAAAAAGAAATCCATTTGTTCTAAAAAAAGCCGAGGGAAAAAGTGCATTTAAAATAGTGGTTGGTTTGTTTCTTCTTAATCCTAATTGAACAGCCTGTACCACAGCAAAGCGATGATGGGAGACGGGCGCACAATGTTGGAGATATTTAAAGGTTTCGTTTCTTATTCTTGTATTTATTTATTTTTTAAAGAGAACGACGGTTTCTGGGAGGCTGGCTCTGGGGAAGGCCCCACACAGCTCCAAAGGCTTCCCCCAACAGAACCGCTCACACACCCAGCGCCCCATTGTCAAAAGGATGAGACTGAGTGTTCAGAGGTCACTCGGTTCTAATTAGGGGTGGCCTAAAGTTCAGCATTAAATCCCTACTTGGCAGCATGGAAACTAGGCTGCTAAAGACAGCTGACCCTGCCCCCTCTGCCCGCAGAATGCACCTTGCAGGATCAGGCATTTAGCTGGAAGCCTGACTGTGGCTTTAGGTCCTGAGAGGTGGACAATGTTGGCTAGGCCATTCTGTGCTGTGTGAAACGCTGCAGAATGGATTTGTTCCACAGCCACTTTATAACAATAGCAGGACATCCAGAGGGAAAGCAGAGCCCATGTATAAGAAAAATAAACCGTGTCTGCAGACAAACCTCCCATCGTCCTCTGCACCTCCGCTGCTGTCTGCTAGGCTGTAACAAGTATGTGTTCTGTGTCACGTTGCTGCTTACTATTTACCCTCTGCATTTCCTGGTTTGCTTCAGGTGGGATGCTCTGATGGGGATGGGAAGCTTCCAAATTCTGGGACCGTCTCCCATCTCTGCAGTAGACTAACCTAAAACTTTGGCCCCGGCCAGCCCCCTAGGAGCTGAACTTTGTGGCTCGGCCCCACCTCTGATTTTTAACTTTAGCTCTGACCCATTGTGGCAAAGGAAGGTTGAATAATTAGACCTGGCTATAAACATAGGCCTAGTTCCTGATGCAAAGTTCATTAATTGGGGGCTAGCAGGAGAACGCTACTGAAAAGCAGAGAAACTTAGGAGGATGCCAGCTCCTGTGTTCAGTGCCTCGCCCCTGAGATCACAGGCTATGCCCACCTCAGCCTGACAGATGATCCCAGCATTCGCTCTCCGCTGCATCTCCTAGCATCACTGCGTTTCAGCTGAGAGTAGACAGTCACTGTGTGTTTTTAGGAGGCCTTACACTGCTGTGATATGAACACAGCTAAACCACCCAGGCTCACTGTACTGGGCCCTAGAACATACATAGCAGCAAGGGCCACGCCACTGCTCAACAAGGTGGTTTGGACCAAAATTCTGCCCTGAACTCTGAGTCAAAGAGGGCATCTCCTGCGTCGGTGACTAGAACAGTTAGTGGCACAACTGATCTTTTCTGCCTGTAGCTTCCACGGTTCAATCGAACAGATCATTTGTGTGGGAGCCTTTCCATCAACTTCAGTGGGCTTTGGATCATGCCCTTGGTTAGCAACCCAAAGCCGCCACCTGTCAGTCAGCTCCGCCACCAGGCACAGCATCGACAAGCCTGGGCACGCAGCTCTGAAAGGACAGTAGCCCAGACTTGGGTGTCATGGCATCAAACAGGGAGTTGTGTGTAGCCGACTAAAGGGAGGATGTGGCTGATGCTGTGAATGAAATTTAAGTCGTGTTGTATGGTTGGTTCCCAGCAACCAGCGCTTGAAAGGCATGATCTCAAGGGGCTGTGACAGCAGCTGGGCCTACAAGAATCAGCTGAGGTTGAGTTTTGATTCTGGTGTCACTAACACTGGGTGGGTCTCAGCAGAAATGTGCTTAGTTGGCTCAACACCTTTGATTTGCCTCATACGAGCCCAATCCAGAACAATCGGTGTTGCATTCTCACGCTGCTCGTCCCAACACTCAACTGTCTTCCTCTGACCTTTCCCTCTTCCCCACCGCTCTCTGCCTCGCTCAGCACTTGAGAACACGGGTACGACATTTGCACTGTCTTACTGTCCATCACTGGACTTCGCACACAGCAGTGCACAAATTAACTTCTTCATTATCTCCTAAACAAGCTGCCCAGGACCATACGTAAAACAGTGACACTGGGCCCTGTTGTTCCACTGTTCCTGCATTTGACATGCATGAGGGGCTGCACATAGACATCTGAAGGCAGAGGATGCAACTTTGGCCTGGTTCTGAACCACTTTCCGCCTGTGTAAATAGGGGCGATTCACTGATGTCAGTGGCGTTTCCCTGGAGTACGACCAATATGGGGGTCAGAACTCAGCCTGCTAGGTCACCCAAATCAATCTTTCGTGGCCCTTTTCCGCTACACCCCTAGCAGCAATGGTTCGTATTGCACTCTTGTGAGCCCCCTGTTATTTTGCCCTTCCCGTTGCCTGGCTCTGCAGGCTGCAGTAGGCCCCAGCCATTCATTACTCTTGCTCCGTTTGTACTCCGTAAAAGACGATCACTGGTTTCAACGCTACCACGGTTGTGCCACCTCGACTCATTCAACACGGTGCGGGTCATGCAAGCAGCAGCCTGGCGCTCACCCCAAACATGCAGCTATTAGCCTGAGCGTGTGTTTCAGTTTCAGAAGTCCCTTTGGGGTTTTTGTGTGTGTGGGTCTGTGTCATACCTTGTGTGTATTAGTGGCTGTTTGTTTATATTCACACACGCAATGTAACATGAAAACTTACGTCTGTGTGAAATACGCTAATAAAAAAAATAAGAATAGAAGGACTCGTGAGAGGCTCTTTGCAGTTCCGTTCGTTGAAGAGATGGCTACGCGGTGACTTGTTCATGGTCTGTAAGTACATACACAGAGAGAACTGAGAGTAGGGAGCTCGTCAGTCTACCAAACAAAGCCGAAACAAGCTCCAGCAGCTGGACGCTAACACTAGACGCATTCAGGCTAGACATACGGTGCAAATTTTTAACACTGAGGTTGTCAAGCTGTCTGGAGGGGGCTCAAAAACATGGGTGCCACCTTCGGGCAGACTGTCACGACACTAGCCCCCAACTGGTTGTGAGTTCTATACTTAAGAGTTCACCAACCAAGTAACAAGTGTGAACTCCTCAACAGCCTTAGCATGGAGTCACGAACAGGCCCCTTGGGCACTCCGGGTTCTCTCTCCCCACAAGGTAAGGCTGCCTTTGTGATAGATGGTCCCTTACACCAAACACTATTCAGGGTACTCCCAGTCCCATAGGACCAGTCACTTATCTCAGGTCAGTGGCACCCCAAAACTCTCACCAAAGACAACTTAAAAACGGCCATATTGCATCAGACCAATGGTCCATCTAGGCCAGTATCCTCTCTTCCAACAGTGGCCAGTGCCAGCTGCTTCAGAGGGAGTGAACAGAACAAGTCAATTATCGAGTGATTCATCCACTCCCAGCATCTGGCAATCAGAGGCTAAGGACAGCCAGGGCATAGGGGGATGGCATCCCTGCCTATCCTGGCTAATAGCCATTGATGGACCTAGCTGCCTTGAATTTATCTAGTTCTTTTTTGAACCCTGTTAGAGTTTTGGCCTTCACAACAGCCTATAATAAGTAACGCTCATTTCTTTTTCTGAGTTAATTAATTATGTACACAGTTAAAGCAGGTAAACATATTATGAGGCCTTTTTAATTCCCTTCCCCACAGTTCAAACTGATGGAGAGAGAGAGAGAGAGTGTGTGTGTGTGTGGAAGGGGGGGGGGGGGGGCAAGGGGCGGCAATCACCAAAGTCTTTGTCCTCTGACGTTTCACAATGGCTCGGTTGGTTGCAATGTGACGTCGTGCGTGCAGGACCAACACTTTACGCTAATTACCGGTAATGCTTATTTCCTGTTTGGTGAGTTACACGGTTACAGAGGTTTACAATGCAAACTCTCTGCGTCACTTTGCACCATGGACTGCAGACGTTATAAGTGAGACCAAGGCGTGCAGCATCCTACAATCACTTCATCAAGTCTCAATACTAATCACATTCTTAGCAACATAACATCTATTCTAACAACGCTAACACACAGGTAAGCCAGACTGGTTTCCAGCTATGCATTGGTCAGTGAGGCCTAGGGGCCTTGGCATGAGCTGGTGTAACCCACACACCATTCTGGGTGTGGTGTGCTGTCCCATCTAGTGGCACTGAGCAGAGAGAGATAAAAGTTGTCTTTTAGCTCATGCGGTAGAGGCTCATGCACTAAGCTCCAGAGGTCGCAGGTTCGATCCCGACAACCGGAATCTGTCAGTGTTACACTGGCACATGGGCTTCCAGCATCCCAGAGGATGATTAACCGTTGGAACAGATTACAAAGGGCTGTGGTGGATCTGCTAGATCCTGGCATTTAAGTCATGCTTGGATGGCTTTCTAAATGCTATGCGTGTGAACCTCTACGGCCTGTGCTGAGCAGGAGGTCAACCTACCATCCATGAGCTTAACAGTCTCATTGGGCCTTGCTCTGCAAAAATAAAAGAGCTGTGACGATGGGGCGAATGATGATTGCTATAAAAATAAATCCAACACTTACCCCCTTGGCTTCTGGGCATCATTTACAGCAGAAGGGCTAAGGGAAAAACCAGCACCATTACCAATCTCCTGCCTGCCCGAAAACTGAGCTGGTATGTACTTGTATGCCATAGTGCAGGGCCTTTGGCCCCCATCTGGTTCTATAGATACTGATAGTTTGGGGGTTTTTTTAAAAAAATAGTTCTTAAAGAGGCAAAGAAAAAATTTCCCCTGTGCAGTTAGCCAGGCCTGAACCTATAGTGCAGCGCCCTCCTCCATTCAGCTCAACGGAGCATTGGCTCTGAAACCTAATGACTGATGCTAAAATAGCAATAATAATATTCGCAAAAAGAAAAGGAGTACTTGTGGCACCTTAGAGACTAACCAATTTATTTGAGCATGAGCTTTCGTGAGCCACAAAGCTCATGCTCAAATAAATTGGTTAGTCTCTAAGGTGCCACAAGTACTCCTTTTCTTTTTGCGAATACAGACTAACACGGCTGTTCCTCTGAAACCAATAATAATATTGACTCTCTCAGTGCTGGCAGTTTTATTTAGCAGAAACATGCAGCTATTCAGGGATTGCCTATGGAGCACAAGGTTGGGCCCATAAAGTATCGCCATGTTTTCCTCCCAATCTGAGGCTTGTATGTGGAACACCTGCTGAATTCGAATGCAACAGCACCAGACTGTGTGAGCTAAAGTTTATTTAAAATAGCAATTACAGTTTACAGCATGCATCAGCATATGTTCAAATGCACGGTTATGGCCTAAACCTGGGAAATGTGCACATGGTTCGTCAGATTATTGCAAAGCTGCATTTAGCGACTCCCATCATGTGCTATCAGCAATCTGGATTTTAAAAAGGTGAGGTGGGGCACAGTTATAAAATGCCTTCTAAAGAGGAGAGCCAGAGAAGAAGGGATTCCCCTACAGCAGACCCCATTAAAGCGAAGGCCAGTGCTATGGAGTGGGCCCCACTGCAGTAAACCCACAACCAGCTACCCTACCTACCTTTCTTGGCCTCTCTCCTGAGATTGACAAGGAAACCAACTCCCCAGCTCTCAAACCCCCCCACCACAGCAGGGGTGATGCACCTTGGCATGGGCTAACCCCTTACACCACCCCCATGGACCACAGGTATCATAGGCCAGGGGAAGTAAGCCTCCCCTAACCCAAGCCATGGTTCACCTCATGCTCTGCCCTGAGGCCCCGCCCTCGCTCCCCTGAAGCCAGTGGGGCCTCAGCTCCAGCCGGTGGCCTGGGGCTTGGGCCAGCCATCAGCCTGGGTGGCTGGGTTGGCCAGAGCGACTGCGGTGGGCTGGCCGGCAGATGGGGCGGACGGGCTGGGACACCTCCTGCTGCTCAGGGGGCAGGGCTCCAGCTGTGGGGGTGGAGGTTTCAGGGGTCTCGGACACAAGGGGCAGGGCAGGAGGGTCATGCACCATCCATGGGCACCCCTGTCTGTGCTCTACCTTGTCTGTGAGAAATACAGGACTCTATGACCTGGCAAACCCTTCACCAGCCCTCACAAGATCTTCGCCCTGCCCCCTCCCAGCAGCAGCATAGAGAGGATGTTAAAGCCCCACCGGCATGGCATAGGGCAGCCGTACATGGATGTGCTGAGGCTGGATGGGGCAGACACACATGCTGCATGCAGCCCAGGCTCTGGGCTATTGACTACCTGGAGAAACTCCTTGTCTTACCAACACCCACGCTGATCATAGTATTTCAATAGTCTGTTTTTTTTTAAATGCACCGTAAAGCCTGTGTGTTTGTCCAGGAGCAAAGAAAAGTCTCCTCGCAGGGACGAAGTCCAGCCCCTCTGGTTCAACACGGGCAGCTTGTGGGGGGACTGAGCCTCAGTGAAGGAAGGAAAGCAAGCAAGCGCCAGCTACTGTGTGTACAATGCAGCCAACGGAACAGACGGTTCGTGTGCAGCAGTTACTGTGCCTTGCAGGCCAGCCTCCCAATGTAAGCTGCCTAGGGGATTGACACACCCGGTTCTCTTTGTTACGTGTAACGGGGTGTCCGGCTGCGGGCTGTAGGTTTGCACTCTGTGCTGCTCCCTTTCCCCGGGCTGAGTCCTGGGGAGTGTGCGCGCAGCCAAGTGGCAGCTGAGCCTTTCCATAGCCACTGCTGGGACCCCGCCCTCCTGGCTCCCAGCTCTGCAGCAGAGAAGGGCTAGTGGAGCCATGTTCTGTGGCTGGGCTGAGCCAGAGCCTCATGAGATCACCGGCAAGAGGCCCATTGGCTCCAGTGGACTTTGGGTCAGGCCCATTATTCCACCATCACCCCCTGATGGCACACAGGAGGCCAGGGGGTGTCTGGCTCCCCTCATCCCTCATGCTGTGGTACCCTTGTATCCAGGCCCCCCTCACTGCTGAGAAGGGGGGCAAGACATGCTCTTTTCGACACACTGGGCCCCCCACTCTCCCTTCCCGGTGAACTCACTGAGCCGGACAGACTCTCTCTCCGCAGGTGGGTTTTATTTCCTCCATACAAAAATACTTAAACCAATAGCAGCTTTAAATCCACTTATTAAAAGGCGTGTTTCCAGGTGACTCTCCCAGTGTTAAAGGCCAGCGATCGCACAGAGACAGATTCAGTTCTGCTGGGAGGGTCCTGCCTTGTATCTGTCAACAGCCGGCCGCTACAGCTGCTCGCCCACCCAGCCACCATCCCAAGCAGGCCCTGGGCCTCCCACTGGGGAGAGGCATACGGAAAGAGTCTTAGGCATTTCTGAAGGGAAGGGCACTTCATAGCCATCAAACTGAGTTCCAGAGGCTCGCTGCCCTCTGCGTGGGATCAAAGGCCTTTCAGGCTCATCCAAACTCCACCGCCAGTGTCATGTACAAGCAGTGCTCTGACCAACAGGCCTCCAGCTAATGGCACAGCAGCACCTGGCTTCTCCAGCTTGATCCCAATTTAGTGTCTGTATGGTGCCATAGCTCCTTCCCAGCCTGGGACGGGCTGTTCTCCAGATGACAGGTGGGACCTCAGCACCACGCCGCTGGCCTTGCTCTCTCAGGCCACGACAGTTGGCAGATCATTGAGCTCTGGAAAGAGGAGACTTGTTCAACCACAGAAACTGCCCACGGACATGTGTGGGTGGCATCCCAGGTCAATCAGCAGTGGGCATTGAAAACAACTCAACGTTTTCTTCTGAGTGTCCCAGGGGGTTATTTTAGTCACATCGTTGTACCCAGGTTTTCAAGCCCTCGCCATTTTGTTTTCATTTGAGGGCTCAAAA